CCGATTCATTTGAGTATTGTTGCAAGGTCTATTTGTTAATTAGAATACGTAGCTCATTTGAAAGAAGCGTCAGCTCTGAAAAAGACTTCTTTTTTACAATCAAGTGAAAATTTCACTGCAGCAACTCATGATTCGTTAAATATTAATAAATGGTGTATTTTTCTCAACGTCTGTCTGTCAACTAAATCATTTGTTGACTATCAAGAAATATTCATTTGTTCATATTCAACTCTACCATTCGTGAATGCTTACCAAATATAGTTAACAATAAATTGATCGGTCTATCAGTGATAATTTATTGCTAGAGAGGTACTATATTTATAAACGTGGAATAATAAATGACTCCACATTATTCCAACGTGTTACAAAATGTAATTGAAACCGGACGGATTGTGGACAAACATAACAACTAAACACCAGTAGCTAGACTCACCTAAAATCAATCATTCTGAGTACGCGTTTCGTGTCACTCCATCTATGTTGCGATATCAATCGATATGGATTAATCCATAAAATAGTCAATATCAATTCTCCAACTGTTTAGTACTGATAAATAAGCAAATATAACATTGATGAGGAGAATCGCCAGTGCCGCTGCAAAGTCAAGTATACACGTTTGAGATGTGTGCACGGAGAGAAATGTTCAGTAAAAATTACGGAACTCACAGTTCGCTCACAGATTACAGAATCGACTCAGAAAATTTAAGTGACGGTATCGTAATTTTTCACAGGAGATTCAGGTAAAAATTACGGAACGCGCTGGAAAAATTCCGTGACACTTCGGTAAAATTTCCTACAGTCACATTTCGCTTCGGAATTATGGAAAAGGTACGTAATTTTTATTGATTATTTTTCCAACCCAAATATCGGGCAATATAATTGGCCCATTCGACATCACGTGGTACAAACTACAGGGTTTTCAACTGGTCATTTTTTGATAATTTTCTCTGGTAGTTGCTATATAAAAAACAAAACATCATGCAGTCGAATTAACCCCTCGTCAAACTGACAGATTGAATTCAATTGTGGTAATTCGAGGATTTTTATTCGAAATGAGTGTTAATTATACAATTTTCGTTTCTCAATTGTGAGTTTCGTCTCATGGTCCAATTATATTGTCCGACATTTGGATTGGAAAAATAATCCCCCGAATACCACACGAGCTTCAAAATTAATCGGGCATTTTTCTCAAGGTTCCCCGCATACAAACGAACCCATCGGAAAATACCCGATAATTTTGAAGCTCTTGTGGTATTACAAGTGAATATTTCTCTCCGTGTGTAATTTCGTTTAGGTGTGTTCCTTTCGTAAAAGTGTGTACAGTCGAGCACTAAAGTTCGTAAAGAATACATAGAATGCAAGTCCAGGTTGTTCACGAACCTTAGCGCTCGACACTAGTGAGTTGAAACTACACACCAATATATATTATAAAATATACTCGCCAAAACTGTGTATATTTGAGCTACTCGTTACAATGCGCGTTCCAAAACTACACACCAGAATGTATGAACGTGAAATATGTGATGGCTATTCGGGACCACATGTTTTACACGTTTAAATTTCCTAACGCACTTGACGGTTTACGCACGAAGCCTGGTTACACGCTCATAAATTACACCTTTGGTAATGTATAAGGGCACTTGGGAAAATTTCGTCGAATGTGATTGGACTTGAATTTTTTCATCACTGAGAACTTGAACAAATTTCTAGTTTTGGATTCACCTGAAGCTTACGAAATAAAACATGTCAGTGATTTCTATTCAATCGTTTGATGATTATCTCTCCAGCGACTGTGCCCTAACGATTCTACAAATCTGTCTGCAGTGTTTGATAGCAGGATGCTAAAAATCCTAATGAAAAGAAAGAAAGAGCATTACTGCGTGGCGGATAACCAGGGAATCGTCGGAAAGAATTCTGATCTCATTAGTTGTGACCGAGAAGAATGACAAAAATATAGATTAATCGTAAAAAAATTATGTAGATAGTGAATTTAAAGAATAAATAAAATAATTTATGATACACACTAGAAACGTGTAATTTTTACACGCATATGGCGCGTAACAACTACACACTTTATGTGAGTTGCATATACAGACACTTTAAAACATGTAAAAATTGTCTATACGATTTTACACATTTAAAACGCGTTAAATTCACACAATTGACTTTGCAGTGTGAAAATCGTCTGCTATACTGTTTTACAAAATAGGTGTGCTCGAAAAAAATATTTTAAAAAATAATAAAATATCTTTTTGTTATTATTTACATAAAATCTAAACACGAGGGTGATTTGTAAAGCCATTGAAAAGCCGGATAAATTGACAAAAGCCTTTCTGATTTAGACTGTAAGTTCGGCATAGTCCGTGTATAAGGGTCTGTTGACAACGCACCGCCAGTTGTCAAGATATACGGGGAGTGGAAAAACCGTTCTAGATGGGGCTACGTACAATTCTATTTGTTGGATTATTGTGTAGCGCGCTGCGAAATCAAGTCTGACGAAGATCGATCGACAAACGTTTCAGGCGTCAACACATATACGCGCACAATATGGGAAGGGAAAAAAGCCCACTCTCTTTCAGTATTATTGTCCTTCTTCAGCATCGCATGGTACTCGAAAGAGCCCGAAGAATTCTATTAAGATGTCTCTAGGAGGAAATGAGAAAAAAAATGGAAGTTTTCTAACAGAATGTTCTATCAACTTTTGTATAATTATATTTATTTTTCGAAGAAATGTGCCAGTCTTACTTGGAATGGTTCTATGACAATTGAAATGGTTCTGCACTCGTACCTCTACGATGTACTATTCTCGAGACGTTGACATTCGTTCAAGTAGTTGACAGTTGGAGTATGGACATGAATGAAGATCTAGAAATCTATAATCGATTGGATCTATTACAGATTTCTAGAAATTTCAGCAATCTAGAAGGAAGAATTTTAAGAAATACAACATAAGCATAATCTCATCAAAATGCACCCCAAAAAAAGTTCTGATTCAAGTCGACGCGAAGAAAAAACTTCTTATTTTTCCACTTATTATTTTCTTTTCCTTTCAAAAGTCGAATAAAAAACAAGTGGGATATGGCCCTTGTATCGTATATAGTATAGTTATTTTTACTAATAATACTAATGCTTTCGAATGGTTATTTTGCACATCATTTCCATCTATCATGTATAATTCATTATTCATTTAATTTTATTAAATTGAATAAGATTTCCTTTTACGTACTTTCGTCAAATTTTCAATTTAGTTGAATGTTATCTGGATCATTATTCCCATTATCTCTTTTCTCCTAGACAACCGATTGTTTTTTTACAGTTCTATCTCTCCCCTCAGTCCTTCGATAAAATGTTAATAGAAAAATTTTATTTATGCGTACTTGAATGAATTTAAAACATCACATTGGAAGAACCCATCAAAAAGCTCACTTTCAGGAAAGTTCATAAAAAATTCAAAATTCTCAACAATCATCATAAAAATCAAATCAACCAATCTATCGTAATCATCTTTCAATTACGACTTAGTGGCATTAAAACGAGCATTTTAAGATATAATTGCATTCACTTAAAGTATCAAATTCAAAAATATCTTCGAAATTCAGAGTTTTTAAAAATACAAAATTTTTGAAGATTTTCGAAAAAATCAAAATAACGATTATTGCAAGGGAAAAATCGAAATAATATCTCAAAAATCATTTCTTGAGGGAAAAACATCAAATACATATTTAATCAATTTATGGTAGGTTTCGGACAAGAAATCGGTGCTCCTCGGGCTAAGGAGGAAGTTACTGAATGAAAAGGTGATGTCTTTTTTCGGAACGAGATAATATTCCTTAAAAGACAAGAATAGTTTGACAGAAGGAAGAGAAGATATTGCTTCGCTTCGAACTCAAAGCGATTGAGCGTAAGAGACGATTATATATTTTTTTTGGAGGTTTTCCTCTCCATACGCGGAGAGAAATATTCAATAAAAATTACGTATCTTTTCCGTAATTCCGGAGTGAAATGTGGTTATAGGAAATTTTACGGAACTGTCGCGGAATTTTTCCGGAGCGTTCCGTGATTTTTATCTGAATCTCCTGTGAAAAATTACGATACCGTTACTTAAATTTTCTGAGTCGATTTCGTAATCGGTGAGTGAATTGTGAGTTCCGTAATTTTTACTGAACATTTCGCTCCGTGTAATCTCTCTATTCATTCAATATGATAATCTCTGATTCATGATTTACTGAATCGAGGCTTTTAATGTTTTTAGTCATTTTCTCATCTTCTGACACGAAAAATCCGATTTCTTGTGGCACGAAATCTGACATTGTCTGACACATTATCCGGAATTCTTATCCCAAGGAATTTATCCTCAAGAGATGAGACATTTGGCGCAAGAAATTAATTTTGTGATATTATGACGATATTTCTCTCAGTGTAGGGTTCTCTATGAAATGTTTTTACCTTCTAAAAATTATTCGTCTATTAATGATGACAGAAATTTCCACATTATTACTTTTAATTAAGAAACTGTGCGTCATTTCAACGAAATATTGGAGAATTAGGAAGAGATTATTTCTAGGGGAGGGTAGGGCAAAACGGACCACTGACAGAAAATTGGTAATTTTTTTTTTCTTTCCTTCAAATCAGGAACACTGAATCTGTTGAATTAAAAGTGAGTTTCTTGGATCGTAACCGTCACAGGGGTTTTATAGATAACGAGTGTCGTTGAACCGCAATTTGATCAGATTTGCTAATTACCTCAAATCACAAATGACTTTGAATTATTGTTTTCGCTTCCATTCGGAAGCAAACACAAATGACCAATTTTCTGTCAACGGTTCATTTTGCCCGCCTGGTCCGTTTTGCCCTACCCCCCCCCCTTCTTCTTATTTGAATTCTCAATTCACGAAGGTGAAGTGAAAAATTCATTACTAGCTCCATCTTTCAGAAATGCACCCGAAGGATTTCTGGTGTTATCCTGTTATCGACCGAAAAAGGGAACATAACCTCAATTTTCATTTTTTGTGTCAATAGAACAAATTTTGAATATTCCTCGTAATGTTCCACACGTGTTTATCTCACTAACAAACATCGTCCATAAATTTTTATGAATGTGATTTCTGGAAATTCGTTGACAAATTTAATTCGTGAAAATGGATTCGTTGACTCACGAAACCGAAATTAAGATCTTTAAGTATTTATTGGAGATTGGGTGCTGCATAAATTGCTGCTTACGACTAATTTCTGTTCACAATCCTGAGTATTATGAGAATCCAATTGAAACTTCCCAAAAGGTTAAATAATCCTATTTAAATAACAATCTCTTAGGGGGGATGTCATCGAACGTAAAACGTCAATTTTTGTTTCCGAATGGAAGCATTAGTCGTTCAAATTTAAGTTTTGGATTTTTTGTGTTATATCGACGCATTATGATCCGAAAATGCAATTTTTAGAGCATGTCCGTACGTATGTGTGTGGTAAAGTTTTTCTTCAATTGTTCGCTAACGAATGGATGGAACTGAATCTTTTTTTTCCTTCAACCATCCGTGTTCAAATGTAGATGTTGTTGAGCCCTATCGATCGCCGTTAATTACATGATTAAAATTAATTAAAGTTAAATACATCGATTTATTTTTTCGATTTTTAAATTTTTTCGAAAATCGGTTGTCCCACAATAACAAAAAAAAAATGTTCTGAATTGATTGAATGAAGGCCTGAAAAAATTATTTGGATGTCCCTTTGACTGAGGTCGAAAATGAAGGCGATAGCAATAATCGTTATTTTGATTTATTCGGAAATTTCCCAAAATTTCGTATTTTTCGAAAATCAGAATTTCGAAGATATCTTCGAATATCATGCTTCAAATGAACTCAATCATAGCTTAGAATGTTTGTATTAATGCCATTAAGTTGAAGTTGAAAGATGATGATGATAGCTGTATAGCTATATTGGTTGATTTGATTTTTATGATAATTGTTGAAAATTTTGAATTTTTCATAAATTTTCCTGAAAGTGAGCTTTCTGATGGTTTCTTCAAATGTGATGTTTCAAATTCATTCAACTATGTGCAAATCAAATTTTTCTACTAACATTTTATCGAAGGGCTGAGAGGAGAGATAGAACTGTAAAAAAGACAATCAGTTGAAATTAGCAGTTTCCGGCTGCATTCAATTATTTCTTAATTTAATTATTCTTTGTTCTGTTATTTTCAACTCAAATAATTTTTTCCTGCTAATTAAAACATTCTTGAAGGTATGGAAGCCATCATACTCCCTTTTAGGTGATTCTTTTATTTTAGATTCTACCACGAAACTTGAATTTCCCTTAACCGTCTAGCAATTGGCCTGTTCACCCTATCCATTTGAAGTAAAAAAAACTCGTATTAACATCACAAATCGTGTATAAAAACAACGAAAATGCGATGACTGCTTGCTCTGACAGTTATTACCCCCAAAAATATTATCAAATTTTCATTTTGGCAGAAAGAAAATCTGAATTCCTCCACAGCTTCACTAATTCTTCTTCTTGTTGTTTTCCAGTTGAAATACATCGAGGAATCCTTCGAAATATCTGAAGAATCTCCGTGTATTGCTTGCCTTGGAATACTCCAAGAGAATGTCAAACACCAAGTGTTAGAACAGGTAAAAAATCGAGTATACCTAATTACTTCTCAATCGTGAACATTGGCAATAAAATTACACCAGGAAAATTTCACGCGATTCATACCAACCTCATTCAAATTCTATTCTCGAAATAACTATATTCTTCCAGAGATTCTCTCCTTATGAATAAATAATGTAAATTGTTCAAAAGCGTTTCAAAAAGAAAAACAACTTCACTACTGATATGTGTTGATGGATTTAGATAAAAGGCATTGAAACGAATATTTTGAAAACAGAAAAATTGAAATCGCTTCATTAGCTTTGAAGATATTTGCGGAAAGCGATTTAAAAACAAGTTGCTAAACAACTAATAATTAATAGTATTCAAAATATAAATAATAATTTATAGTATTAATATTATTAATAGTATTTAATAGTATTTTAATAGCATAGTATTAGTTAACTTTGTCGCTATAATCTGACAAAATTTCAGATTTTTTGGAATTACTTTAGCCACTTGATTACTCATTTTTATGAAAATTGACCACTGAGAAGGTGGCGATGGACGTGTTTACATGGAGACATGGTCACCAAACTTCGTATTTTTCCGTTTCACACCATTCTACGTAATTTCCAATCGAAATTAGAGAAAGTAAAAATTGTATGATTACAATGCTTCCCCTGGGAAGAAAAAAACAAAATTCTTCGGTATCCTTGGATAAGTTCTTTACAACACCTCAATTTTCTCAATTTCAGGTAACCAAAGTGATCACTTCGGAGGCCAACGACTCCCCCACCTTCACGTGTGCCCTCTCAGTCCCGATGTCCCTCACCCTCCGTGAGAAGTCCCTCGACATATCAATCCGTCAAAACCTTGACCTTCCCCCGAACGATCTCGCCCACTTATTTCTCAAGATCGAGTCCATCAAAGACGTCTGGAAGATCCAGATGCTCCCAAGGATCGAGGCCGCAATCTCCAAGAGATCCATCTCTGGTCCCACTCCCTCTCCTTTCCTCATCGACATCTCTTTGATCCACGATCGCGACGAGAGTGACTACGAGTACCTCCTGAAAAAATGCGATCCAAATTTCCACGAACGACGGAATCGAAACGTCAAGTACAGCAGAAATAACATCGAGAAGGTCCTCTCAACGATTGACAAGGAGAAATTTGCTGAATTCTTCGCGATTCCCCCAGGAAAACCGATGGGACCGATAGTACTGGACAAGATATCCTGCTCTCATGCTGGTGTATTTATTGGCGGGAGGTACAACAAATTATCGAGAGAATTGAGTCAGACCCCCTGGTTCATAAATGGAGAGAAGAAAATGGAATCTTCTGTTCAGGAACTTCTCTGTGGACCTCTGATCGAGGCCACGAGAGCTGATTCTTTGAAATTCTTGTCGTCAGGTAGGGAAGATGTTGATGTGAGGACAATCAACTCTGGGAGACCTTTTGCCGTCGAATTGATCAACCCTAGGAGGACAATAATCGCTGATGACGAGATGAAAACGATTTCCGAGAGGATCAATTCGTCTACAGAACTAGTTCAAGTGACTTCTAATCTAAAATTTTTGGATGCAGGACATTTGAAAACACTCAAGGACGGGGAGAACAAGAAATCTAAATTTTATAGGGCTCTTTGTACAGTGAAGGATGAATCCAAAAAGGGTATGATGGATTTGGGGAAGTTAGAGGGGATGAGAAATGTGAAGATTATTCAGAAGACACCCGTCAGGGTTCTGCATCGACGACCATTGGCTGCACGTGTGAAGATGCTGTACAGGATGCGTGGAAGGCGGTTGACGAAGAAGGAGACTGAAGAGTTGAGAAAAAATACTCCGGATGATCTGTTGGATAATCTTTTTGTTCTGGATATTAAGACACAGGCAGGAACTTATGTGAAGGAGTTTGTTCATGGGGACTTTGGGAGGACTAAACCGAGTCTCTGTGATCTACTGGGCGAAGAGGTGGACATTGTGGCACTGGATGTCACAGGGATCAACCTGCATTGGCCGTAAAATGAAATTAATTGTTTCTTGTGCTTTTGGTTGAATAAATACAATTTTCATTTCCAATTGAGGAGTTTATTATTTAAGTAGGTTTTAGAATCTTTAGAGACAATTCACGGTGCCATTAAATCAATCCCAGAAGGGCAATCACCTCTGGGGACGAGGTAAAGAAGATTTCAGGGGGAAGCAATTCGTTTACAGAACTTTAAGTATTTTTTCCTCTGAAATTGTTGAATGCAGGATATTTGAAAACACTCAAGAACGGGGAGAACTAGAAATCTAAATTTTATAGGGCTCTTTGTACAGTGAAGGATGAATCCAAAAAGGGGATGATGGATTTGGAGAAATTAGAGGGGATGAGAAATGTGAAGATTATTCAGAAGACACCCGTCAGGGTTCTGCATCGACCACCATTGGCTGCACGTGTGAGGATGTGTACAGGATGCGTGGAAGGTGATTGATGAAGAAGGAGACTGAAGAGTTGAGAAAAAATACTCCAGATAATCTGTTGGATAATCTTTTTGTTCTGGATATTAAGACACAGGCAGGAACTTATGTGAAGGAGTTTGTTCATGGGGACTTTGGGAGGACTAAACCGAGTCTCTGTGATCTACTGGGCGAAGAGGTGGACATTGTGGCACTGGATGTCACAGGGATCAACCTGCATTGGCCGTAAAATGAAATTAATTGTTTCTTGTGCTTTTGGTTGAATAAATACAATTTTCATTTCCAATTGAGGAGTTTATTATTTAAGTAGGTTTTAGAATCTTTAGAGACAATTCACGGTGCCATTAAATCAATCCCAGAAGGGGAATCACGTTTGGTGATGAGGTGAAAAAGATTTCAAGGGGAATCAATTCAGTAGCGAAGTGGTATAATGATTTAAGTCGACTTATCTCTCAGCTGAGTTTTCGAGGAATACCTCCGAATCTAAGGGAGATAGCGAATTTTTCGTGAATATCTTGTGTGAAACGTAGCTATATATCTATCAGTTGAACGGTCGGTCCTACCAACAATCCTTGAGCACCATCGGTAGCCTTTGGTTGAACGGTCAAACGATCGCGAAAACCTCAAAATTCAGTACATCATCAGCGTTTATAGAGTCAACGTGTCGTATCGTTCAAAGTACATCACCGACACATCACGTGGAAGTACATCACCTTCTCAAATTCAGTGAATTATCAGAGACAATTGTCAAGGACAATTAACAATTATTTAACAATTCAATACATCAACCGCGGTAATTATAATTTGAGACGCTCAACAACCAAGTTCAAACCAAAGTGTAAATTTTACAGTTAACGAAGTGGTTCCATTCCACTAAAATGTAGTGAAATTTTATAATCCAGTGCTTTAATTAATTTCCGGCCTATCCCGAAACATCACCTCCCACATCCACCCTAAAATTAGATCCTCATCTCAAACATATCTTTTTTGCAGCTCTCAATTTGTTCTACAGAAAAGGTTCCAACAAAAAATTGGCTATCGGCCTTAGATTACGAGATATTCATTGAAAACTGACGAATAGTCAAAATCAACTTAAACCATTTACCACTTCGCTACTGAATTCGTTTACAGAACTTTAAGTGTCTTTTAATCTGAAATTTTTGGATGCAGGACGTTTGAGGATACTCAAGGACGGGAAAACAAGAAATCTAAATTTTATACGGCTCTTTGTACACATGAGTAATGTGAAAGTGGTTCAGAAGACACCTGTCAGCCATAGACTGAAATAACTTGATCCCTCAATTTTTGGTTAATTAAATACAATTTTTATTTACATTTCACGAGTTCGTTATTTAAATAGTGTTAAAAATCTTTTGAAATTAAAATTTGACTTTATTCTAGATTGGTTGAATGTTCTTAGTACGTGGAGAGCATTTTTCGATAGAACACTCATGGAAATGTCTTGATAGAATTGATAATTCCATGGATAAGTGATTTGTAGGAATTTTTTAAATCCAGGAGATAAAGTCAAAAGAAATTGTTTGTTGAGAATTTAATTGTCTACAAAAAAGATCTTTTGATATTCGCTCCTAAAAGCACTTGTTTCCCAGGTGAATCAATATTTAACAAAATCATTTTTCACTTCCCTACTAAATCATTCTCGATGCTGTTAAAGCATATTCTCTTTTGCGCTGATGCAATACTTGTTTAAAAATATAAAATGATGAGATTCGATTGTAGATCTTTCAATCTTTTGATCACTCGAATAGAGAGCGAATTCTAAATGATTCATTTAGTTCTCTAATTCATCTTAAAGAACAATTTTCGATTTGTTTGGATTATTGTAGAGTGACGAGACATTGGAGCGTTCGTTACCTATTTGGTCGTTGTTCTTCGACGATAGAGATAAGTCTCTGGCGTGATTTTTTGTTGTTCTGACAGGCGCAGGAGATGAGACCTATTAGATGTTTCACCGAGTATTCCTGAAAGATAATTCAACCATTGCAATCATACAAATTACAAATCTATTTTTGCTTCCGATTGGAAGCATTGCAATCCTTCAATTTTCACATTTTCTAATTTTGATTGGAAATGATGTAGAATGGTCTGAAAACTAAAAATACGAAGTTTGGCGACCATGTGTGTATGTGACCAGGTCCATCGCCACCTTCCCAGTGGACAATTTTTAGAAAATTGAGTAATTAAGTGGCAAAAATAATTCCAAAAAATCGTTAATTTTGTCAGATTATAGGTCTTAATGAGGACTAATTCTATGCAAAATTTCAGCCCGATCGATCTAAAGAAAAGTCACTCTTAAAAAGTCATACAATAAAAATTTATGTTCTTTTTCATCTTATATGATGTAAAATTAGATGAAATTACGATGAAACTGGAATCGGCGTGGAAAAAGAATATGGGGACCATTTTTCCGAGGAACAATTTTCCAAGAACGATTTTCCAGAAAACATTTATTCTAGAACCATTGCTGCAAATTCATTCGGAAGCTTATTACCAATGGATTGGTAGAGAGAGAAAGGAAAACACTAATAACGCATAAAACAACGGTCACATGGTTTCATTCAGAGAATTTATTCGTAAAAAGTAATGTTGGTTGAATACCTTGTGTTCCTTCACCCACTCCTCGAGTATATTCTCCGCTATGTAATACGCCTTGATGTAGGTTTCCACGTACTCACTGTGTGGCATTGGTCTCACGGACGTTAGTATCTCGAAGTTGGATTTCAATTGAGTGTAGTCGAGTTGCATGAGCCCACGGCCTCCATTCGAACACTTTTTAGCATTCGAGAATCTATAAAATCAAATAATAATGCACATTAAATAATGCAAGTTATCATCGTGACTATAAAAATTCATGATATTCAACATCTCATGCACTAGATAATTATTGAAACTTTAATAAATCAAAGAACTCACAATTTCTTGGATTTCAATATTTCATATTTTTATAAGTGTTTTTCAAGTGTGAAAATGTAAGCTTTTGCGAAGTCCAACGATTTTCGTATCATTTCTCTACTAAAAAATGGGCGAAATATTTTCGGTCAGCAATCTATTTCGCCAAGCTTATGCTAGACTTAGGAATATTTCAAGTTTATCTTAGTTTCTGAATAAAAAATACTTATTTATATATAAAATGTACAAAATGATAATACATTATATACATGTATAATAATACATTTTATTATTATTATTAATAACATTATCATGATTTTATACATTGTATAATATATATTTATTTATTGATATTATATATAAATAAGTATGTTTTATGCCTAAGCTAAGATAAACTTGAAATATTTTTAAGTCTAGCATATGCTTGGCGAAATAGATTGCTGACCAAAAATGTTTCACCTGTTTTTTAATAGAGGACTTCTTAATTTAAAGAATATTTCATACCAGTCGTCAGTTGTCAGAAAACTAAACCACTTATGGCTTTGCGAATATTCAATCAATTTAGTAATTCAGTAGCGAAGCGGTAAACAGGTTTAAGTCGACTTAGCTCTTCGCTGAGTTTTCGAGGAATGTCTCTGAATCTAATAGAAATAGCGAAATTGTCATTATGACCTTGTTTGGTGAATGACTAGATTTTGGGTGGATGTGGGATGAAAATGTGGAGGGAGATGTTGGGAAAATTACTGCTGAGCCGGATTTAAAATATCACACTTTATTTTGTGGGATCGAACCACTTTGTCAAAACTTATGTGCACTCTTTGGTAATTTAATTGTTGAATGTCGAATTATACTGGTAATTGTCTTTCACTGTTAATTAGTTGAGTCATTGAATTTAGACTGAATTTAATCAACAGAGGTGATGTACTGAACAAAACGGTGATCTTACAAAGACCGGTGATGTACTTGATTACTAGTGAGCTAGATGAGGTTCAAGAAGCTACTGTACTCGGTGAGGTGCGATATAAAACTTGTACAGGTGATTTGCCCGAGATAGATTTGTACGGTGAGAGGCTAAGCCTAAACTGATTCGCGCGTGTTTCGGTGACTTATGACTGATGACCCGAAGAGTCCCGGAGATTTTCGAAGTAGGCCGATAGTCGACCAGAATGTTCTGGAATTTTAGTTGCGTTTCAAACAGACCTTTTTTGTAGCTCTCAAATCACTCTACAAAAAAGGTTATAACAAAAACTGTACTATCTTCCTTAGGTTCCGAAATATTCATTAAAAACTGACCAATAGTCTAAATCACCTTAAATCGGTTTACCGCTTGGCTTACTGAATTGGTAAATTATTGTCATCTCATTTTTCGTTCATTTTATATTATGAAGATGGAGAAAACAATCGAGATAACGTTCGAAAGAAAATCCGTCTGGGCCTTGAATCTTCAAAAATTCAAAAAAATCCCAAATCCCCACTCACCCCTCCACAAGCGTATGCGTCACGAGATGCCCCACATTTTCCCAGATGGCAGCTTTGACTTCTTCGACCAGTGGCAGTATTCCTCCCACCTCCTCCAGCCTCCTCTTCATCTCCAGCACCTCCTTTAGAATCTTATCCACATACGCACTGTGCTGGGACATGACGTCCCTCACCTCCCAGTTGACCTTGCCCATCAGATTCAGCACCCCAGCCACATCAAAGGCCCTCGACACCACAGCCATGTACACCGGCTTCCTCAGATCCACCGCAGAAGCTATCGTCTGCCCATAGAACTGATTGAGAAACCCCCTCTCCTCCTTTTCCTTGATCAACCTCTCCAGATAGCTCTTGAGACTCTCGTACTGGGCCCCCAGGAACACAATCGACTCCACCGCGACGATCCTCTCAGCCAGCCCAAACAACCTCTCCCCCCTGGACAGATCGACTGTCATCGACAGCATCGGCTGCTGAATCTTCAAACTCCTTTTCCCCTTCCCTCCCTCCTCCTCCCCCTCACCCTCCGCCAAAATCAAATTCTCACGAATTCTAGCTAGAGTCAGCTTCAATATTGGACTGTAGAGAGAGTCACTCGCGATTTCCAAGTCTGAAGTAAAAAAATTATGAATAGCGTAGAAATAAAGTTCGAAGAACTGAATCATGCTCTGAGTGACAGTCACCGCAATCGACCTGAGTAGCCTCGACATCTGGAGGTACCTTCCACAGACCCTCAAGACACTCAGGGTCGTGTTGGTGACCATCGGTCCAGTGACCCCCCTCTTCCTTTTCCTTCTCTTGGACCCCTCCTCGATGACTTCGGTCTCTTCCTCAGAGGACACCTCAGAATAATCCCCACCTGAAATATCAAGACTCATGTTGTTGGCGAGAATGTCCTCATCCATGGTCTCATCCATGCCAACATCGAATGGAGAGACATCGGTCTCCAAATATCTCTGGATCCACCCGAAGACTGAATTGTCATGATCACTGGAGCCGTCCGGGCTCCTGCAGTTGATCAGCGCTGGTCTGAGGCTCTTGAACTCTTGCAGCTGAGTCGCCACGAACGTCGACTTGACTGGACACAGCTCCCAGCCGTCATGCTCGAGAAAGATCCTCAGTTCGTCGAGCCTGCAGACGTGGTAATGGGAGAAGTACAAGGAGCACTGGTTTCTCATCGTCTTCTGGAGATTTTCAGTTTTCGAGCCGCAGAGCTCTTCACCGACTTCCATCAGGCGATTGATGATGCCGAGGACCTGGACGAACTGCTCGAACTTGAGGGAGGTCAGGTCTGTGGCTGTGAGGAATGTGCAGATTTTTATTTCTACGTCGTGCCATATCCTCGTCATTCCGTTTTCCAATTTTTGTTTGATGTACTGATTGCTGAAGGTCTCCTCGAGGTTCTTCGAGGGGTCTGGAGCCTCCGGGGATGAGGGATTGGACTTGTGCCAGGAGAGGACCTGGTGGTACGAGCAGACGATCCGCCAGAGGGACTTGCTTAGGTCGATGAGGCAGTTGATCTGGGAGTCTCGTGGGATCGACTGGCAGATTTGTTTGTACTGACGCTTTATGTCGCCCCCAGCGTACGAGTGGACTGCGGAGAAGGCTGTGTTATGGATGGCGGCTGTGAAGTGCATGTGCAGTTGGTCGATCGCTGTCTGGGTCTTCCCGAGGAGTTTGTAGGCTTCCTGGACTGAAGTGTAGGTTTTCGTGTCGAATTGGAGGCATATCCGGGAGAGCGTGTGGTCGAGGGTCTCTTCGGTTTGCTCGAGGGTGTCTTGGAGCTTTCCGTGGAGGGCTGCCACGCAGTGGAAGTGCTTGTAGGTTTGGGCGGCTGACTGGCACTCGAGGAGGAGAGATATTGCACCTGTTGAAGAGAGAATGTTGACGATTACGTTTAAAGAATAAGATGTGACGACAATTTTTGGTTTTTAAGGGGAGACTACTATGAGTTTTAAAAGTCACAGGGTATTGGAATGAGATTTCTCATACATTGAAGGTCGATTATATATGTTTAAAAACGAATAATTATTGCAAAAAATAATTGTTTATTGTTTGTTTATCCGGAAACGCTTGAAATGTTGAAAATAGTCCAGGGCCTCCAATTTTTGAGCTAGCGAGGTTTTCTTTTTCAAAATTTTTGAAAAAATGTGTGCAATAACAATTACGAATTAGTTTTTTGAAATCCAAATCCTATATAGGAGTAGGAGTTGAATTTCCATAAATTATTAAGCTATCGATTAGTTAATTTCACTTTTCAATTTTAATTATTGAAGTAATCGTCAATTTAAATAGTCAAATTTTGAATTATTCATCAATCAGTAATTGAGTTAGAAAAATTGACGATTATTTGAATAATCAGAAATCGCTTATAAGAAATTTAGTATAATCTACTTAACAGAAAATTTATAGTTACATTTTTAAAAATATTTAATTGATCATCAATTGGAAATTTTGATTATCAATTATTTTACGATTTTTTAATTTCAATTAGTAGGGGAGAGGGGGGAAAATGAAACAGTCAAGAACGACTGTTTGGCGCAATTCAAGTAAAAAAAATTGTTTTATCAACTTTTTTTTATTCTTGGGAGTACTGATGATTTTCCATTCAGTAGAGATATGATTTTCCACTCATAAGTTTTGACGAGCGATGATTTTGTAAATGGATTACTTGAAAAGAAAATGAAACAGCAAAATCCAAAGTGCAGAGCAAGGCCCAGGGGGAGACCCAGAGGGAGCAAAAGAAAAATGTGATGCTGAATTTCAATCGAATAATCCATTGACAAAATTTTCGCCCATCAAAACTTCTCAATGATTTCCCATTCTACTGAATGAAACATTATTATTCTCATCAGTACTCCCGAGAATAAAAAAAAGTTGACAAAAAAAATTGAAAAAAATTTTTTTTTTGATTGAATTACGTCAGTCATTTTTTTTACTGTTTCATTTTGCCCCACTCTCCCGTATATTTAAACCTTAATCAATGTAAGTCGGAAATTCGTTTAATATTGAAGAATCGTCTAATATTAGGTTATTAAAATGAAAAAATTGAAATATGGTTTAATATTTAGTTGATCAACTTCACCCTCTTCCAAGTATTTAAAATCACCTGGATAATTCTCCTCTTTCAGCAGCTCCTGCAGACGATCTTCTGTCTTCTGCAACGTCTTGATAGTATTCAAGCTGTTCAAAAGCTGCTGAACCGTCTGACGCTTTCTGTAATTCGCCAAAATGCCCAGGCTTGCAGTGGTGAACTGCTTCTTTGCCAGATTGAGATCAAACCTCCCCATCCTACATATCTCGAGGACATCTCGGAGCTGCTCCAGGAGCTTCAGAATCTCCTGAAACTCGTCATTACAGGCACTCTGCTGCTGCAAGATCAACTGCAGTACCTTCTTGGACACCACTTGCTGCTGCTGCTTCAGCCTCTTGTAGTGCCTCTCGATGTCCTTGCAGTTCAATTGATCCGGTAGTTTCTTCAATTCGTGTCTGCACGAGTCGAAGGTACCGTCTGTTTCGTAATACGATGATTCGATCGACTCCAGGATGTCCTGGTCTGGGACTGCTTCACCCTCCGTTGACTGACTAGCCTCTGACTTAACGTCATCCTGAAGATCATGACGATAGGAGTCGACTGGGTTCAGTAATTCTGGGTTCAGTCCCATCGATGGAATCTTTGGCTGATTCTGAAATGAATTACATAATAATAATATAATATAATTTTTCATCACCGATTTGAATTCTTTGCTATTTTTTTAGATATTCTATGAAAATGTGAGGATGGGAATTGAATTTATGAGTATTAGTTCATTATTGAAAAAAATATATCAATTTTAAAATTTTCCCTACAGTGAGAAAAACAAAGTTTTTTGGGAAGTACATATTTACTGATATAAAAAAACTCGGGGCTTAAAAATTTTCAAGAGCAAAATATCTTGCGCTGAGAAAAAAAACTTTCGCCAAGAAATTCTGTACTCGTCCTAAAGACGAGGATAATTTTTTGATGACAGGAAAGCGATTTCTCATACCAAGTAAAACTGAATTAATTCATTTAATAGTTTTTTAGCCTCAATTCTAGAATATTTTGATGCAAAAACTACTTGAATTGATTTGAGAACTCGTTTTCTTGATACGAACCAATTGCCCTCATCTATCGGTCAAATATTTTCTTTGCGTAAGTTTTTTTTTCTTAGTGTGAGATAATGTGCGCTTGGTAATTTTCAAGCCATGAATTCCTTGATACAAGTAAATACGTACATCTAAAAAAACTCTTGTCTTCTCAGTGTAGACATTGAAAAATAAAAAAATCAGTTTCCGTGTCGATCTCGTTTCTCTTTTTTTCACTCCCTTCCGTCAGAATGAGATAACAGAAAGAAAATACATTGATGCCCCTTCATTTTAAAAAAAAATCGTAATCCCCCTTCATTTTCTAAGAAGACAAAAACAATTTGAAAAATTTCGAAAAGACATGGAAGAATAAATTTTTTCATTTTATTGATACTGATTGACGGTGATCGATTTCGCTTTGCAATTTCCTTCTTCGGTTCCATTGAAATGAGATCAAAGGAATGTAAAATGTTCATATTCGTTCACATTTTCAGATCATTGGTACTAATTAATTTAAAGAAAAATAAAGAAATGAAAAATTTTAGGTATGATTATCGAAAATTGTTTGTCGATTTATATTCTCACATGATTTATGGGGATTTCCTCTTCATTCAATGTTGCAACTTGTGAATTAAGGTACATAAATATATATAATAATAAGAACGAATAAAATTAAATTAATCTAATTGTGAAGACGGAAATGGAAAGAAAATAAAATGAAATAACATAGTATAAATTGATCTAGTGCGCTACTTTAATTCATAAAAGCAAAATTTTCAAGTTCACTCCTACCTCCTTAAATCGTCAATATCTCATAAACAAATAACCCCTTTGAATATTTTAGTCATTTTCAAGCCCAGAAAAAAAACTTGAAAAAAAACTTGTCAGCCGTTTGCAAGTTATTGACGATTTAAAATAGTTCACATTTCCTGAATATGGAAAAGGAGATTTGACCATGTGAGTTTATTTGTTGATATATTCTTGGGAGCTTCACCTGTTTATTTATGAGGCCCAAAAATTTGAATTTCAGGTCCTCCATCATGATGGAGTTTTTGACTGACAGTCCGAGTTTATTGCGATCCATTATCGATCATCTAACCTTTGATACGAGTTTTAATTATATAAATGCGATATATTTTCACGGGATATATCGAGGCACTTGTAAATCTGTCATCGCTGATACGTCAATCGCAGGCCGTTTGACACATATTTTGTTGGATTTTTAACGCCTCGTTGGGTGGAAAGGAATGTTGTGGGAGTCGGTGACGTTTTGAGTGGTTTTGAGGTTGTGTGAGGACTTTAGTAATAAGATCGTATCGCGATGCTCCATGTAGATGGGGCAAGAATCAATTTCTGCCGATATATTACCATCATTAGATGCAGTTGGTTAATTTCAAATTACAAGAATTTTTTTTCACCCTAGAAGAATAATTTTACTGGCAAAAACATTTTTTCCGAAATAAGAATAATAAAAACAAGTCGACATATCGATTTTTGCACAAGCTAGAGTGATTACAAAGTTTTTTATGAAAAAATAGAAAAACGGGAATATCTCGAAAACTTTGTATGAAAATTTATGGCCCATAAATGGTCGATAAATAATAAATTTTTAAATTAAAAAATGAAACATTGAAAAAAAAATGAAAGAGGCGAAATTAAAAAAAAAAATTTGGACAGAACAAATCCGAGTCCCAGTCTAATTTTTTAATGTTTTTAAAATTGGAGGATGTGCAAATTGGACGATAACAATGCTTCCATTCGAAAGCAACAATAAAACGCCACACATTTGAATAGATTTATAATTTCTATATTTATTTTTCTTTTTGAAGCGATCGATTAAAGCAAAATAATTCAGAATCCATGACTTAGATAAAACAACAATTTTTCTGTGGAGGGGCATTTATATTATACTTAGTCAAACAATCACAAACAATAATAATTCATAGATTAACTAATTAACTAATAGAGTCCATTTATGTCTATTCCATGTCTATTCAAACACTTATAAAGTCTCTCTAGAAATAGGTATTCCTGTAAACAGTGAAAATGTACTGATTCTATCCCATCCAGACGAAATTAATTTTCAGCACATTAATGAACAGGGTTGAGCATATTTCGCAGAAGAGGGTTTTCGACATGACACAGTCAAATATTGGTAATTTCCCTGTGCAGCATCAAAAATGTAAAAATGTTCAAAAGGCCCGGATGGGGGTTCCAGCACTCCCCTTACCGCTCCTCCGCAATTTCCAATCTAGATATGGCGGATAATGGTAGATGAATACCTGCACTTGTTGTTATTTATTCCACACAGGAAAGAATGAATAAACTAATCCAGGGATCAGGGATTTTGGAGAAATAAAACACTATGATCTAATTGTCAAGGATACGATGTTTGGCTAAATATGTTTCAGCTTCATCAGGCTCTAAAATATATATTAAATATATATTTAATATGTTTCAGCTTCATCAGGCTCCAAAATATATATTTAGGAAAACGTCGCACCCTTGACAATTAGATCATGGTGCTTTATTTTTCCAAAATCCCTGATTCCTGGATTAATTTACATCGCTCACAGATGAATACGTTTATAGAATGAATAAATCCCGGAAAACGAAGTCAAGCGTCAATTCTACATTATTATTCTATTTTCTAATTGCACTTTCGTTATGATTTGATGAGAATTGGCGAAATATGAAGGTCAGAACGAGCTGATGGTCAGCTGTTTTGATAGTGTCGCCGTTCATATTGCAAAAAATCGTTCGCTGACTTTCGTCTTATTTTTTTATGCAGTCCATCATGTGAATATTGGATAAATATGACTCATAACTATTATACACTGAGAAGAAAACGACAGAGTTCTCAAACAAGTCTTACTTGTGCCGAAAAAATGGTTTGTTTTAAGATTTAGTAGTTGTTTTACAGATTTAGTAGTTTCCATGAAAATTGTATTCTCTGTGCAAACAAAAAATGTCATTTCTAGCACTACTTCTTCACTATTCGATACTCCCATACGTATTTTGCTCCCGGAAAATGTTCGTTTTATGCAAAACAAGAAATCGTAGTTTTTCTGTTCTTTTGTTCAATAATCACAAACAAGAAATTCAGTAGCGAAGTGGTAAATCCGTTTAAGTCGACTGATCTTCTAGTTGAGTTTTTGAGGAATATTTCGAACACGGAGGGAGATAGCGAAATTTTCGCAAGTACATTTGTTGTAGCTCTCAATCGGCTCTACAAAAAAGGTTGTAACAAAAATTTTGCTATTTCCCTTAGATTCCGAGATATTCATTGAAAACTGGTCAATAGTCAAAACCGACTTGTACCGTTTTACCACTTCGCTACTGAATTAATCCTTAAATGAAATAATAATTATAGCAATCTTGTAACTTAGGGATGCAATATTTGTTGATAAATTTTCCACTATACGAGATATTTTCATCCTGAAAAGGCACCGACTCGTGTGAATTATCCGCGTCTTGAGCCAAATATTTCGTTGTTATCAAAAGAAAAACAATTTCTTTTTTGGCAATTTTCATCTAGCGATTTTGTTGGCCCAAAAAAGACTTGATTGATTTTCCCTCAGTATAGTGATCGTAATCAGTAACAGCTTTCCGAAGAATGACAAATGTTGGAGTTGACATGGAACCTCTCACAAATCGATCTATTTACCTAAAACGATAAAACTCTTTGGAATTCAATATTTGGCTTGGAATGTAAAAAATACTATCAGCATTTGGAGTAGCCGAATGTTACTTAAGATCGTTGAACTCAGGCATGAGTAACGAAGGTTCACTCGTATCCAGCATGAACACGTCATTACTAGGCTTTCCCTCGTTTTTCTCCTCAGGATCGTCCAGGTACTCATTATCCTCATTATCCTCTAGGGTCTGAGGCCCCGAGGACTTGTACTGAAAGGCTGACTGTGATAAATCTACCTCAACCGGAAATAGGGTAGCTGAGTCCAATAGTTCTTTTGTATTGGCGTAATATTTCGAGAGTCCAGAGGCGAATTTCTGGAGCTGCCAGACGACGTCCTGTACGTGCTTGTTGTCCAATAGCTCCAGTTTAACGAGAACGTCTGACCTCAATTTCGCAAATCTCGATCTCGCTTCCTGTCGACATCTCAGAACTAATCGATACTCGTAATTTCCGGTTTCAACTCGGTACAGGGGCTCCTGCAGCGCTACGAAAGTCTGTTCTTCGTCGTCTAGCTCTTTGACTTTGAGACAGTAAGACAAATATTCGAATTTTGCGTCGGCGTATTTACTGATTGTTAGACGAGTGTCTGGGATGGCTTTGTGGAGGTATGTACCCAAGTCACTGAGGATGGGTTTGAGGGCTTTCAACATTGTCACCCCGAATTTTTCCATTTGACGGTGTTGCTCACCGAATTGACGGAAGGCTTCACTGGCACGAGGCTGGGGTTCACGAACCCCGATTGCTGCAAAGGCATCGCCGAATACTGGAATGATAAATGAGATTGGATACTGGAATAATTACATAATAATAATCGCATAAAATTTTTAGTTTCCAATTCTTATTTTTGTCATCTCTCTATATTATAAAAATCCAAATCGACTTCTGGTGATAAAAATTTGGTGCTCGAAATTAAGACTCCATAATAAAGGGTCACAAGGGTCAAAATAGTGGTCACGAGGTTCAGAATAAGTGTCACGAGGGTTGGAGTAAGGGTAACAAGGGTCGGTTTCAGGGTCAAAGGGGTCAGATTAAGGGTCATGAGAGTCCTAATAAACATCACAAGGGTCAGAAGGAGTGTTACGAAGGTTGGAGTAAGGGTCGGAAGGGTCACAGGGATCAGATTAAGGGTCATGAGGTTCCAAATAAATATCACAAGGGTCAGAATAAGGGTCGCGAAGATCGGAATAAAGGTCACGTGGGTCGGAGTAGAGGTCACGATGGCTGGATTAAGGGTCACAGGGGTCAGATTAAGGGTTATGAGGGTCCGAATAAGGGTCACGAGGGTCAGAATGAAGGTCACGTGAGTCGGATTAAGGTAACCCTTACAGGGGTCAGATTACGGGTTATGAGGGTCAGATTAAGCATCATAAGGGTCAGAATAAGGTTCACGAGCGTCCGATTAAGCGTCACGGAGGCCAGCATAAGGATCACGAGGACCAGAATAAGGGTCACAAGAATCAGATTAAGGGTCATGAGGGTCAGATTAAGTCACAAGGGTGAAAATAAGGGTCACGAGGGTCGGATTAAGGGTCTCAAAGGGTTCAAATTAAAGGCCATAAGGGCCAGATTAAGGGTCACGAAGGCCAGATTAAGGGCCACAAGGCTCAGCCTAAGGATCATTGGAGTCATATGGGGGTTGGCGACCGGAGCGAGCAGGGGGCGTAGCCCCTTAGTCTCGAATATTTTTTCCATGTCAGTATATTACGACGTGGATATTTTGACGTGAAAACTTAACAAACTGAAAAAAAAATAAAAAAATTTACTGTAAAATACTCGTAAAAGAATCTACCTTTGTAAATCTGCGTAAGATCGAAAAAGGCATGTAGCATAGATTTGGCATGTGACACGAGACCTCTATACAAATTCTCTGTCCTTTGCAGGGCTGTTAATCGTTGTACTAATGCATCATTACATAAAATCGCTCGTGAAAGGCCAAGGGCATCGGCTGTTGCACTTCCCATTCCCTCGACTAGCCTATGTTTCACCTGACATTGAAGAAAAAAATCCGTCATTATTTCGTCATTCACCCATCATTATTTCGTCTTTATATTTTCACCTTCTTCAAAGCAATATCTAGAGTTTTCCCCTGTCGAGGATCGGCGTGTAGTTTATTGTAGTTGATACTGACTTGAGTGTCACAAGCCTGAATCATCTTGGCCACCTCGACTTTGGTTTTCCCTTTGACTGAGGCACCATTAACTGCGCAGAGTTCATCTCCGGATTGAAGGGTACCTTCCAGAGCTGCTGGGGTATTGTCGAATACTTGGACTATGTACAGGCAAGGGCAGTAGGGGCCTCCGCCCCCAATACTGATGCCTATCAGGTTGCTACTATCTTTGTGAATTACCACATTGCCAGAGGTAATTACCATACCCCTAAATGGTCCAAAATTAATATGAGTGAATCAGTCTGGTTGGACGATTAGGAAGTACTTACAGCATTGTTGAATAGTATATTTCGTCATTAGGCCGAAAAAAACTTTTCTGGCGAATATGAGGTTTGCAGCACCAGCCGAAGGCGAGGGCTGCAATCATATTTGTCAGAAAAGTTTTTTTTTGCCGTATGACGAACAATATTTTGAAACGCTGCCTTACGGCCGGAATGACAAAAAGAATATTTAATATTAGAAGTGTTTAGCGTAAAAGCTGAAGATATTTAATTGCAAATGAAGGAGGAGAACATACAGTGAGGAAAAAAACAGGTCTTCTGATGATTAAAAAAATTGAAAAATATGAATAATATGATTCAATAAGTGCCCGATACATTATGTAGCCAAAAAACTGATTTGATGCGGAACATTTTGCCAATAGTCTGTTCACAATTCGGTCAAGATTCGGAAGACGCAGCATAGAAATGTAGATATTTTGGCTCTACTTTCAACAATGAAAGATTTGGTTGAAGGGACTGATCATTCACGTGGAGACCATGACATTTCAGGATGACAATTTCAGAATACCTTTCACAAAGTGAAGATGAATTAAAAATTGATCGTTCTAAGTTATATGGTTGCTATCCCATCGTCATTGTTGTTCTATGGAAAAAAATTTCTCTTGAATTTAAGTATTGAATAGCCAAAACACTAAGCAAATAACAATCCTATTGAATATGAATTTCTCGACCTGAAAATGTAGCCATTTGTGCAAATTGCTATTTGAACCTTCTTTCCCAATCGGAGGCACTTTTCAAATATTCCGAAAATTTTCGATTTCCTGGTATCACTAAGATGGTAATATGTTGGTGTAAGTTTTGACATGATTACGATTCCTATGGCGCCACGATTTAACATGTTTTTTGTACCATTCTTCTTCATGATGACGGAAAAAATAGTGAAAAAATTCCATCTCCATTATTGCTCCTGAATAGAGAACTTGCATGAAGCTCAATTCATTCTAATTCCCCTATTCACACATTCCTCATAACATATGGATAGCTAAACGGCAAAAATTATAGCGAAATATTGCCTAAATGTCTTATAATAATTAATTGCAAATCAGTCGTTTTCGAGGCCAATTTTTTCATTAAAATTAAAAATTAAAAATTTTCATTAAAATTCAGTTTCGTTGTTTTGAAGTTGTAAATATAATCATTGAATTCAAATGTGGGAATGTCAGTGCATGAATTGGTATCTCAAATATAAGAAGCTTCATGGAAATATCTTGAAAAATAATGATTGAAATGCCCATATCCCAAAAAATAATTGATAGGGATTTTTTCCTTCATTTTTCTAAATAGTGGCACCAAGGAAATCGTAATCTTCCCCATTTAAATCGAATAAGAATCAAAACCAAATGGCTAAAAAATGTAGAGAATTTACTACCTTGATTGAATTATCGAAGGAGCTAGTAGACAAACTAATCAATAAACTACTTTGTAAAATGAATAATGAAATCCTGTAAAAAATTGTATTAAGAGTCAAGAAATAATCGACCACAAAAATGAACAAATAAGAGAATTCACAGGAATGTTCAGGATCTCCACTGAAATTCCTAAACTTACGTTTGCAAAAGAAACAGCTGATGTTTAGATGGTGACTTTTGTGCAACCAGTGATACCTCTGGACTGATCACATCCAGAGCAGCAGGCAAAGAAAGAATGCGAAAAAGCCACATGAATGTTTCAAGACATAAATTGCATATTGAAAAAAAAAATAGAACAGCATACATGCGATCTTCCATCATGATGAGCTCCTCCGACTCAACGTGTTCAGTGAAAATATCAAAATCTCCTTTATCCTTCTCCTCAATCCTCGTATTATCACTCAGATCGTTCTTACTGGTTCATGCCAACGCAATAACGCATGCATGAACAAAATAAACACGACGAAGCACATCAACAATTCCGTGGATATCAAATCACATTGAAACATCGACATAAACATCAGGTATTAATTGTTATTACTCAATCAATCAATCGTAACTAACATTTTGTCCTCCTCGAAGAAAAAGTCGTCGTCCAATTCCATTCTGAGTTTAGTCCCTTGTTAATCTACAAGAAAAACATTCACCAAGTCCTTAAGGGTATACGTCAGTGAAATTTAAATGTCTTCGCTGGGCTTTGGGACTTATTGAACAGTTTGTGTATATATGACGGAATATGGGAATAACTAGGGAAAATTGCGGACCCGATCGATTTTGCCCCGTATAACCACGAAAAACTCATTTTTTGCTGTGTTTACCTTCAAAATGCTCCTTGCGCCGTAATTTTCATACGATTTTAGCATTTTTTTTCAAATTTCGTTACACTCCAAAGAATAAAGTTTAAGCACATAGATCGGCATCAATCATTACTTCAGTAGTATAATGAGAAGTTGCGCCTTACTATTGCGCCTTATAATAATCAAGTGTTTACGTATCTTTATTGAAATTTGAAAAATAATATAATGATTGGTAATTCAAATTTCCCGATTATTGGTTAATAAAATAATTCAGAATTTGAATATTCAAGTTGATGATTGATAAAATAATTCGGAATTGGAATATTAAATTGCTGGTTGATAAAATAACTCGGAATTTGAATATTTTAATTGATGATTAATATAATAATCGAAAAATTGGCGAGTAATATTTACAATTGACTTGTTCAAAATTTAAGGCCCGACTGAATTATCTTTCGAACGTGATCTTGGTTGTTTTTTTATTTTGATCATCGGGAATGATCTCCAATTGCTATTGTTTTACATAGCTCTGGAGTCTCCAAAAACTATGATTGTACAATCAAAAAAACGTTGAGAAAAAGCTGAATATTTTCAAAGTGCGTTTTTTCAATAATATTCGAAAATAAATCCAATAGGGAGGAAATTGCAAATTCATAATTTGATGTATCTAATGGTTTGTAGGTCATCATTTGTCACAGTAGTCAATGGCTTTATTAAAAACGCTCTTTGATACTGTTCGTTTTTTTCTGCTTTTTTTGATTGTACAATTATAATTTTTAAGGGCTCCTACGTGATGTAAAATCCAATGGAAATTGTGATATATTTCACGTTATGAAGATTGAAAAACAATCGAGATAACGTTCGAAAGATAATTCACCCGGGCCTTAACTGTCATTAAAAATTATGATTATGTCTGGTTAAGCATCCGTTTTACTTTATTCCCAATAATCATGAATAAATAAATTTTGAATTTCATAAATTTTTCGCGTCTCTAGAGTAGGACTAAAAATTCATCGTTTTTCGTAATTGAACATTGTAATCATGCACAATCTAATTTTTATGAACAAAAAACAATGCAAGTTTGAAGCGAAAAGGCGAGTTCAAAAGAAAATTTATGAAATGCAAAATTTATTTATTCAGGATCTATTGCGACTAAAGTAAAAGGAATGCTTAACTTTATTGTTTAGAGGGTAACGAACATTTAAAAAAAGCTGAAATCGTATGAAAACTACGCTGCAAGGAGCATTTTGAAAGTGAAAGCCGGACAAAATGAAGTTTTTCGTAGTTATACGGGGTAAAATCGATCGGGTCCGTGATTTTCCCTAGTTATTCCCATATCCGGTCACATATCTATCTATCTGTCTTTATTATATAGACGCCAGGTTAAAAACCCATCGGAGCCTACTTAGCAAACAAAAATACAACACCGTTACAATGCATATAATAATTCAAAACATATTATGATAGCCTCATTCAACTCTTCCTGTATTTATCACTGCACTGCACATATCACAAACTGCTCAATGGGTCCCAGTATTGCGGCCTAGTGAAGACTTAAATTTTATCAACGTATCCCCGTAACCTCATGTACAAAATAAAACCTTTCAACACTTGTAATTTTTTTTTAAATATCTGTAAATCCAATTGAGATGAGGAAAAATTGGGTCTGATCTATTTTTGAAGGAAATTCCCCTGCCTGCAAAAAAGGTCTGAACCAAAACCTCGCTATCTCCATCAGCTCTAGAAATATTCGCGATTCCCTCCGGCGCAAAATAAATCCTTGCACTTACCAATAACGCTATCCGATTCAAGTTTTCCAGAATTTATCGAAATTGGGAGGTTTTCTGGGTTTTATTCCCTCCTTCTCATGCCACGAAAACAAACATCCGCCATTCTGTTATCTATCTTAATCGACAGATAAAAGATGGCGCCAGTGAGGCTTTCCAGCTGATAAATCTCAGGGACAAGTCAGACTTACCGATTTTTTTTATTTTGGTTTTCCACTTCCACGTTGTTCGCTGGTCCGATTGACGAGTGCAGCGGTTCTTCCACGTAGCAGTAGGTTGGAGAGGATGATATTGGAGTTTTTACCAAAACCGTTGTGACTCGTGTAACAGTTTACTCTTGACAATCGGGCTTTGGAGTTTGTGGTGAAGTAGTTGGATTCATCTATCCACTAGGTTTCAAAATAATCTATTTGGAATTGAGTGTGGAAATAGATTGAGAATTTTGCAAAGTTATTTTTGAAAATAATAGTAGTAAATATGAAGGGTTTGGTGTTTCTCGTGCTCATCGCACTGCCGGCGTTGATCTCCATAGTCAATTGTGGTAAATTATCTTCCTTTTATTGTGAAAATATACCGGAAATGTGGGAGAAATATTTTGGAATACCTCACGACGTTTCTGCTCCATTTCAAATGATTTTTCAGCTGGTTTTTCTGTTATGAAATGAAGAGTTTGTGATGGAACTTGATATTTGGGGGCTACGTTCAGGGGATTATTGCCGAGTTTATCATATTTGCTGTAGATTATTATAGATTATTGAAGATTAGTGTTGTTGGGGAGAGAGACTAGATATTTTTATTCATGATGATTTTGGGGTTTTGGTTACAGGGGCGAATGTAGCATATGCCCAGGAGGATGAAACTGTTGACGATATGGTAGACGTCGAGGAAGAGAGCAGTGTACTTACTGAGGATGAATTGGAGGAGGAGGCTCAGACGGCTTCTGCCGACGCTGATACCACTATTTTGTTCACGAAACCTGTTCTTAGTCCATTGTCGAGCTTAGGTGAGAGAAATTTTTTATTATTATTTAATTTCTGCATTTAGGATACATAGCCCCATTCCAGGGTGAAGTAATATAGGGGTAGAGTGGGGTAAAATGGACACATGACCTTTTTAACAATATTCATAACTCAGAAACAGATTTATCAATTGAGCTCTGTCTAAGCTCATCACAAAGAGGAATCATTGTTCTTTCAATTGAAAAATAAAATTATTCCATTTCATGAACAATTCAACACGTCATGAATATTTAAAAAAAAATCAAAAGTGTCCATTTTACCCTGCCCTCCCCTACACATGTCCAATAAGTATAAATATAAATGCAGTTTCAACATTTGGCAACGCAAAGTGAAGACAAAATAATAACTGGTAAAAAAATCCATCGATCAGCTAGTGCTCTATCAAAGGAATTCAGTGATGAAAGATGGAGACAACTGCTCCATTATGCACTAACAGTGTAACAATCAAGAGTAATTTGCTAAATGACTTTAATCTCTAATTTGAATGGTACTAATTAGATATTAATCTTTGGGAAATTTCTGTCATGCAATTGAATTGAAAAGTTTAAAAACGGAAAACATGGAAATCTATAGCGCAGAGTTCCGAAATGGTACACTGAGAGAAAAACTTCAGAGGTATCAAACAAGTCTTACTTGTTCCAAAAAAATCGTTTATTAAAAATGATCAAAAAGAATTTTTTTGTGCAAATATACGAAGCGTGCGCCAATATTGAAAATTTCTATTGCAAAAATAGATTGTCTTTTCAAAAAAAAATTATTCTCTGTACAAGCAAAAAATCTCATTTCTAGCACTACTTCTTCGTTATTTGATGCTCCCATACGTATTTTGCTCCTGGCAAATGCTCATTTTATATGAAACGAGGGATAGTATTTTGTCGTTTTGGCCATTCAATAATCACAGACAAAAAATGAATGCTTAAATGAAACAATAATAATGATATGACAGCAATCTTGTAACTTAGGGACGAAATATTTCTTGATAAACTTTCCCCTATAAAAGATATTTTTATCCTGAAAAGGCACCGTCTTGCATGAATGATCCACCTCTTGAGCCAAATATTTCGTTGTTATTGAGAGCAGAGTAATTATTCATGTCTGAGTTTTTCAAATTCGAACCTAACAATTATTTTTTAGGAATTTTAAACTAACGAATTTGTTGGCCCAAAGAGGACTTTTCGAGAACTTATTCTTTTTTCTTGCAGTGTAGAGCTATTTTAAATGTTTGGAATCAATTTTTTAAGTATAACTTTCTCTATTAAGGCCCGGGTGGATTATCTTTCGAACGTGATCTTAGTTTTTTTCTTATTTTGATAATCTGGGTTCATGTCTAAATATTTTCCGACAAAAAACACCGTCAAAACAATTTTACGTCAAAAAAACTTGGTTAAAGAAAACCTTCGTTAAATAAACCCAACCCAAAAACAACTTCTCTCATAAAAAATTCCAGGAAGAAACAACACAAAAAACCACCTGAAAAATAATCAATGATGAAAGAAAAAAACCAACGACTATCAATGAAATTGAAAGAAATTTTATTAACAAAATAAAAGAGTAGTAGACAAAAAAAAAATGCAATTAAAGGGGGATATTCAGAGCAATTCCTTTCAAATATTTCATGTACGAACGATTAGCGTAATCACGGACAATAGCACTCAAAGGCAAAAAAATATTCGGGTTTTCAACAAAGTATTTCTACAGAAGTTGTTTTTAAAAGAGTTTTTTATGACAAACGTGGTAATCGAAAAAGTTCAAAAACCCGAGTTTTTATGACGAAGTTGTTTTGACGGAAAATATTTAGACGTGCTCCTGATAATCTGAAATGATCTCTAATTGCTATTCATTTTACATGGCCCTAGAGTCTCCAAAAATTATCATTCTACAATCAAAAAAACGGTAAAAAAAAATAAACATTTTCAAAGAGCGTTTTTGAATAATATTGGGAAATAAACCCAATAGGGAGGAAATTGCAAATTAATAATTTGATGTATCTAATGGCTGTTAGGTCATTTGTCACAGTAGTCAATGGCTGTCAGATCGTTAGTTACCGTGATAAATTATCCATTCACTATTTCCTCTCTATCGGACTTTCAAATTTCAAATTTCACCGGTTTTTAGTTGCAAGGGTTAACTTGCCAACGCGGCCATCGCTCGAGGGCCTTCAGCCAGGGAATGTAATAATCAATAATAAACAAATGTAATTACAAGCGTGGAAGCAATCAATGGAATTTATTTATGAATATAGAACTTCCTGGAGGACATGTGGTTGAATTTCTCGTCGGCTTCACCAACAAAGGAAAGACAGACTTCACCCTGGAAACTCTGGAGACATCCCTCCGTTATCCCATGGACTTCAAATTCTACATCCAGAATTTCACTCACCTCGCTGTCAACAAAGTAGTCAAGCCTAATCACGAGGCCACTCTTCAATACTCATTCATCCCCTCTGAGACATTCGCCGGAAGACCATTCGGTCTTAATGTCAACCTGAATTACAGAGATGCTGTAAGAATCTTCTTACGAATCTATTGAAATAGTGAAACTAGAATTATTTAATTATCGTTTTAAAGCCCGCATGTATTATCTTTCGAACGTGATCTTGTTTGTTTTTTATTTTTATTTTGATAATCTGAAATGTTCTTCAATTGCCATTTAATTTTACGTAGCCGTGAAGTCTTCAAAAATTATGATTGTACAATAAAAAAAATGTTGAAAAAACTGAACCTTTTCAAAAAGCGTTTTTGAATATTATGTGGAAATGAACCCAATAGGGCAGAAATATTTACAATATCTAATGGCTGTTCAGTCGTCATTTGTAAATTATCCATTTACAATTTCCTCTCTGTTGGATTTATTTCCTAATTTTTATTGAAAATGCTCTTTAAAATCTTCATTTTTTTCTACTTGTTTTGATTGTGCAATCATAATTTTTATAACATTTTAGATTTTGAAGATGGAAAAACAATCGAGATAACGTTCGAAAGATAATCCACCTGGGCCTTAAATTATTTAATGATTCAATTTTACTTTGGGATCGACTCTTGCTGAAAATTCTAAAATTATTTTCTGATTTCATTTTGTCTTCTCTTCCTAATGATTTTTGGTATTCTCTTAGAGCGGAGCTGCATTCAGTGAAGCTGTCTATAACGAAACAGTTCAAATAATCGAGTTGGACGAAGGTCTGGATGGTGAGACTGTCTTCTTATACATTTTCCTCGCTGCTTGTGTAATTTTGACCCTCGTGGGTGGACAGCAGTTACTTTCATCTCTTGGAAGGAAGTCGAGATCTTCGTCAACGAGGAAACAGGCTGTGGAGATGGGTACGTCGAACCCCAACAATGTTGATTTCGACTGGCTGCCAAAGGAGACTCTCAACAGACTCAGTAAGTTGATTATCAATAGCTCAATTTCACTGTCCTGATAAGTAAATTTTTCAGATTTGAGGTTTTTTCTGAATATCTCGAAATATAATTTTTGTAAGTTCTTATAGATGGTTCTAGAATTTTTTTCCCTGCCTCAAATTCAGAAACATCTATCAAACACTAATACTCGTTTCACGAAATTAGTTTGAGAATTATTTAAAAAATAGTAGTGCTCGGATTTGACCTCAGCAGTTACTAAACATCTTGTTTTTGTTTTCTTTTTATTGCAGACAAATCCCCAAGAACGCCGAAACAGAGTCCCAGGCAAAGGAAAGCGAAGAGAACAGTTGGGTCTGATGATTGAGTGTGTGTTCGTGTTTAATTATTTAATCTAGGAATAAATTCAAGACAGAAAACTAAAAACGATGTGTTGGACGGTGGTGTGAGTGATGCACAGATGAGATCAATCTATTTACCTTTTTGTTTACGAAGTAATTTAAGAGCCGTAAGAGTTTGTATTCGAAACAGAAATTAAATTTTTTCCATAAAATGACACATTCCAAGTTATTATTTCATTAAAAAAATTACTGACAAATTATAATTTTGTTATTAACATTTTTTCACACAATCTCGACAATTAGGAGCATCGATAACTCGTGCATTTCCTCTACATTGAGAGAAAAACAAATACGTCAAACAAGTCTTGTTTGGGCCAACAAAATCACTCGTTGAAAATTGCCAAAAAAGAATTTTTTTGGTTCGAATTTGAAAGTCTCAAACATGAATAATTGTTCTGCTTTCGACAGCAATGAAATATTTTGCTCGAGAGGCGGATAATTCACACCAGACTGTGCCTTTTTCGGATGAAAATATCTCATATAGAGGAAAAGTTATCAAATAACAAAAATTTTATCCTTAAGTTACAAGATTGCTATCATATCATTATTAGTGTTTCATTTAAGAGTTCATTTCTTGTCTGTGATTATTAGACAGCCGAAACGAAAAACTACTATCCCTTGTTTCGCATAAAACAAAGATTTTTCGGGAGCAAAATACGTATGGGAGTATCGAATAACGAAGGAGTAGTGCTGGAAATGACATTTCTTGCGTGTACAGAGAATGCAATTTTTTTTGAACTACTAAATCTATTTTAGCGACAAAAATTTTTCATTCCGGCGCACTCTCTGCATGTTTGGCACAAAAAAATTATTTTTTGATAATTTTCAAAAAACTATTTTCTTGGCGCAAGTAAGACTTATTTAAGAAATTTGTCGTTTTTCTCTCAGTGTACATTATCGACCAGTCGGCAATGTGGAAAAAATACTGAAATTATCGATGACTCATTTAACATCATGTATAAGCAGCGACTTTAAATTAGTATATTTCGTAACGAGTGCAAAAAGTTGTTTTCTGGCGAGTGGGAGGTTAATCCCACGAGCTAAAAAACATTTTTTCACGAGTTACGAACAATATTTTTCATCACAATGTGGCGGAAATTGGACTTTTAGGCACGCGGAGCGTGCCGAAAAGTTCACTTTTCGTCACAGCGTGATGAAAAATAATTTTTGTTGTTGCTTGCTTCTGGGGTTTCTCAAATTTTACAAACGGTGTCGAAATGGATTCAATAATGTGTGAAGAAATCTTCATAAAAGTGACTGCATTTTTTGAGCTAATAAAATTGAGCTGCAATGATTTACCAATTACTAAATTGATTGAATATTCGCAAAGCCATAAGTGCTTGGTTTTCTGACAACTGACGATCGGTATGAAATATTCCCCAAACGAAGAAGTATATGAAAATTTTCGTAGGAACTCTATCCGAGGAATTAAAATGAAAATGGTAAATGGCTCGAGCGAATGAAACGGTATTTAATCGGAGTTACTGAGTCACGTTTTTTGGAATTTTCTCTGAGATACTTGGTTTCTGCCATCTCCTCTGAAATACAAAGTTTCAGTGAATATTCTTGAGATGCTCAAATTTAGAACGAAATCTTGAGATACTTGAGTTTGGAAATGTTTTCTGAGTTACGTACTTTCCTTTAGGAGTCTTTGAAATGATAAAATTGAAATATTGCATAGGATTTGAACGAAAAAAAGGAATAAATGAAAATAATTATATTAAGACGAACGAAGAAAACGGAAATATAGCCAAAATTATTAGTTATGAATTAATAATTGAATTAATAATAAATTCAAAGGAATCTCCGGAATTTTGATTTTCAAAAAATACAAAATTTTTAAAAATTTTAGAATAAATCAGAGTAACGATTATTGCTGTCGCCTTCATTTTAGAACTCGGCCGAAGGGACATCCAAACAAATTTTCAGAAATCAGAACATTTTTTTTAAGAACAAATTTTCAGAAATCAACATTTTTTTAGTTATCGTAAGACAACCCCCTCACCGGGGGCTTCGCCCCCTGGACCCCCCTTTTCTCGTGAGGGGCCTCGCCAGCCCTCCCCCCCCAAACTTCATCACGCACTTATCATATAAAATAGTATACGCAACACGTGCGGACAGCAGGCGGTATCACGGGCGGCTGCGCCGCCCTCGTGAGTAACCGCCTGCTTTCCCCACTAGTTGCGTAATGTACTATTTTAGGTACGCGAACGTCCCTTTTCCACACATCATGATGAAAAATATCATTCGATACTCATGGGAAAAGTGTTTTTTGGCTTGTGGGCAGGGTTGGACATCTGTCGATGACGGAAGTTTTTTACAATGAGATTGTAAAAAGCCCGTAATTTACGTAATAAATGTAAAAAATGTAAAAAACTAGCCGACGTTATCTTTTATCGGAAACGGTGAAGCTTCGCCAAGATATACTTCGCGAGGTTGATAAAAGTCACGAGGTTCATACCTCATCAGGCTCATACGTCTTGGGGGTCACGCCGTGTAAGGGATGAATTTTACAAGGGTCAATCTCATTATCATTAATCTCTATTGAATTCGTCGCGTCATCATCTTTTGCCTTCACATTAACCTATTTCATTCAGCATTCTTAAATGACAAAACTATTCAACTGCTTTGGTAGCTTTTTTTAACGCTTCAGAACAAAATGGTTTTTTTCAGGGACAACTGAACTTTTCCAGGGCTCCAAATAATAAAGAGGAAAATCCAATAAAGCTCAATAGATAATGAGATTGACTTTCTCACAATGGAGATGATTTGTGACTTTGGTCTTTTGCAATGTTTGACCCCCGTGAAATTTACTCTTTATGAGGTATGGGGCTCATGTTTTTGAGTTTCTTAAAATGCCGTGAATCATACCACGTGAGGTAAAATTGTTTTATCGCCGTGTGGCATACAATATTTTATGTCTCTGTGCCCGGAAACCGCGATTTAACCGAGGGAATCGATGTTAGAATCGCAGTTTTATGGACCTGGGGACATAAAATAATTTTTTATGCCTCAAGTACCGACAACTGCGTTCTAACCGAACAAAGTGAAGTTAAAATTCGCGGTTTATCTGTTCTCGGGACAAAATATACTGTTTTTTATCATATTTATGCGTCCAATACTGCGTCATCGACTGTCGGAATAACATAAAACATTCTAGTAACCGAAAAATGCCAGCTTTTCGAAGTAATGTAAAAAATGTAAAAAACCCGTTGAGGTAATTTACGTAAATTACGTCGGTTGTGGAGTTATATCATTCGCCTTCGGCTCGTATTATAAACCTTCCATGAGCCAAAAAACGCGTTTCCGCACTCATATCGAAATATACTAATTCGGACTTTTTGAACAATACTGGGTCGATATAACACAAAAAATCCAAAACTTAAATTTGAATCATTACAAATCTTTCATTTAGAACCAAAAATAGCCAAAGTATTTGGCCATCCTTAATGAAAAATTTAATGCTTGAAAATCCCTCGAAGAATACAGATTACCTAAACTTCATAAAAAATCCTAAGCCTCAAGTGAAGTTTCTTTTGAATTCGTCCTTGAAAATAGTATCAAGACTACTCGCCTAATCCTCTTGGCGCTGGCGTCGAATTCCCAATAATTTTTGTTTCTCTCTCCCTCCTGAATTCACTGCGTACTCCCTGACGTTTGCTATCGTCTCGTGCTCCCTGTGTTTGTTGTTGTGCGAAAAGTCTCAGGATAATCCTCCCCGAGACAATTCCCATGAAATCAGCAAAAATCACGTGAATTTTCACTCGTCCAGAGTCTCCTGTTGATTGTTGTGAGCATACCTTAAGAGTGAAAATTTGGGATAAAATATTTTGGAGTAAATATTGTCCAAATGTTCGATCAGTGGTAGTACAGAGCTACATCAACATCAACACTCACTCGCCTCTGAATCTCGTCATTGTTTGGTGGACTTTTTTATTCATTTTTTTTGTTACTCTAGAAGTGGAAATATGAGTGATGATGACAGGGACATTGATATCGAGAGTGACGTGAGTAGAAAAGAACATAATTGTTAATTATAAATGAGTAAATTATTCATTTGTCAATGATTTTTTAATCATTTATTATGCATTTGTTAATTTACCCATTTTTTTTTGTAAAAAAATAAATAAATAATTAGCTCCGTGTAATTTGCTTTTATAACTTTATTTTTAGGAAGGCGACGACTCCGATTCGAGGCAGAGACAGTCGAACAATCCCCAATACTATTCACAGGTAGTCATTTGATGGAATATAGTTGACGAATTCTTCAACGGAATTGTTTAATTTTATTTCAGGCTGAAAAGAGGGCGCACCATAACGCATTAGAACGTAAACGAAGGGACCACATCAAGGACAGTTTTTCGAGTTTACGCGATACTGTACCATCACTTCAAGGTGAAAAAGTTGCCAGTAGAGCGCAAATACTGAAAAAAGCTGCTGAGTATATTCAGCAGATGAGACGCAAGAATTCCTCACATCAACAGGACATTGAGGATCTCAAGAGACAGAACAATCTGTTGGAATCGCAGAGTATGTCATGTTCCTTGTAATTTTTGTTTTTAATGAGTTGAGCTCGACCTGTCCTAATTAAAAAGGCACGTATCGGGCGAAAATTTTTAAAGACTTCGTCTTGGAATTCAAATTTGCAAAGATTTAATTCAATGTTCTGGCTTAAAAAGATGTATTTCAATTCGTCCCACAAGAAAGGACTATCTCAGCTGAAATTCAATGAGTTGTCAAATTTGATACTAAAATAATAAAGCTTTCGTATGGACAGAGTATGTGAAATATTTCAATTTCACTACTACATAGATATATTTTACCTTTTGCCTTTTTAAATTTCCACTGAAAGAGTACTTTCCTGGGGGAGGCATTGTGGTGCAAATTTTATTATGCAAAGAAACTTACTAGTTAACAAACGTAAAAATGAGTAATATCGATCACATGAACACATAACTCGACTTTCTTCGTATACACTGAGAAAAAAAATATTTTTGCCAAATATTCATTTACTTGAGAGAAGTATTTATTTTTTGAAAATCGTATTTCTCTAATTGAGTAATTCCTAGGCGAGTCTGATTAGGTTTCAATTATGGCCATCATATTGGTCTAGAGGATGACTATGTTGCACATGATCTAGGATGAACTCCTCGAATTATTATTCATTCTTTCTAAACTTCTTTTATTCTAGAGGGAAGTATTAGGATTAATTTTTTTAATGTTGATGATTATTAAAGGAGTTCACTCAAGGTCATTGCTAACATGATCATCTCCTGGAACAATATAATTGTCATAATTAAAACCTAACGATAATTGCCTGGGAATGACTCGATTGGAGAAATATGATATTGAAAAAATAAATACTTCTCAAGTAAATGGATATTTGGCAAGAATAATTTTTTTTCTCAGTGTATGAGAATTTATCAGAACAATTTAACTAGCAATACAAACATGAATGCCATTATATTTTCAACTTATCAATTATTTATACGAGGTATTCCATGTCAAATGAGTTAACGGCTGACTCTCACCCTCTTGGAAATTGATCTCTATTTTTTCTACGATTGAGGCACTAGAAACAATATCTCTCAATTTTTTTCAGATTTTTTTAACAGCCCATTTTGGAGATATGATTGTTTCTTCAATTTTTCGTTTTTTTTTTCGATAACTCCAGTTCTGTTCATCCGATTTTGATTTATGTCACGTTTTATTTCTCTCGTTTTTTTTTCTAGAAATTCCACGAATTTGGTCAAAATACCCCAAAATGGCGTTGATTGACTTTGATTATCAACAGTATGAAGTGAATTTAAATGCATTCCTATATTACATTTCCTTTTTATACATAATCGATGTCGTTTTGGGGTGTTTTGGCCAAATTCGCGGAACCAGGACGAAACTCAACTTGTATGACAGCTCAAAATACTTGTTTTGATTATAAGAGTTACTACTGAAAAAAAGATGAGAAAAATAAAAGGCGGCATAATTTTGAAAATGCGGTATTATGAGCATCTTGGGATTGAAAAAAAAATACCCAAAATCCGAAAAAAATTGAGAGATAGTTTTTCTAGCCCCCCAATTGTAGAAAAATCGAGATCAATTTCCAAAAGAGTGAGGGTCAGCCGTTGACTCATTTGGCATGGAATACCTCATATACTTTTAACTGAACTACTTTGGCACGTGCCAGACGAAAAAATCAGTGTTCCGTCAATTGGAAATGCCATGGAAACCCAACCCAAATGACGGAGTACCCATGTATTGGTAGAAATAATAACTTTCGGATAAAATGAATGCAAAAAAAAGAAGCTTTCGGGTCAATATTAGTCTGGCCTTACGACATTTGATGATTATTAACCCAAGTAACTTCGTTCGGCACGTCAGAGATAATTCAATATTTGATTAAACTTGAATGATATACTATTGTTATATTTTTCTTTCGTTGTCAATTATTTTCTGTACACAATGTTCTTTTTTGCTTTGAATTATTGTGGTTCAGCCTTGGAGACACTTTTTTCACATTTTTAACTCTCGTTTCATGAATTTTTCTGTTGAACTTTTTTTCCTATTGTTATTAGAATAATTTATTAATAGGTCAGTGGATATTTTTTACAATATTGTTACCAAGGCAATTTTTTTTTTATTGGTTTGATGTCTATTTTCCTCTCTTTGTTAGTTCGAACCCTCGAGAAAGCAAAAATAACGGGAAACTTTGCTGCCGAATCGTGTGAAGTTGTGAAAGCAGAGTCCGTTGGAATAGGTAACTACAACGATTCTGAATCAGAATCATCGGACAGTGAAACTGGCCGCGCTATTCGTCATCCGAAGAAACTTAAAATAGCAAGTATGCATCATTAAAAATGAAAAATCATCAACATCCCATGATTTTTCAAAGAAAAAATGTGAAAATATGCAATGAATTATGTGAATTTGAGAGTAATTATAATATCTCGATCTAACGTTATTTTCATAACTTGTTTCTGTAAAGAAAACTTTTGAAATTCATAATCTAAAACCATGTAATGTAGATAATAATTTAAGTGGAGAAATTAAATGGAATCAATGTTTGGTTAGTTGTAGATTGAACCTTTTACTCCACCGATTGACAACCAAAAACACTATTTTTGTACTATTCGTCTCAAAAGCATAGATCAGCATCAATCATTACTTTAGTAATATTTTGAGAAGTTGTACCTTACAATAACTAAAATTTACTTATCTTCATCGAAATTTAAAAAATAATATAATAATTGGTAATTTAAATTTCCCAATTATTAGTTGATAAAATATCTAGGCTCCTATCATGAAGAAAAAACAGACCGTTCGAATCGCATGATGAGTGAAAAACAAATAGAAAGACCATGTATTTTAAGAGGCCTCGGGAGTGAAAAAAAACTACCAAAATGCGGGGAAAACTTTGCTCCCTAAGGTCTCCGCCAATAACGGATGAAAAAGTATACTAAATAGCTCAAAAAATTTGACATTTTTTAGTTTAGAGCATGGGAAGCAATGGATATGATCCGAATTTTCTGAGTGGGTCAAATTATTTTTTAATATATGAGGTAATTGACAGTTCTGAGGGGATTGCCATCTTGCCTAGGAGTGCAGGTGGCGCCGCCTTGTCTGGGGCGGAGAGTCGAAATCAGCGTTTATATTAAAAAATAATTTCAACCCATTCAGAAAATTCGGATTACCCACATTTCTTTCCATCCTCTTAATTAAAAAATAACAAATTTTTTGAGCTATGTTTTATACTTTTCCATGCCTTTTTGGCGGAGAACTTAGGAAGCAAAGCTTTCCCGGCATTTCAGTAGTTTGTTTTTTCTCCCGAGAGCTCTTAAGGATATCCAAGTACTTTGGCTATTTTTTCCAGTAAAATGCCAAAGTGCCTGGTTGGAAATCCCAAGTTCCCCGTTATTTTTTCCAGTAAATGCCTCTAAAGTGTTCTAACTTTTATAGTCGAACATCAGAGCTTTCATTTAAGCCCCATTTGACCCTAACAAAGAACACTAGGTAGGTGTTCGCCCCCGATTGTGATGAAATTTATATATCTTATAGAGGAGGGGTGGGCAACCTCAGGTAAGCTCGGATCGCTAGTCATAAAATCATTAACTGCCCCAACTGCAGGGGTCCCAATCTAATTAGAAGGGTCTCCGTAACCAGCGGTGGTAGGGGTAACGTTGGGAGGGAGTGCATGCAAACCATTTGAATGCAAGTACACTGTATTCGTAAATTTATTTTTAAATTATTTTTCAAAAATTTGGATTATTTATTTTATTGGATTGTTGCCTACTCTTGGCCAGCTTTTTACACTGCACCCGAACAGCGTGTCCTTGATGTTGGAATCAACTAGTAGTGTTCGCTCAAAGTTTTGACAAAAATGAGTCACACGAAATACGCAGCAACATTACTCGACAGCTTGTAATGCCGTTTGAATATCCAAGAAATACAGATAAATGCATTTCAGAGTTCAATTGGTTGAAATGTCAGAAAAACAACTCAATAACATATATTTTTAACAATTATAAACTTAGAACAGTTCTATCATATTCAATTTATTCAAATAAAATTATTCATCAATTGAATAATCATGGAACCAATTAAAAATTAAAAGGAGTGAGTTGTTGAACTTCAATTTCCAGATAAAAAGTTTAATATTTGTTAATTTTTGTCCCTGGAGAACTGGCGATCCATCATTCACAGAAAAATAACTATAATAAAAGAAATATCTTTCAATTGAAAAAATTACAATAAAATCATGCTTTGACATTTCTTAGTTTTTTAAAATTGTTGTGGTTATTTTCAGGGGAAAAAATTAAAAATATTTTCGTTGCAAAGTTGAAAGAAACGCGGAATTTTTATGGATTAAAAAAAAATGGTTTCTCCTCTATTACGATTACTTATTTTTCAACTAAGCTCCTATTAATATTCGAAATATCAAAAAATTCATTGAAATCCGAAAAAAATAGAAACGAACGAAATGGAGTTTTAAATTAATTTGCAGACAATGAAAATGGGTAGTTTACATGATAACGAATTCTTCATATTAAAAAAATGATTATCCAGGAGGAAAATATAATATTCAATAGAGAATACTAAATTCCTAATAAGAAAAATTATTGCTCAAAATTTTATGAAATCATTTCGATTTGAAAGAGGCTGAAAAAATACGAAGTGTCATACTAAAAAATACGTCTGGATCTCTCCTGAAAAAATTTTGTCCTGTGGTCGATAGAGGTGTAGAGTATAATGAATTGAAAATGGAAGATGTCCCCTGGAGTTCACCAGACTGAAGATGCAAGTGAGAATGGCGAATTCACATATGAGATACTTCATCATCATTGGTATCCTTTACTGATTCAATCCTACGCAATTATATACCTTTTGTTTCCAATTCTCCAAGGAAAGCCTTGCCCAAATCCTCTTCTCCTGCTCCTTCTACCTTCTGCTGAGGCTTCACTTTCTTCCCAACTACCGATCCATATCTAACCACCTATCTCCCTCTGGAATCTCTGCTTTCCTTAACAGTAGTGATTTTTCTGCCACGGGATCTCTGTATTTTTTTTTGCAAACAAGTGCTTTCAACTGCGTGCCCTGAAATTGAATGATTAGGGCCTTCCGAGTTAGTGTTAATTGAAGGGGATGGTCATTTGGTTTTCTATAATGTAGCCCCACCACTCATATCGCCGCTGGCTTGCTGCTTATCACTAAATTCCTGATTGGTGTTGTCAGAAGTTAATCTAACTTAATTTAGACTCGGCATATTTTGTTATTTTAATTTCAAAATCTTATTCTGTTTCTTTTCTTATATCCTTTTTCTTTTTCAACACTTGCTGCACACGATATCTCATGCAATGTATTACGAACCCTCTCTGTACTAATGGTACCATGTACCAAAGGCAGTAATAAATTATATAGATATAATGAATTGTAAATAACATGTAAATGAGATAATCTTACAACTTCGATGCTTATATCGTATTTAATGAGATTTTAGTAAGGACATATAAAAATGACATTTTTCGCGATAATAGAAAATCAAATCGGAACAGTAGGCGATAGTGATAAAAATATCAATCCGAATCACTTCTCTTATCTAAAAATAATAATGTAAAACAACATCATAACAGTAAGCGATAGTGATAAAAATATCAATCCCAATGTTTCCTCACTTATTGTATTTAAAAATAACATTTGGTTTTGCAATGCGATTTTTCTTACTGCATCTTTCGATTAATCATTCCCTGAGCTTTTTATGGTTATAATAATGAGTGAACACTTGTAATTTGACCCTGAGTATTCCTCCGAAACTACTTCCGGTCTATTCCTTATCCGGACTCCTTCAACCCCCCAGGGTTTAACCCATTGCGCCACCAAGCTCACGAAAAGTATCGGTGGTGAGGAAAAGTGATGGTGGTGGGGGACTAACCAACGAGTACGCGCAACATGGCTGTGTGCGACTGCGGCCGAGTGTTGGTGCGTTGATGAGTTCCTCACCACACCGACTGTCAGGCCCGTATCCACCTTTTCACTGCGACGGGCGTATGGCTGTTTTTTGTGTTCCATAATTGTTTTTCCTTCAAAACTCATTTCTACTCTATTATTTATTTCTTTTGTGAATTGATTCGTGATCAAGAGTTATGTGAACAAACTAGGAAGTTGGAAATCTAGTTTTAAGGTTACGTTAGGTAAGTCTGTTGACATGGTTCGAGATTTCTGTCTTTCGTTTGCTTCTTCCAAATAGAAAATTGAACTACAAATCAACCAAATATCATAGTCAAACTCAAATTGTATATGTATTGGATATTGTATTTTTTTTTATCATTCCGAGACATGGAAAACGGTGCAAACATTGATACTATATTCTTTCTCTCGCTCAGTTCATCTCTTCCCCTTTATTATTATCAAATTGATTCCCAATTATTCTTTATCTGATTATTGAATATTTCATATTTTTGTCCATTTGGAGATAGTCAAAACGCTGAAAACGTTGACGTGGTTTTTTTCCCTTGTACGGTTGTTTTTTTCTCAAAATTATTAAATTATCATAATTTCAAATGATGGAAAAAAGAATNAAAAAAAGAATAATTTATTTTTTTTCGCTCATAACCATTATATTAATTGTAAATTATTGTTCCGCAGTTGAGTTTAGTCATTCCATTCTTAGATTTTCCTACTGATTCATAGAAAAGAAATCACTTTTGTCAATTTCGTTTTGCAAAATTAAATTTTGATGATCCCAAATACTGAGGTAACGTATTTTTTTATTGTTGTATTCAGTGACTTNTTCCCGTTTTTCTCTCTCAACGCTAGCGCCTATGATTTTTGAACGGTACCGCACATACGTGCCTGGGCGCACCATCCCCACCTCTGTCGCTCCGCGTGGAGCTATAGAGTGGAGACAGACGATGGTGGCGCAATGGGTTAATATTATTTTGGGCGCCAAGTGATGCTTTTGTTACCCAGGCATCACCGGACTGGGCCTACCCGGGATTTCGCGCCCTCGGGTAAGGATAAGGACCCTCCTGACTCTTCTTACCGGATTTTCATGACCAGATCCAGGCCTGGCGCACGGACTAAGCGATCTTTTCTCTCGGTTTCTGGTACCCAGGTCCGTTACTAGGATGGGCTGGTGCATCGGCACCTGGTCCCACTGATCTTAACTCTACTAGCCTAAACTTTGGGTGGATTGGAGAATAGGGGAGCAAGGTTACGAGCCGCGGCTGTTCAGTGTGTGGGTTTGGTAGAGATGGCGGGGTTCTGGGGTCAACTATCGCTACAGAAACTACTCTCCAACCCAGATTATATATTAGATTTATTCTTAAGCCCGGTGGCTTGGCGCAGTGGGTAAGTTCGTTGCCTCACATGCGAAAGGTTCCGAGTTCAAATCTCGGCCGGGTAGAATGGTGCGATATAACCATTTAAAGTCTTGATCATCATCGCAGTATACCCTAACCGGGCCGAAGCGATGTAAAATAACGATAAAAAAAAACATTCTTACATTCCGGTATTATCACAAGGCGGTTTTCTATTTTCGTATATTCGCATTAAATTTCTGGGACTCGGGGATCCGTATGACTCGCACTCACCCGTTTATTGTGCTCTGGTTTCGGATGGATTTCAGCCGCAGGACTTCTAGTTTGTCTCCTCTTGTAGCACATTCAATCAATTCTCACTCGCGAATTGTCCCTAGCTTGTCCCGACCTCGTACTGGTGCGCGACTTCTAGGTACAGACTTGGGTATTTTCTAGGGCGATAGTAGGGCTAGCCTCCATATTCTCACTGACTCAGGCCATAGGGCATGCACCGGTCAGGGATGGCCGGGCCTTACGCTCGGGGCAGGTGCCGCTCAAGCGTCCCAACCGCTTCTCTCGGCTCTTCGCACTCGACTGCCTTCCTTTTCTTTTTTTATCATTTTCCTTTCGTATCATTTTTCCCTCGTTGCAGGTTTAGGATGAGGAAGGGGATTCGTGTTTTACCCCGTGATACTAAGACACTTTACTTTTCCCAGGTACCCCTGAATTGAGTCCTTGAGTTATTGCAGGGCTTCCTGTATTTCCCAGCATCACTAATGTGTAGGGCGCGGGTTGTCGGTCCGACCTAAGCACTCATCCCCTTCCTCTCAGATCGATGCCTGGTCCAGCTTTCTTCCTGCCTCATGCATCGTCGCCGTCCGATAACTGCGGTTATGCTGATGCGGGGCTTGTTTCTGTGGAGTCCCTCGCCTGCGTTCCTTACGTAGATTCCCTGTGTCCTATCGTCCCTGTTCTTTTCCTTAAATTTTCCCTATCCTTATTCTGGTGACTATAAATAGACTATAATTTACTAACCTGTTCGCAGCGGCCATCCTTCTTTACCTGAGAGAAGATTCCAGCATGCTTTTTCTTATCCTTCAGGCAAATAATCATCAGCGCGTAAGGTGTAACTGCTAGATTCTGCGTCACCTTTTTTCTATTTTGGGATGATTTTTGGGATTGTTGCGTAAGTAGGCTTCTATTTCTATTCTATTCGTAATTGGTTATATCCTCTAACAGCAGTAGAGGCAAGCACCATTTCTCCTCCAAGTAATTGATGGTTATGGTTACACCCCCCAGGGGGCAGTACCGAATAGTTCAAATTCTCAATTCTTTTCTCTTTCAAATTCAAAATACATCACAGGTGAAACATGATCAAAACAACACCATCTATCCAATGCTTCGGGAAATCCCGAAATCAGGATATTTCATTTCAAATATTTTTCACTCGGTTTGATAGAACCTTGATGATTGATGTTTACATTCGTGTGTCCTTGGTGTAAGAATAGATGTTATTCAATGGTATCCGCGATGTTTTGTGTCCATTATATGAATTCCGATCGATCTTTCCCGAGAATTAAAATCCAAAATATTGTTCTTTCACCAAATCTCCAATTTTAATTCCGCAAAAAGTTGAACTGAATTTACAAAATTAAATTTCCTTCAAAGATAATTCCACGGCTAGTATAGAAATCTTGAAAGAATTTATTCGGAACTTCCACTTTCAGCACACTTTAAATCTGATCTTCGATTTTATTTCCACTGATTCTATATACTGCGGAGTTCGTTGGTAGTCTTTAAGACTACTATTAATTCTCGGAGAGCCAAAAAGAAAGGAAAAGAAGAGGAAGGAAGGAAAAGAAGGAGCAGAAAGGAAAAGAAGAAAGGAAAATGGAAAAAAAGGAATAGATGTTAAAGAAACAGGATATGTTCCCAACTCGGGCTAGAATATCCTGTAGTACGGAGCGACCGAGTGAACCGCTCCGCTTGGCGTCTCCCAACGAACTCCACGTAAGTAGGCTTTTCCTTCTCTTGCCCTTTATTTGCTCCCAGTCCGGCGGTTTGGCAGGCAGCTTGGTAGGTGTCACTACCTTCGCCGCCACCTCCTGCTGCTTTTGCTTCTTCGGATCTTGGATGCCCATCCCAGGTGAGCGTTTCAAGTTTCGCTTCCTCCGTTTCTCTGTCCGGATTTTACGCTCAGTCTGTTCGGAGTCCTACACCGTTGTTTCGGAGTCCGTTCGTAAAGACAGGATTTGTGATAGTGCTTTCATCTCTACTCGCAACGACTTAGTATTGGACCCATGCCACTTTACGGCACCGGAGCTCCCTGAAGCTACCGATGAACCTTTCTATCACCCCTGCCTGCTGACGCTACTGGGTATCCGACTCCCTGCACCGTGATCGATTTATCTAATGCATGTAATTGGTATTTTCCATTTTTGTGGTAAAGTCAATGTATTCGCGATAACTCAAAAAAATCGAGACAAAAATTTGAAATTGGTAGAATTGTAACTATTGCTATATTGAAGGATGGGATTGTGAATAGGCGAAATCGATTGAGAAGTTTCGGAGATAATGAGATTTTAGTAAAAAAACTGTTACAGTCAGGTTTTAATTTTTTTTTCGAAACACTCATTTAAGCCTTCAACAGGCTGGGCCGTCTACTTGAATACAACACCCTAAGAGCTCATGTGAAAATGAATTGCATTGCATGAAACTTTCATGTTAAACAAAATAATGAAATACAAAAATCGACTCATGTGTATCTTTCGATCTCGAAAAATAATGTAAACTCAAGAAGTTGAACAATTGAAAATGTTTCTGCCTTGTCACTTTATCATGAAGATTCCTTCAATGGCTCTTCTGGCCGATTTTTCTCGATGCTGTGAATTGATTCCTTTCGAAAAAACATTGATTATTCTTACCCTGGTAAAACAGTCCGATTATTTCCGACTGGGTGATGAAAAATGAATCGGCGTTAATGATGTTTCCGTCTTTGCCCGTTAAATTCCGATTGGCTGGTAGGTAGAGTTTGGAGTTTGAGAAAATTATGAGAATTAATGGGAACAATCTAGTGATCGGAGGCAGGAGGAGGGCAGAAGCGTGGGAATATAAAGGAGAAATGCTGGAGGTAGTACATAAATTCAAATATTTGGGCTTTTGGTTTACGACAAGAAACACCTACTTAAAGCACTCAAGGAAGCTGGCAGGGAAGGCGCAGAAGCTAATAAATAAGGCGTGGGGGAAAATGACGAGGAGAAGACTGGAGAGTTTGAGGAGGCTCTACTTCATGGGAGTGACGGTGAAGGTAGCAGCGCTGTATGGAGTGGAGCTGTGGGGATGGAGACAGGAAGGAGTGGAAAGGGTACAAAAGAAGTATGTGAAGGCTAGCATGGGGTTAGCAAGGAACACACCGGATTATATTTGGAAAGTGGAGGCAGGGATAAGCAGCATAAAAGGAAGCAAGGAGGAGAGCGGCGACATTCTTAATCAAGGTGGGCAAAATGGAGGACAGATGGCCGAGGAAGTGCCTGAGAGAGGAGCTGAGGGACGTGAGGAACGGCCAACCTACGAGGTGAGGAAGAGAAGTACAGGCGAGTTCGAGAAGGTTAGGAGAGGGCGAGTTTATGGAGCATCTATAGGCAGGTAATTTGGAAGAGGCAGAAAAGCGGGTGACGGAGATGGTTGAAATAGGGGAAGATCAGGAGAGGTAAAACGACTGGGAGAGGATAGAAAAGTCGAAATACTGTGATTACTACAGGGAGATCAAAGAAGACATACCGATGAGTGAGTACTGGCCAAACAGGAAGCTGAAGGTGGAGCAGAAAATGGTGTTGGCAAGGTGGAGGTGCGGAAACGCATTAATAGGAGGAAAGAAAGGAATGGTAAAGGACACCTGTAGAGTATGCGGGAGGGAATCAGAAACGCTCGAGCATGTGGTAAGCTGTAAAGAGACCTTGAAGAGATTAGGACCTGAGGTTGAGGAATGGTGGAGGAAATGGAGGAAAGGTAGTAATGGAGGCAATGGAGGAGAATGACGGAAATGCTGAGGGAGCCACCTACGAAAAAGTTATGTGATAGACTGGGGAAGATGGAGAAGGTGCTGAGAGAGGCAGGAGAGAGAAAGGCAAGTTGAAGGAGGTAGTTAAATAAGTTGAGGAGAAAGAAGGAGTCGAGAACAGGCGACAGAACAAGGAGAAAACGAAGGAAGGAGCTCGGAAGCAGGAGGAGGAAGTGATTTTAAAATCCAAAAACTATGCAAATGTGATACAAGAGACTTAGGTGATATTAAACTAATAAAAAATGAATAAATATATGAAGTAGACTATAAGTGAGTAGGTAAACAAGAAAATAACACGAGATTAGAGATAAAAAAAAAGAGTATGGGAGGCTTGTGTGGATGTGAAACAAAGAAAACTTTTGTAACATCAAGGAAATAAATTGAAAATTTTGATTAAAAAATATTTAAATGAGCAATAAATATTAAAGATTGATATGAGCAATATGAGATTTATCAACCACTGTTTTTAAAAGTAATCGGACGATAACGGCCACATACCCTTGATCCTATTAATTCTCACAGTTTTCTCCAACTCCAAACTCTACCTACCACCCAGCGAAATTTAACGGGCAAATACAGAAACATCATTAACGCTGATTCATTTTTTATCACACAGTCGGAAATAATCGGACTATTTTACGGAATTACAAAGGAGTTGGTGATAGAAAACGATTAGACGGATCAAGCTATCACAAGGATCAAACAGAAGCAATCACAGGAGTCAATCTATCTTGAGGATCGAACCGGAAGCCACGTAAATTAACAGAAAAATGAAATACTCATAAGGGGCTAGCAATCATAAGGGCCTTACAGTAGTCATAAAGGTCCAACGGGAGAGGCAGGCATAATGATTAGTAGGTCAAGGTCAAGATCAGACTGAACTTTCTACATAATCATTATTAATTCATGAGTTTCAGAGATGAAATGGAAAATATGTAGAACTTTTATCGTTGATTTTTGTATTAGACTACCATTAAAGTTCTTTGTTGTACACGAAGTAACATGGAACTTTGAAGATTTCATCGACCAGTGGACAAAACAGGAAAACCAAGACCACTGTTGCTGCATGCAACTTCCTGTTATGAGAAACTTCACTAATTAATTAAATACTTGAATCAACGATAAAACTTCTCTCCATTCCTTCGAGAAATTCTCTTATTCATCAACAATTGTTTTTAAATTTAGTTCTTCGTCTTTCCTGCCTTTCCCTTTTGGTCCTCGAGATGCATTATGATCTGGAAATAACTTCTTTCGAAACAGATGACGACCTTAGAGGTTAATCTTGAAATTTTTTTCTTTCTAATTAAATTTTTTTTTTCAAAATGGTGCTAAAAACATTGCTCATCGCTAGTAATGACCTTTCCCCCCACAATTTTTTGATGATTTTCACATAAAGGGTCTAGCCAGATAAGCATGGTGAATCTGCCGTCAGCGAATTTCAATGCGGCAATTTTTTCACATATTAATCACCTTAAAAAATAATTCTGTGCAAAATTTCAGATCATTATATATTGATTCTCTGAATTTTATGGCCAAAAAAGCCTTTTTTTCAACTTCATTATTTTTTGTGTACTTGAAAGCTATTTAAAAATCTGAAAAAATTCTGGAAAACCAAAAACATCTTACAATTGACGGGACAAGTTTCTATTATATTTTTTATTGCTGAATTATATTTTTAATCGACACTTCTTTCTTTAAAAAAATAATTCTCATAGGTACAGATTTTTCTACCACTTTGACAAAAATTGATGAAATTCTAGCTTCAATTCCCTATATTTAAAAAAAAAAGTTCTAAAATTCCACTTGCAACTCATTTAAAAATAAAAAAAAATAAAAACGATGAATTTTCGCGATTTTCACTAGAGATCTTTCCATGAGTATCTCTACAGATCTGTTGTTTGATTATTATGACTAGACTAGTATTGCGATATATCATATTTCTATAGGATAGCAACTACGGGGCCAAATAACTAGTGAAGCGGGAAAACGATTAAAGTCGACTTACAGGGTGTCCCATAGGAATGTGTGAAAACTAAACTCATCTGCTGACTCATCCAAAATAACCTTGACTCTCTACGTTTGTGTTACGTTTACTAGGGACCAGTCAGTTTTATTTCAACTGTGGCAGGAGCCTTAGTTTGTTAGCAGTAATGAGTGATTTGACAATTCAAGAAAAAAGATATCTCATCGAGTGCTTCTATTCGAGGGAAAAAAAATTGTGAAGCTTTTAGGGGGTTCCGTACTAAATTTGGATCCAAACGAGTTGCTAGCGAAACCACTTTGAGGAGGTTAGAATAAATTTGTTTTCATATTGAGTGTGACACAACAAAACACATTACAGATTTTCGTAGAAATCCCGTTGGTTTCTAGTCATGATAATATTCTTTTTCTAGAATAATTGAAAATTTCGAGGAATACGGCACTTTGGATGATCGTAGACCTACTCTTCCAGATCCCTCATTCTGTGCTGCAACAGAGGAAAAGGTTGATGAAGTTGAACAGTATTTCAAGGCAAATCCCAACTCATCCATTCGGAGAGCCGCTCAAGATTTAAAATTGACCAAATCAACGTTGCATCGGATCCTCCGTTTTTTTGAAACTTCATCCATATAAAATATTGATGTATCAGTGTTTGACAGAGGAGGCGATTCTGAGACGAAAGGAATTTTGTGAAAGAAGGACACAAATGTTCGAAAATGGCGAGCTGCATGAAACAGCAATTATTTTTTCTGACGAGGCACACTTTTGGCTAGACAGCTACGTGAACAAAAATAATTTGAGATTTTGGGGATCTGAAAAACTAATTTTTTGGTTACGAAATCTGCTCATCCACAGAAAGTCACTGTTTGGGCTGCTCTGTCCATGAAGGGTGTTTATCTACATTTTTTCGAATCTACCATTACCGGGAATGAGTACAAAAGAATGTTAGAAACAAAATTCTTCCCTCATGCGAGAAAAAGAGGGCTTGTCAATGGGTTTTATTTTATGCAGGATGGAGCAGCTCCCCACCNGAAGGGTGTTTATCTACATTTTTTCGAATCTACCGTTACCGGGAATGAGTACAAAAGAATGTTAAAAAGTAAATTCTTCCCTCATGTGAGAAAAAGAGGGCTTGTTAATGGGTTTTATTTTATGCAGGATGGAGCAGCTCCCCACCACGAAGTTTTTGAAATTCTTAATACAGTTTATCGCGGTCGAGTTCTTGGTTTGGGATATCCAAAATTTTGTGGAGGGGGAATAAATTGGTCACCCTATTCACCAGATTTGAATCCGTGTGATTATTTCCTGTGGGGTTACATAAAAGATTCTTGTTACGCAAGCAAGCCAAAAACAATCGAAAATTTGATAAAAAACATTAAAAAGACTGGTCACGGTATTCCACAGGAAACATTAGAACGTGTATTCCACGGTTTTAGGAAACGTTTGGATTATTGCGCCAGTGTTGACGGCTCTCATTTCGAAAACATTTACGATTAATCGCACTTATCACGTACAATTTTTGTAAGCTACTATTTTTGTTGGGTGAATTACATATTTCAATAATGAATATACGGTGAAATAAAAATGACAACTCTCCTCAGGAACTGTATTCCTTCTTTGTCCCTGTTTCCAGTAAAAAGAAATAATCAAACAGTTTTCACACATTCCCATGGGACACCCTGTAGCTCTCATCTAAATTGTCGAGGAATGTCTCCGACTCTAAGGGAGATGCGAAATTTTTGTGGTGAACTTTTTTGTAACTCATAATCATCTCTACAAAAAAAAAAAGAGAAAAATTTTGCTATCCGGGAAGATGAACAACCAAGTGGGAAGAACGAGCTAAATGATCAGAAGGGTTGAATGGAAGAGATGAGTAAAATGATCGAACGGAACATATAGGCCAAACGGGAGCGAGTAAGCTGAATAATATTGACAAAAATGAGCAAAACAAATGAGTATATAATCAAGAGGATCGAATCCTAAATCCAGAGATTTTCAAAATTATTGGATATTTATTATTGGATAAGAATCCCGAGTGTGCAGCACGAGGAATTATCTGCAAACTTGACAAACTCGTTTCTTTGCAGGGGAGCTTCAAGGAAATATACGATAAATTTTGAAGGCCGAGGGGTACACGGATCATAATTTCCTCAATTCTGACATTCGCCGAAAGAGGTGCCGTGTTTGGGGTTACATGACACTTTTCACCAAAATGCCAGGCATATCCTTCAAAAGAAGGGAATATAATTAATAGGCAACTGTGGAATTATCAGTCTCATAATTCACCCGTGGCCCGGTGATTTATCAAAACAAAACTGATGTGGAGGTGTCACATGATTCTGAATACTGTACTCTGATTGGACGAAATTAGAATGGAGGCAACTATCAAAAAATCTTTTAAAAAATGCTCCCTCGAACTGGTATTCTCCGCGAAGGGAGTTAAAAACTGTTGAATTTTATTTTTTCAACCGAGAAGAACATCTATGGGCTAACATCAATTAGCCCATAGTAATTAATTACTCCCTATATGACTCCTATAGAAATCCTTCCTTAAAGCTTTTTTTTCAATGAAGCAAAGAGTCAACATGATAATTTGGTTTTATTGCCAAATTTTCATTCATTAAATATTTTTTCCCGTCCACTATTTACCCGGAGAAGAGCGTTCAATTACGAATGTAATAATGTAATGGATTTTATCATAGATTCCGTACAAAGCCTGCTTGTCCTCGTTTTTGGTTTCTTTTTTCAATTCAATTTTTTTGGGATGCAAGATTTGCCTCATGGTAGAGATTTCATCATGTTTGACGCCTATTCGACTGATTTCTTCGGAGCTTTTCAAATCCAAATTTGACAGAAATCGAAATTTAAATGAGAGTTCCATTTTGACTCAAAGTTTCACCATACTCTGCGTTTCATTTTACCCCGCAGTTGCTCTCCTATAAAAGTATGATATGTCTCAATACTAGTCTAGTCATAATAATTAATCACCAGACATATAGAGATGATTCATAGAAGGGTTTGTAGTGAAAAACGCGAAAATTTATCGTTTTTATTTTTTTTAAATGTGTTGCAGGTGGAAACTTTGAACTTTTTTGCTTTGAAAATGTAGAGAATTGAGGCTAGAATCACGTCAATTCTCGTCAAAGTGGTAGAACAATTTGTACGTATAAGAATGATTTTTTTAAAGAAAAAAGTGTCCATTAAAAATATAATTTAGCAATAAAAAATGAAATAAAATTTTTTTTCCTTCAATTCTGAGATGTTTTGGATTTTTCAGAATTTTTTAGATTTCTAAATAGCTTTTAAGTACGCAAAAAATAATAAAATTGAAAATAAAAACAGTTTTTCAGCCATGAAAATTCAGGGAATCAATATAATTATCTGAAATTTTGCACAGAATTGTTTTTTTAGGTGATGAATATGTGAAAAAATTGTCGCATTGAAATGCGCTGGGGACAGTTCATCATGCTTATCCGGCTAGACGCTTTCACATTTTTCTGTACCGGAAGTAATTGAATTGAAACTTTTCATCAGAATTTATACTCTATTCTTAATTATTCATAAGAAAAATAGAACAAATACGTGTCAAATCTATTTCATCGAACAAAAAGTCTCTGAAAAAAAAACAAACACCACAACTCCTTTTGTCACTGTGTTAACTTCACCTCGTGTCGAAAAGTGCCTTTTCGTTTACTCGTAAACCAAAAGTCTTCTTTTACTTGTAAACGAAAAAGGACAGTTCGTCAATCGTTGAATCTAACATCACTGACAAAAAATATATTTCGATACATAAAAAATACAGTTCGATTACATGTGTGACGGGGATTTTCGACTCATACGATTGGCAGCCATCGGCTTCACAACAGGCAGCCCTCGAACTTCCCACTCGTAAAAAACCCGTCACACTTGTATCGAAATATACTATTTCCAATGCTAAATCACAACGGAGAGTGGAGCAAGGTGGGACGCTTATCAGCGACTCCAAAGCCCATCATCTCTGTTTATAAATTAAGGGGTTATCTAAATTGATTTTATGTTCGATTTTTATCTTGAAATTTCAACTCGATGCCCCGTCACTCAGGGACACCCGAAAATTCTGAATTTAGATGAAAAAAAAAAAGTAACAAAAATTCTGAACATTTTGAAAGAGCGTTTTTAATTAATATTGAGGAATGATTTTAACAGAGGAGGGGGGATTTTAACATGGGGGAGAAAAGACGAAATAATAAATCCTTTGGCACACCGCAACCAGACGCTTATACGAAAAAGACTCTTTGAAAAAATTTGCCATATTTTTAAGAATTTTATCACAGTTTTACGATCAATTACTAATCACTTATACCAATTTCCTCAATTGAAAATTGTACTGTCCATCAACTGTCACTTCTGTCGGGGGTGCAAGAAAGGAAGAATGAGCACTTTTTCTGTTTCCAATTCTCGGCAAACGTGACAGCTGATCCCCAGTACAATTATCAATGGAGGAGATTGGCGTAAGTGATTAGTAGTTTATCGTAAAAGTGTGATAAAACAATTCTTAAAAACATTACAAAATTTGTCAAAGAGCTTCTTTTCGTACAATAGTCGTGTTGCGGTGTGCCAAAGGATTTATTATTTCGTCTTTCCTCCCCTCATGATGGTGACTGACCGGTCGCCATTTGCCACGCTAATTATACATTATTCATATCCCCTCTACTGAATTCATTCCTCAATATTAATTAAAAACGCTCTTTGAAAATGTTTAGAATTTTTTTTTTTTTTCAATCCAAATTCATCATTTTCGAGGGTCTTTGAGTGAAGGGACATTGAGCCGAAATCTCGTGATAAAAATCGACCAAAAAAAGCAGTCTAGATAACATTCGGTACATAATTGACCCGGGCCTGAAGATATCAAAATTTAAAGTCCATTACAAACGTCCTACTTTGCCCCATCTTCTCCCATTTTTTTATCCCATTAAATCATATCTCTATTCTCGATAAAAGTTTCCTCTAACAAAAACTAAAACTATACTCCTGAATAATAATATTAAATTGTACAAAATAAAGAACAATTCTAAGTAAAAAAATATGTGATATGAGATTGGCCCTCTCCTGCCCTCATGTGCTGTCATCAGTCAGTGTCATCACTCTGTTCATCAGCAGGCTTAGGCGGACATTCGTGGTACACAACACAGCAACTCTGATTGCATTGACAGATCAAGCGTCTCCTCATCTCCATGTAGGCCTTCTGGACCGTTGGGGGTTCATGGCTCAATCGTCTCCTGGCGATCTCGTCTGAGTGCTTGAGCATGGGGGTCAAGTCCCGTCCGCTCTTCTTTCCCCTTTCTCGGAGAGTCCCATCTTTACGTGTGATACTCTCGAAGTAGTGACTCGTGTGGCGTATCTGTTCCACCGAAAACTTGAAGACGCAGTCGTGACACTCGTATTTGTGAATTCTATCGACTTGCTTTATTAAACCAGTCTCTTTTTTATCAGGTACAAAACTTTTGCTAGCTGTATCTTTACACGTGCGTGTGTGAAGGAAAATGGCACTGCATTTGCATTTGTGCAGTTGTCCGGGTTCTAGAAACATCGCCTGCGGTTCTGTACTAGGGGGGTACTTACAGGGGTGAATGAATGTGATACCGCAACTTCTGCACACTGCGTGTACGTCATAGCTGGAAAATGAATAACGAGTGGCTGGTTGGTGGTAATTTGACTGATAAAGAAAATTCTCGTATGTAGGGGAGGGTGGGACAATATGGACATCTGAGTAAAATGAACACTCAAAGCATTTGCGAAAAACAATTTTTTTTTCCAAATGCAGATTTTGGAAAATTGCTTCATTGGGCAATATAAACACTTGGTAAATCGGTATAGGATGGACTAAAATGGACGCTCAACAAATTCAAATAAAAAAATCAATCGAATTTTAAAAAATTGCTTCTTGTCAAATTGAAGATTCAGACTCCGAGAGCGATTGGGGTACCGTTCGAGCAGCGGCTCGATACACTTTTCTACACTCTCCTAAAACGAATAAAATATCGACGATTTCACTCGCTGACTACATGGTGGTGTGTTTAATGAAATGACAAGCGATACTAACTCGATTCTGGTTGAATTGAAACTGATTAGAATAAAAAGATCCTCGAGGTAGTAGCAAATTTTTTTTTTATTGTTTACATTCGATAACTCCGGTTGGTAAACGGATCAGCGGAATAATTATCTACACCAAGCCGCGTCAAGGATGTGTGAATATTCAATTTGACAACAGAACTCGATTTTGTGGTATTTTTTGAGTAAAATTAAAGGAAATCACATGAATGATGAGGTATCTGAAAATAACTCAACAAGAAGAACAAGTTTCATTGGGGTGAAAAATGCGGTTGCCATGAAAAAAAAAGTACTTTTTGTCATTCCAGCCGTGAGGTAGCGCTTCACGGACGCTCCGCTCCGCGTTCGTGAATCTTTGCCTACGGTCGTCATAACAAAAAATACTGTTCGTCATACGGCCAAAAAAAACTTTTCTAGCTTATATGATTGCAGCCTCATATTCGCCAGAAAAGTTTTTTTCGGCCTAGTGACGAAATATACGATTTTGTCATTTCGGCCGTAAGACAGCGTTTCACGAATCTCTGCCTACGGGCGTCATGACAAAAAATATTGTTCGTCATACGGCCAAAAAAAAACTTTTCTAGCTCATATCGTCGCATTAAAATCAAAGGGGCGTAAGTGCCAAAAAACCCATTTTAAAAGTGAAAGGGGCGTATGTTCCGAATTCCTGTTTTTTCGGTTTTTCATGGAATTTCTGACCAAAAATCGGAAAAAAAAAATCTAGGAAAAAGGCGTAATTGCTATATTTCAACGGGAAAGGGGCGTATCTCCACACTTACGCCTGTTTCATTTCATTCAAAAAATGACACTTACGCCCTCTTTACATTATGTGTTGTGCACTTCGGATGACACATTTCATGTTGAAATAAAACGAAAAGGGCGTAAGTCCCACATACGCCTCTCTCTCATTATATCTTAGGTCTACTCGCGATAATGAGTTTTATATTGTTATATCAACATAAAACGCTTTAACTATTTTCTTCTTCCTTTATGGTCTCATTTTCTTCCGAAGTGTTCAAAGCAGTCACGACTCGAAATTTCATACAGATAATTTCCTGAAATTCGCAGTCATAATTTAAAAAAATGAAATAAATTAATGAATGAAATCGAATAAATTTAGAAGAAAATTTTAGAAAATTTTAGTTTAGTTACTGATATTTCTCATGAAATTGTTTCATTCAAGCAAAAAATCAAAGGGAAATAATTTGAACATTCATGATGAGAGGGAGGGAGGGGAGGTTAATGTAGAATCAAATATTATTTATTATTAGGGCTGTAGTGCATGTGATTCCGTTTATACTTGATGAATCAATAGGAACGAACAGTAACAAATGAAGGGACATATATATTGGAGTTACGCCCCTCTGTGATTATTGTTTCAAAAACAAAGGGACGTATGTGCCTGAGTTACGCCCCTTTGGAATTATTCATTCTCAATATGAGCTAGAAAAGAAACAAAAAGTATAAAAAGAAAGAGGCGTATGTGCTGGAGATACGCCCCTTCAGTACTTGCTAGTCGGACTTACGTCCATTTGCCACTTCAGAAATTTGTCCACAAAAAACCTTTCATAAGTTGAGAAAACTACATTTCGAAGGAAAAAAAAACATACGCCCCTTTGGTATTAAGAGAAAAAAAATCTCAGAGAAATGGCACTTACGGCCCTTTGATTTTAATGCGACGATATGATTGCAAACTCATATTCGCCAGAAAATTTTTTTTCGGCCTAGTGACGAAATATACTATTGTGCTTGCAGCTTGCAAGCATGATCCTTAAAGCTCAAAATAATGCATACATCGAATGTCCCCCTCGGAACCCTACAACTTGTGTTTCGAACATTTTTTTGTTACTTGCCCGTTTTAAGAAATTTGGCTGCCTTGTTTCAGATGGGACACCCTGAAACCTCGACTATATTTTGTCATTTTGGCCGTAAGGCAGCGCTTCACGGACGCTACGCAAAGCACTGCGAGATAGTATATTTCGCGTCGAGTGTCACTGGGGTTTTCGACGAGAGTGAGGGGTGTCAATCACACGAGTCGAAAACCCCTGTGGCACTAGACGCGAACGATATTTTTCCGTAGTGACTTTCACTTTTACCAGTTCGGGGAAGGGTCAATACCAATCCCCGGACTGGGAAAAGTGAAGGACAATACATAAAAGTATTTTTCGGTATAATGACGAAATACACTATCAAGGGTATGATGAGTCCACAAACACTGGCACTAATGAATTTGTGGGATGAATTATCCTGGGATGAATTAATCAGATACCTCGGATAATTTACCAACGGGTATGATGAACCAAGGATAAATTGTCAGTAGATCGGATGTCAACAATACAATCGTCGCTGGAAAAATTGTCTTCAGATTTCTTTTCATTTACTAATTTTGCCACGGAAATTTTGTCCGAGGATCAAAAAGCGTGTTACCACGAAACTTGCTGCTATTCCACTTCGCCCCGGCTTCAACTTAGCCCCACTTGCCTTCAAAAAAATTACCCCGACAAATACATGTACAAACCTTGGATTTTTGGCTTTAGAAGGTGGCTGAGTCTTCAACTCCCCAACCTGTGAAATGTGCACCGACGGAATCGATGCGAGTGGCTTTCGCTCAAACTCCTCAAAAAATTCTTCCTGAATCGGCTGTTCCTCCACAACCGATTCCTGTGGGGCATGATACGATTCCTGATGTTGCGCCTGATACTGTTCTTGATACTGTTCTTGGGGTCTATAATTGTACGGAATTGATTCCACAGGAGGTTGATAAAACGTCGGTTGCGGTGTCGCTGCAGGCTGTGGATTGTCCTCGGGCACCATGTACTCAGTATCGAACTTCCTCACGGGGGGTATTGAGAGGATTTCTTGAGGGACAACCGATATCTGACTCATCCATCTCTGTGGTGGTGCGATATTTGAGGTGAATGCTCCCGGTGGCTGTTCATAGCTCTGCTCTGGCGGGTGATAGATCGCGGTGGTTGGTGGTGGTGGGGGTGGTGGTGGTGGTGATTCGTCCAGATCCACTACTTCAACTGGCCCAGGTGCTGACTTCTTCGCCATGCGCCTCTTCTGAGTTCTCATTTTGTTGTTTGAACACTCAACAATCTGAATATCATTGTTAGGCTCGGGTTTGATACGTGGTGGAGGTGGTGGTGTTGCCTTCGGCCAGGGCGAAGCAGCCACTTCCTTCTCGTTTCGGTAGAATCTAGATCTTTTTGAGTCTCGACTAACATCGACTTGCTCGTCGACTTGCCCATTGCATTCATCCCACCTTGATGCCCTTTAATGATAAATGGTATTGAGACTATCGTGGAGATCGGGCTGAATATATTTTTTCATCACGCTGTGACGAAAAGTGAACTTTTCGACACGCTCCGCGTACCTAAAAGTCCAATTTCCGCCACATTGTGATGAAAAATATTGTTCGTAACTCGTGAAAAAATGTTTTTTAGCTCGTGGGATTATATCACTCGCCTTCGGCTCGTGATGTAAACCTCTCACTCGCCAAAAAACATTTTTTTGCACTCGTTACGAAATATACTATTTTGTTCACCTCATGCCGAAAAGTGCCTTCTCGTTTACTCGTAAATGAGAAGTAAATGACAAGTCTTGTCGTTGACTTGCAAACGAAAAAGGCAAATTCCGTCTTATTCGTATCAGAATGTACTATTTTAATTTTCGAGGAAAAGTTGTTTTTTGCTTTCAAATGGAAGCCTTGTCTTCGACCGATTTTTTGATTTTCTAATTTTGATTTAAAATTGTCTAGAATGTTATGAAACGTGAAGAAATTATGTTTTTAAAGTCATCTTTGTATGGATGTATTCGACAACTTGGGTTTTTGGTGATTAATTTTTAGAAAATTCAACATAAATGCGGTCAAATTTGTAGATAAAAATTGGAAATTTTGACTCATTGTAGTTATTATTGAGCACAACTTTGGCGCGCTGTTTCAGCTCGATCGGTTCAGTAGTTTCTGAAATATAACAACTTGTTTAACCCGTCACGTACGGCGTCGATACCATACATCAACCCATAAACTTGTCCTATCGGCCGGGGTCAATGTATGGTATTGACCCTTTCCATCAACAGTAAAAAATAATTTTCTCGAATTCTAACAGACATTGACATTTGGAAAAGATATTTAGAAAGTCAATGGAATTGTTTCTGTAATGAACTATTGTATTTTTTTTTTTTTCAATGCATTTATAATATTTTTTTCTATGAGAGACGTCTTTGGGCTCGTCGTCAGCGTGCTGGCCCTATAAACCAAAGCGTCCCAGTAGCGCAGGTTCGAGTCCCGGTGATGAAAGATTTTTTCATCGCCGGAAAACGAACCCAGTGCATGTGGAGTTACATATAACTTAGCTTAGAGGCAAGTGCGGGTAGGGAATTAGGCTGGGATACCGCGTAGGTACTGGGACGGGTAGGTAAAAGACCACAACGGTCATACCAGCTGGCACCACCCAATTTATTTTTTTCTATGAAAAGTTGTAGATGAAAATTATACATCCAATCGATTCAATCATATTAAATCATCTCGTTTATCGACAAAATATCCCCCAAAAAATTTGAAATTTTTACTGAAAATACTTCAATGATCCTGCTATCGAATGGCAGAAGTTAAATTTCGATTTGTTGAATAATTTGTTTGTTATAAATAAATTCAGCATGTTCGAAGATATCGGCAACCAATTGTCGGCCAACATTGAAATTGGTGTCAAAAATGAGGAAATTCTCTAGGAATTGATTTCGAAGTTCAATACAATCAATGCATTTTATTTCAATTTTTTTCGTTTGACTGTTTTCAAGTTATCATTTGCAATGAAACGTTCTGTCGACGAGAAATATGCAGGAAAGTAATGATATCAAAATGGCGACAAAATGGGAAAAAATTACCAAAATCAGGGCAGATACGTCGAGCAGAAAAACCATACGATCATTTACTATTAAATTGTCCGAAACCCAGCCAAATAGTTTCAAAAATAATAAAAATAGACATAAATTCATTAAATCCACGAAATACTCATAGCACATATTCATCCAAGATTTATTGAAATTGAACAAAAATTTAATTATTGTCGCCACATTTACCTCAGAATATCGTTACGCGTAAGTCAAATATCGAGAGGTTCATTTACAAAGATAATTTGAGTATGACGTGAATTGAAAATTGAATATTTCGTAAGACAATTACAGTAATTGTGATATAAAGACTAATCAAAAATATTTTAATTTCAGTCAGAGTCAAATCACTCATTGTCATCATAATTTGTCATTCATTTAAGAGATCAGATAAAAAAATACACTGACATTAATACGAAGTTCATTCGCAAGATATACATACATAAATTCACTTATTATTATAGTCCAAAATAAAGTTCTCACTAGAGCCCAAAAACCAGTTCCCTTAGATGTTTTGGTGAGGAATTCAAGGAAAAATTGACTAGTCACATTAAATAAATTATCCAGTCACTCAATAACAATGCTCCTTTCCTTTGAATACAGAAATTGTTTTACCCCAAAGAAAAACGGTTGCAACGGGGTGTGACACAAAAATGATCGGCTAATCTCAAATCGAAAAGATGTTAGAGACGCCAGAGATTCAAAATGTGGGTACCCAAATTAAACTATGTCACTCTGTACTTATCTTGTCGAAAGCCACCGAAGGAAAGAGGCCGAGAGTCCTCGCGAATTTCCCTTGGGATCCCCGAATTAAATTCTGTGTGACTCACGTGTTTATCTCTTCGATACATTAGACTCCTATTTTATTTTTAATGAGGCTTGTAGTTTTCTTCTTTTCCTGTGGTCATTATTACCAATATCTAATTTTCTTACACGTTCATTGAATAACGGAGTTGACGCGTCTGAAGTTTCCCGGCTGTTGGGACAAGCCGCGTTATATGGGCGCCGTACGGGAGGTGTTAAATTTCGTTTTTCCTCAATATATCAAAAACTACTGCACCGATTAAAATTTTTTGGTCAAAATACTCAAAGTAAGCCAATCAGAGTATATAGGCTCTTCAATACACAGTTTGGAGATATTGCCGCGGCGCTACGCAATTACGACTCAATCTCACATAAATTATCGAATTAAAAGAGAACTGCATGAAATATCCCCATTATTGGAAGACAACGTTTTGTTTCAGGAAAGCATAGGAAATACCCATGAATTTCTCAATTATAGTGAAGGAATGAACACGCCATCTACCTGGGAGATTCATGATCATGATGAGATCTGTGTTTGTGATGTTTCCGAGACTTCTTCCTCTTGATTTCATCAGCTGATCTGGGATCAGCACTCGAAGATCTGGAACGAACGCTCGAAGATCTGGGATCAATACTTGAAGTTCTGCTCGAGGTATCCTCCCTATGATGTCTTTCAAACCCAGACCCGTTTTTCGAAGATCTTGACAGATCTTCGGGCTCCTCCCATTCTCTACGTACAGAGCCAGAACGCTCTCTTTGGTCTTCATGCTTCACTCTCCGAGGGTCGTACTCAACATGAGAGTGGCGAAGTTTCTCTCTCTTTTCTTTATCATGCTGGGAATGAGAGCGACGGTGCTTTTCGCGTCGTTCGTCCAGGTATGAATTCACTGATATTTTTTTTACCGAAAAGACAAGAAAATTATGAAAATAATTAACATTCACCAAACATCGACGGAGTGATAACATGACTCGATATTCATATTCGAAGTGAGTGACAATATGATTACAAAATGTTATCGATTACACGTGATTACACAATCCTGAGTGCAATGATTGGGGATTATAATAAACCCTCCCTAAGTGCTCAGCTCCGGGGGTTAGATTTCTCCGAACTAGCACTTATTCTGGCGGCCCCTTCTGTTAGTGAAAGGTTCCCGGATTTTGTTTTCCTCCTGAAAAATGCCCCGGAGAAAAATCACCGGAAAATTTTTCGCACGAAAAAATGTTCCCCAGAAAAATTGATATGTCCACTAGAAAAAAAAACCCATATAAAATTTTCCTGGAAAATATGAAATCAAACACATTCCTAATATCCATTATTTTCTTGAAGTCGACAATTTCTGAAGATCATGAATAATTTACACACACCTTTTTGTCAAAATAGGATTCAATTCTTCAAATAGAACATCTACAGTCAGCAACATACAAAAAATTGAATGTGAATTTCAAATGTACAGTCGCGGACTTAAGTTCGTGAACAGCCTGCACTTGCATCCTATGTGTTTTGTTCATAAACTTTAGTACCCGACTATACATATCAACATTGGTCGGTAAACAATGAATTGACTAAACAATCGCAAATGAAAAAGAAAGACGACTTTTGTCATTAATTTTTTCATTTTTATCCTTTAAGAGCGAAAAAAAGAAACTCAATTAGCATTTTCTGAAGAAAAACTCCAAACAAAATCTCACATTCGAAAAAAATTCGTAAAGAAAATTAATTTCAATGACAACAATTTGCCGAGAAAGGATTGACGGGGAAAAAATTCGCGGAAATTTTTCAACGGGGAAAAAAACCCGGGGGAAAATTCTACTTGAGAAAAATTCACCGGGGAAAAAAATTCCCAGAATTTTTCAACGGGGAAAGCAGCTCCGGCCACGTTGGTGAAAGAACGAGAGCACCGTTGTTGAAAAGAGGTGTATGTAAAACGTTAGTGGGGGAAAAGCCACGAACTGAAATCCAAAGAGGTTCGCGATCGCGAGAGAGAACATGTATGGAGGAGACGGTACTGGTGGGGGAACCATTCTACTCGCGCGGTGGGGCAGTCAGGGTTGCCAGATTGGGCGACTTACCATCAAATGGGCGATTTTCAAATTCCATTTGACATCTAATTATGACCGTTGGTGATTTGGCGATTTCATATTTTTCGTGTGATTTGAGAAAATGACATCGAGACCTTATTAACAGACAACCGTGTCTACATAGAGAACTCATACAACTTCACGCTTGTCTGTTATTAAGATGTCGATATAACTCTGTAAAATATGGGAAATCTTTGGTGAAAAATAATAGAATCGAATATACATGTAATTCTTATAATATTTGCAGGAAAATTCTTGATTCTTAGAAACTATTCCCTATGGGCAGGATTGGAAAACTATTTTTTTATTTTATTTTTTCTATTTCATTGGTTTATCGAAGTAATTCTCGATTTGAAACCCCTCCTTTAGCCTACCTCCCCTCCTTTCTTTTTCCTCTCATTGTTATCTGCGGTATCATGGCCGTCTTACTCTTAGCTGTACCCCATTCGAGCTAGGACTGCACGGGAAACCATGTAAAACCCCAGTCGCACAGCCGGCCGATTGTGCAGTGCCCTAATATATCCACCTGTCACACTGACTAGATGGAGACACACTAGGCCGCTACACCGTACCTACCGCCCGCAATTTTTGGGCGAGCGAGGTGTTCCTATGCGGTCACCCATCCAAGTACTAACACCCAGCTCAACGCTGCTTAGCTTGGATGTCCGCCGGAGCAACACCTCACCCACCTAGCCATTACAGTCGGTGGATTGGAAAACTAAATTACTTCAGATAAATGACATGGTTTCTGACCTGTCAAAAACTGGCACCTTTCATTGACATAAAGCGAAACCTTGATATTTTCTCATATCTCGCAATTTTCAAACGTCGGAAGAATCATACCACGCACAGTTCACGGTCCGGAAGGGTTAAACGTCACAACCACCACAATTCGCAAAAGTCAAACAACAAAGGAAGGCTGGATAATGTCAAGGGCCCAAGAACCACAAGGACAATTCATCTCCCGCAACGGGAGAGGCAAACAGAAACATCACAAGGGTCAAAATAGAAACAGGCAAACAGGACACTCACAAAGAATTATCTGATCTACTTCTCCTGTTTCACCCTTGTGATCTTCATGATCAGGTCCAACCCTCCTGATTGTACTGCGCGCCTCCGTCGGCTGACGTTTTTGGTAGTTTCACCCTTCAAATGCATTTTCTGGCGATATTAGCGTCAACTTTATCTGGCAACCCTGGAGGCAGTCAGCACTTACGCAGGCGAGCACTTACGGAGGGTTCACTGTACAGTGATTACCACTGCCAAGAAATGTGATGACATGATTACAAGTGATTCAGTTGATTACAGCTAGCGATTATCGAATCTTTGTAATGATTGAAATAATAGAATAAACAACTTTTCGTTCAACTCTTCGACTTGAACATTATGCTTGATCTTTATACTTGATTCTTCCTGGTTAGATTCTTACGTTTCTCTTATGTTTGGTACCTAAACTTGATTCTTGACTCTTATAATATTTCACCATAATTATAACACAGTTGATTGGTTGGTAGGAATTTCGGTTTTGAATAACTAAAATTCATACGCACGATTAAGGTGATTTCTACTGATTACATTAATTTCGAATGATTACATCCTGATAACAAAAACTAGTGACAAGACATGTAGTCCCGTGATTTCAGAGATTAAAATGACTTCATTGATTGTGACTACAATTTGATTATACTAGTGATTGACTTTATGATTGCCCATATAAAGAATCCATTGATATAAAATTAATTTATGTCCTTAGGGCCGAACCGAGCAAAGCGAGGATAGAATCGCGGTTTTTGGGCCCAAATTTCGGTTAATATAACTCATATGATTATAATCCTCGTCTGAAAATATCATTGGTTCTTTCGTTAGGGGAGGGAGGGGTAAAGTGGACACTTAAATTAAAAAATAATATTTATACCTCAGAAACAGATTCATCAATTCAGAGCAATCTAAGACAAAGCTCAGCTCATCTGAAAGAGAAAAAATTGTTCTTTTCCTTGTCAAAAAAAATATTCCGTTTCATCAACAATTCAATCCGTCCTTAGCAATAAAAGAAATCAAAAGTGTCCATTTTACCCCACCCTCTCCTATTCATTTCTTTCGCTTGGGCAAGTAACTAAAGGCGTAACTTAATCGAATGTACCCACTACTTCAAAGAGAAAAAAAGACTTACAAGCATTCTCGTAGTTATCTGGAGATCCCTCTAAAATTTCTCGTTTGACGTAGTGAAATCGGTCACGGTACTCCCTTGATGGATCTGCCATTATCTGGAACCATGCAAATCCAAGAAGGCGATGATCAATCATGCAATTACCATATCTAAAGTGTCGTAATATCATGTTTGTTTCAATTGAGAATGTTTGGAATTGATGAGTTATTGCTCGTTTCGATACTGGATCGTACCATCAATAGATAAGCAGACCAATAGATAGATGGTTAAGGGAAAATTGAGGGGCTTTAATAACTTCCTCTGGTGGCTGGAGTTACGAAATCCAAGTTGTCTTGTTCAATTTTTCTATTTGTCAAATTGTGACGTAATGCATATTCTACACCGTTTTCTGATAAATCATTTTCATTATGAACTTTTTCTCTTTTCGGATTATTTACATCAATATTTGAACGAAAACGCGGGAGCACTGTCTAAAATGTCGCTAACAAATCAGCGAATGTTCGACATAACACTTTCAAGTCCTTGAAATATGGAATAATTCCTCAAGCCTCATCTCAACTCTTCAATCTACCTATTGGGTTGCCGCTCGATTTTAATATGTGAATTGTCTAATTTTGGTGTGTTTAAGAGGTCTAAATAAAATTTAACTTACTATTAAGAAGAGGACCCATTCGTTCTAATTACCCATTCAATTCTATCATTACACTATGTTTTCGGAGTCCCTGAACATGAATATATGTTAACCACTTTTGCGACCAAGCTAACTTGTGTTGCGGACACTTGGTTACCAAACGTTATGAAATTAATAGGAAAAAGGTGACTGGTCGAGTCGACCTGACCGTAACTATTCACAACAGAAAGTGACCAAGAAAGAGACTAAAATATTTTGGTTTAATCGGTTGAGATCTGCTTATGTGGGATTAAACACTAATGTGTACAATGGTTATCATACGGAGAAGTTAGTAATGAAACCGCGCCAAGAAAGAAACCCTCTAATGCTGTTTACTGAGTTTATTATGGCGCACACTGTTAAATACGAAGAATCCAAGAAAAACCGAGGAATATATAGGGGAATATTAGTGGAAAAATTAAGGTGAATGTATAATTGTGTGTTGAATTTCATGGAACGAATAGTATTTAAAAATCAATCTCACAGCTCGACACATTAAAGTGTCACTCCATAAACTGTGCTTACATTACGTGGCGACCCATAGCGGGCAACTATGAATTCTCTGAACAAAACATAGAACAAAGAAGAAGGAGAAAATGCATTCCAAATTGTCCAATGTTACTGGTCCTTATTTTTCTGAAGTCCGATAGCCGGAGTTGGAGTAAAGATCGAGATGCATCTTCTACGTGCGAGTGAATAAGGAATCACAATCATATGAAATGCACAGAGTTATTATTTCAATTCTGCCCATAATTCCAATATTTTGTGTTTTTGTTTGACTCACGATTAATAGTCAATTTTGCTACACCTTTCCCTATCCCCTGTATTTGAGAATAATTTTTACCCAGTTTTATTGATGTTTTCTTGTAACAATACACCTGGGAACTCCATACATCGTTACATCTTATTGAGACAAGTATTTATGGACATTGAATGCAGAAAATTTCGGAAATCTAATCAATTCTTCACGAAATTAAGGTTAAAACTGTGGAGAATGTTAAACTGAATGTTTATCGCAGAGTCACTAAACCAAATAGGAAAACTTCAGACATAAATTTACCATTAAGACATAAATTTCAATTTCAATTTTTCACCTATATCGCATGCTGGCAGTGGCACCGAAAAGAGGGATATTTTTTTTTTCCTTTAACTCACGACATGTTTTTTCCTTAAACTCACGACATGTCGCGCGATTAGTGAGAAAGTTCGATACTTGTTGAGAGCAGTTGTTCTCCGGATATGAAGATACGCGGCAGCGTATCGGCCAAGGAAAGTTTTTGACTGAGTACTGCTGGGAATCCACACACGAAGTAACTACCCCCTCCACTTCCACCGAATCATAGTTATTAAATTATTGAATAAAATAAAAATGAGACAAATTACATGAAAGAGTATATTTCGTCATTAGGCCGAAAAAAACTTTTTTGGTGAATATGAGTTTGTAGCCCGAGCCGAAGGCGAATTATGATTTCTCGCGTACCTACTTGGCTCGCGATTAAAGCTACACAAAATCTCGCCAAGTAGGTTGACTTGAAATTTTTATCATCTTAAATTTTGAATATCATTTTCATGATTTTCATGATTTCTTCAGTTTTATATGAGTTGCGTCATAATCTTTAAGCTTCATTAATCTGTACTTGGCACTATAGCTTTTGCCCGATTTCACAACTTTTTGTAAACAGACCAGCGGTCGCACGCGTTGTTGGTAAGTGTTTTTTTACAAAAGACTTTTTGTTTTTTTGGGAGATTTCACCTATTTTTGTAAAAACAAGACAGTGTCTTCTGCATTTTTGATTTTTGTAAACGGAACAACACTGTAAACCGAATAAGGACTGAACTTTTCTTTTGCAGAATTTGTTTTTGCTAAAAACTTGTTTCCAATTTTTCGTGGAGATTTTACACACTTTACAATTTCTCGTGAACCGGAAAATAATTTTAGGCCACAAAACGACAATCGCTTTTCTCCCTCTAAACGATTTTTTTGACTCATTCCACCCATCTCATCCATTTACAATTTTTAATATTACAACTTGTGTTAAATTCAAGAACTCAGTCTCGATTATGGCTTTTTGTTGTTAGAAATTGTTTTCTTTTTTTTTATTTCACATGAAATATCATAGCAGAATGATTTTTAGTTGAGAGGTTGGTACAACTTATCCCACGAACGAGAATTAATGTTAATCAAAATCATGCTCTCGATGAATATATTTTCAATTTTTCACCACTATTACCATCACCTTTCTGGAAGAATGGTTATTTAGTACACATTTTCGTTAATCGAACGAGAATCATTCCGTGTTATTGACAGAAGACGCCGGTGTTTACGTCGAGTGGTATTGAAACGCGAGTCCGATCCACCAATTCCTTTTGAATGTCGGACTGACGTCATCCAACACAGCCAACTCCCAACACCTCACGAGATCTCGAGGTAGAAATCAATGGTACCAACGTTCCCACTAAAATCTGCCTCGAATAATTTATTGTACTCTCCTCATTTTATTACCAGACTCATTTACTTATTGTAATAGCGTTTTTTCTTGCACCACTTATTGAGTCAGTAAGCTCGTCACGTTTCTCAGCAATCAAAAAAATTTGTGTGTTTCTCGATTTTTTGTTCTGTCGATAAAACAAGTGACAACTGTCAATGGCGTTGTCACTTATTTTACCTACAACACAAAAAATCGAGAAACACTACAAATTTTTTTTTGTTGCTGAGAAACGCGGCGAGCTTACTCAGTAAGTGGTAGAAGAAAAACGCTAACAACTCAAAACGTGAAAATTGACGTGATCTTTAAGGGTATTTTTTTGCTGTTTGCGAGAAAATTTTACTGTTATCAAATAATTCATATTATTAATGCAATTCATGAGTTACATGCGGGCGAGTATATTTTCCGGATTTATTTATATGGAAAATTTAAATAAGCTCGACTTTCATCAGAAATTTGCAAAATGATTTTAGTACTGAATGATAAATTCTGCAGAAATTTGGCAATTGGAGTTAATGCAAATTTACTAGATGCATAAATGTAAAAAATAGCATGATGGAAATAGTTTTCTTTTCGTGAAAACATACATTAAATTTGATTTTAACAAACTAAATTGTAGAACCACAAAATTAATTATTTTCTCAGTTTGCAAAAATTATCTTTTTCAAACAAAAAAATAATTATTTTTGTAAAAAAAATGTGCCAAGGAAAACATTTCTTAGGTTGCTCCTGGAAATGCGGAAGACAATTTTCTAGATGAATACAAATTCCACAATAAATTTTGAAAAAAAAAACACAAATCACTGAAAATAAGCCAAGTCAGGGTCCAATAAAAAATCTGTGAAGACCTCTTTACTGATTAGTGCATTGCTGGTAACACCGCTCAGTTGCTATCGGTGATCTCAGGGACATTTTCATTCGTTCAATTGTTTCCCTTAATTACTTCAATCCATTTAAGATTGACCCCAAACGGCTAATGCGCAAACCTTTGGTGGCCGTTCCCACGTCTCTTCGATTAATCAATCGACAGGGTAATCGATGTCGCCTCAGGCATTAACCCCTCACGTACGGGGCGCTTTTGCTACCAAGCGCCGTCGGACGCTTAATATCACTCAAATCTGATCGCTTTTGACGAATGGATAACAGCAAAGCCGATATGTAATTGAAACTACAGTATCCCTCTTGCCAATGTTGTTTATTTGGTTAAATTATTATCCACTTTCGGAAATATTCAATTTCGAAGAGAGCTGTGCATTTAGACTAGAGTCGCTGTCTGGCAGGGACCCCGTACGTGAGGGATTAAAGGCAAGTCGTTTCATCAAATATGAATTTTGAAAAATTTAGATTTCTCCCGCAACATTATCTCTTTCCGGAGAATTGTTGCAAATTGTTGTTTTTTTTGGGGAGAACTCAATTTTTTTAAGGTAAGATATGTATCAGTCGGACTATTGTACTCACATTGAAAATCGAAAGTGAAATTTCCACGATATCTCGACGTTTTATTGCCTTTACGATCATTCTAATAGGGGAGGGTGGGGCAAAATGGAACTCGAGGCAAAATGGAACGGTAGTGAATTTTGGTTTTCAAAAACTATAGACCTTCCTTTGCTTCCGAATGAAAGCTTTGTAATTGTGATTTTTTTTCGAATTCTTAATTCTGGGTGTGAAAATGACTATTAGGAATGTCATAAAATTTGAACAAATAGTTATTTTCATCACAAGGTCCACAAAGAATTTTCTGACGAATGTGGCTTTGTAGGCCGAGCCGAAGGCGAGGCCTATTATCACATTCGTCAGAAAATACTTTTGGACCGTGTGATGAATGCAATTTTTCGTCAGAAGGCCCGTAAACCGCGATCAAACCGAGCGAAGCGAGGTTAGAATCGCGGTTTACCGGGTCTTCTCACGAAAATGATGTTTTTGAAGAATATCTGTACGTATGTAGGTATGTATGTGGTCATGTGTGTTCGTATGTCGAGAACTGTCTCCATAACTCGCAAATGATTAAGGCTAAGATGCTGAGACTTAAATCTGTGCTAAATTTCAGCTCGATCGGTTGGGCGGTTCTTGAGATATAACGATTCCTTGCAAATCGTTTTTGCTGACATCTCGTGAAACATTCGATCGATGTTTTTTTTCAAAATACTCGTCATGATGATACTTGAAAAAAGTTGTCTGAATTTCACTCTATATTCGTTTTTTTCCTACCGCTCCATTTTGCCCCACCCTCCCCTCCATATTCGAGATTTTTTTCAGAATTCCGATTTCCGGCACTCATAACGGGAAAACGGGGCTGAGATGGCCTCTGACATAACCTCTTATACCCTCTTACATCCTCCCACAAACGTTTCGATCTTCCTTCATATCAAACATTAAAATTAAGATTTAGATCATTGGTTATGTGCATTATATCATCCCTGCATTTTACCCAGTCAAGCAGCGAGTAAAACTTGTTGCAGGTGATCGACAAATCAATACGAGTAATCGAATTCAAGCTTGTGGTTTTTTTACCCCCGACGATACCCCGAGGAGGCTATATGCATTTAACAAAGTCCGATCGCATATTCACATGTGCTTGAATTCACTTTACTCCGCGAAAACCGAATGAAAATAGTTCCGTCTGTACTAGAACGAAAGTTGCCACTGAGAGGATCCTACCCAACACACTGGTGTTGAGGTTATTTGCTTTGATTTTCAATTCATAATCATCAAATCTTCTTTGATGAAGTTGGGGAAAAAAAACTAATGACGATTATTGGAATAGATCTCTGTTTCGATGAGTCATCGACGAAAAAGACCTATTGGCCAGATAAAACAATGGCAACATACCTGAAAAATCCGGGATGAACTGTGAGTAGATTTCCTGTTCTGATTCTCCCCCCTTAGATAATCAATGGTTCCTTCTACTGTAACTAAATAACTAAATGGATTCAATCCGATACTTTATCATTTGTGACTCACTCATAATAATATCAACAAATGCTCAACAGTTTGTCCCGAAATTCCAATTCTAGACGATGCGTAGTATTCCTCTGTCTCAGATGTAAACATTCCATTCCCCATTTTGCGTATAGTCAATCTGAGGGGAGAGAGCTTCTCGGCAGTGTACCCCCACTCTACCTAGTCCCTAGTTGTTTTAGTATACCCCACTCCCAGAAACCAACGGATACTCTTTGCAATACGTCGTCGACACGAGGCATTGATGCTTCAAGGCCAATCCTCCGTCTACGATGCACAGTGCCATCTCTCGGTGTTCTCTTTACTCCTCCGTCCATGCTCGTTCTGTGAATTTTCAGGGCCCGTGAGACGACGGGAGTGGAATCGACGGTTTTTCGGTAGTTGATTCAGGGCCAGTTCTTCTGTTCGTTTTGGTTATATCCTCTAACTGTAGTAGAGGCAAGCACCATTTCTCGATTTCTCCTCCTCGGGGCCAGCTTTTAGTTTAGCTAACCACAGTTAAACGTCGGTTAAAGTTAAATTAACTCCAGATTGAGATCCCCGATTGGCTATGATCAGTGGTGGGGGAGTCTAAACTTAACTTTAATCATGGGTCAACTGTGGTTAACTTGAACCAAAAATTGGCCCTCAGTGCACGTATTGTCAAGCAGTAAACGAGAGCTTTCAGAGAAAACATCGGCCGTTACCCTCTGCTTCAAGAGACGAGAGTGTAGCCACTTAAGGTTGTTGTCGTATAACTTTTTTTTCGACAGTTTTAAAAAAAAAGTTTTTCGTAGATCGCTCTAAAAATTAGCTGTAAAATAAGCCCATTATAATTGCAATTGACCATCTCAAACTTAAGATAATTTTTTTTGAATTTTACATGTTAAATGCAGTTTCATCGTTTTCAATTTTTTTAAAAACCACTCGACCCTTTTTATTAAAAAAAAAATACAGTGTAGGAATAGTGTCAATCAATGTACAGAAAAAAAACATGAAATTTTTTTGACCATTTCATTTTCGAGAAATCATCATAGAAAGTTGTTTTTTTCCCCCAATGGGCGGGACAAGTGAGTTCAGTATGCGAGTCGTGACAACAACGCAGCAGCTTCGAGTCGGTGGCGCGGATGTATTTGAAATGCCGGGTTATAATGAGTAGTTCAAAAATGCGGTAATTCAGTCTTTTTTTTTTATTGACTATCTATAAACACTGTCATAATTAACAAACATGGAAAATAGTATAATAAAATAATAGATACCCTAGTCGTGGAAAAACCTAAGGCAGAGGCGTAACACGCCTGATCAGAATTTCGGATAGGACTTGATCAGTTTCTGATCGAGGCCTGAACAGAATTTCCACTCGGGATGAGCTTCGCGAGACAATCTTTGTAGTTCGTAAGAGGAGAAATTGAATCTTCTGTAAGAGTGGAAATATTGATGGCATCCAACATCAATGTGGAGTTTTGGTGGTACGTACAGACGCAGACAAACGTGCGTACCACTCGTTCCTGCCAATACACAATGTTACGGTCTCAACTCCGCAAACTTACTGAATCTCACAGGAGATTCCGGATGAGAAGTTTCATATTGTTGATGCATATCTGCCAAATTTTCAAGTACCAGCCTTTTCTGCATAATTTTCTTCTCGTCATTGATTCTAACGGATACTTTATCTTCGATTCCTGGCATAATTCGACTGTTATTCTCGTAAAACGCGTGGACTTTCTCAATAGTTTCGGGTAATGATTTTCCTGCTTTTGCGACGGCCGAAGCCAATACTCCTCTCATTTCTCTCAATTTTTTCGCTCTCTGAGCCATGTGTCTCGTGGCTCCAAATTCTTCACTCACTTTCCGAGTATTCCATGACAATGGAGCGACTTTCAAAATTTGTAGACGTGTAGTGTATCCCTCTGTACTCTTAAATTTTTCTTTCAGGCCATTCAACATCTCTTCCAGCTCATCTTCTCGAGGAGAACGTGAATGTTCTACTGTTCTCCTGTTCACTTCATTGTCTGAATCTTCATCCACTGAGAAATCGTCAATTTCCATTATTGTTAGGAACAACTGAATGGAAAGAATTACCAGATCTCAATGAACTGTTTGTGATGTTACTGATAGAAATGTCCGCCACGAATGGTGTAAGATTTGAAGAATACCCGGAAGAATCATCGGAGCCTCCAGTCGCTGTTGAATCAGTAGATATCGGAGGGAAAACTTCGATGTGTGGATGAAAATTATCGGGTGATGAGCCAGGAATATAAGTGGCAGCGTTCTTTATACAGTTGATACACAGTCGTGCATTCACCGGCAAGGATGGAAATTTTTTCCGTAACGATTCCGAAATTACACGTAGACCTTTTCCAACGTGAGCTCTCTCTCCAAGAACGCACGTTGAACTAACACATCTCTCGGCATGGGGCATCTTATGAAAAAAATGAGTTGATCAGTCCTATGGATAGATTAATATTAGATTAATGAAGCCATCAACATGTAATTAGTAATGAAGACCATTGAATCTATTCCGACATTCTCATAAATGGTCCATTTATCTCAGAAAGGAGTGATTTCAGAAGAACATGTGGTGACTCCATATTTAGCGCTCAACAAGTCCACAACAACGACGGTATGTACTCATTCTTTCATGAATGTACTCGTGACTATGATAATTTATTATCCATTGAAAAATAAAAATAAACTCCTATTTTATAACTTCTCCACTGGCACATTACAGACAAATTACATACCTCGATTCAAACTGACGAACAACTGAAGGAGAATAACGATTCAGTCAGTTTTTGGAGGAAATTTAACACACTGAACAGAGAATGAGGGATGATGTGGCAGGAGCAAGAGTCTCAGGACAACTAATTAGATTCGTACTCATTGTAACCCTTGGAGGTTGTATGGAAACACGATTCCACGAAATCTGTAGTTTTTCAGACCGCTTACCTCTTCATCCCCCATGGCAGCGAATTATATTGTGTTGATAATTTGTCAAACATCGCAATCCGATTGAAAGTGTACGACAAATACAACGTCTTCTTCCAAGAACAATCAGACAACGTTTAATTTTCCTGGCTGCGTGTCGTATTATTTTTCATTTCTTTACGCTCATCAAGGGCGAGAGTTGACGCTGGCTGAGTCAATGATACAGTGGAAAAATTGGACACACGTGGGATTCGGACCCGACTGAACGAATTGCGAGTTCTTCGCCCTATTGACTGAGCTATTACAGGCTTTCGATTTCTATGACATTTTCATAACGACTTAAGAATTTATCAACATCGGTATTTAATTATGGACATCGCTGACATCACTATTCAAAATTTCTATCTGAAATTGGGGATTATTATTATTTATCAAGAAAAAAGAGAATCAATTGATTTTCGACTGGCCCCTATGTAACAGTGGAATTTGAAAAATTAAAACCTCTGAAACAGAGTCATTACTCGTCCTCACAGTACTGGCGTATTTTTTTAATAGTAGATGAAAAAACGAAAAAAATCGTTTTTTATTCATTAAAATCCGTCAATTAGTTCGCGAGATATGATTCTTTAAAAATTTGAGCTTTTGACACATGTTGTAGGCAAACAATTGATGTTGAATTGGTAGTTTCATGCTATATATTAGTTATCAAAATTCTCGAGAGTTTAAAAGATTTAGAATTTGATTAGGAAATAGTATATTTCGATACGATTGCGGGAAAGTGTTTTTGGGCTTGAGGGAGGTTTATAGCATGAGCCGAAGGCGAGTGATATAATCCCACGAGTCTAAAAACACTTTTTCCGCGCGTGTATTGAATCCTATTTTTCATCACAATGCGTGGGAAGTCGGGTTTTGCGCACGCGGAGCGTGCGTAAAATGTCACTTTACACACAGCGTGATGAAAAGGGCAATTATGGCATGCAATTGTGCGAATTTTCACTAGAATACGATGTGTTATTCGCTGTGAGATATTTTATGGCAAAATATTAGAAAACGCCCCTATCGCTCTATGAATGTGCGCAAGTCCCTGGAAAATTTCTCTTATAAAAGTTCCGCATTTCAATGAATATTGTCAATAACACGAAGTTATTTCTAAATTTTTAAAAATCAAAGGAAAGATATCTCATGATATTTTTCGCCATTGTTTACTGAGGATCCGATCAATTTCGGTTAATAATGACAGACTAATTACTATTTTCACTAAATTCTAGAGATTGAGGGTATTGCAGAAAACTCACTAAAACGATTTTCCGAATTTTTAATGACTCATTTCATTTTTGTTATCAACGGCGTTGAAGACGTTCCAAAAATTGATGACACTTTCGAGAGGTGTTCTGATCTACACTTGTGCGGAATTTTGCAATGTGCTAGAGACAGCTAATATGAATGACCTGTGTTGTGTCGCGTCCCTACCATAGTAACCCGCGGGCGCTAGTTTAGTTTTTTCATTTACCTTATCGACTGTCTTACCGACAGTTAGTACATACGTTGCAATTTCCATATTTTTCCAATCGTAATAAATTTAATATGATCTAGTTTCAAACACAAAATAATACTCAAGTATCCAACTCACAGCAACAATTTCATTTGATGCAATAGTTTTCAAGATATTGAAAAAAGAAAAAAATTTCGGAATCGCTGTATCTCCAAAACTACTGGACCGATTGAGATGAAATTTCGCCCTGATGTGCTCCCAAACAATACCAATTAGGGGAGGTAGGGGCAAAGCGGACCCTCTAAGCGAATCGTTTAGTTTTTTAAATTCTAATGAGTCAATGCACTTCACGTGGAGATCATAATCTCATTAGAATTGCAATTAAGATCTGTCATTAAATTAAAAAAAAAAATAATGTTGGGGCAAAGTGGACCCTCTGTTTTTTTAAAATTATTTTAATTTTCCGTTTGTCAGGAGTCATTGTCATGTTGTTCTACCGATTGGATAGAATGTAATCGCTGTCGATCAAAAACTCACATTTTTTGTTCACAATTAGATCCGCAGGAGCTCACACAAATTTATACTTACCCTCATTGCATATTTTTTTAGTCCAGGTAGTAAATTTCACTTTATAAAACGTATTAGAATAATTCCGCTTTGCCCCTACCTCCCCTATAAGCCAAAATTTCAAATTTTTATCTATGACTTTAGTCCTTTTTTGTGAAAATTTATAGAAAAATTCACAAAATTTTGCACGCACATACTGACGTACACACAGGTATTCTCTAAAAACATCATATCTCGACGTTTCATGACATTCTAAGACATTCAAAGCTTCCATTCGGAATTAAAAAATTTATCCACAAGTGTAACTCAATAATACTACTAACTAGTATTGCAAATTTCAGATGTGAGATCGCGTATAGGGAACCTCAAATTAACTCTCAGATGGAAAAATGAGAAAAACACCAATATTCAAAAAACTTGCTTTTCAGAATTCAACAATATTATGCTGTGGAGACAGCATCACACTAATTTATAAAGTTGAAGAAAATTTTCAAATTTTTTGAGTCAAAGAAATTAATTGGCGTATTGTACCATATTACCAAACTCGCAAATGAAAAAACATTTGATTAATAACCATTTCGAATCAATCAAACAAATAAACTTAGTAAAATTATATTTTGATCTTAAACAAAATTTTCCATTTTACGCCTGAAAAGGACTGCGCAGTTTCGTCCTAATAAAAAAAACTAGGATAATCTTTCGGATTATCTTTTTATTGATACCTCTAGAAATTTATTACGAAAATTCTAAAATTGAAAAAGGAGAAGTTATCTTCTGACACTGACGAACTCTCTGGCCATGACATGGTCCTCCATCTTGATGATATCCTCAAGCCTCTGAGATCTGATGTTTAATTTATCCAGAATTCCCAAGCATCGCATAATAATTATTCTTTATTCATTAAACCTGACTCTTTACAAATTAACAAATATCTCAAGCCTGAATCTGCTTCTGGGATTCCCCCTCTGGCAGAATGTCCTGGTCAATGGCCCCAATATCTTTCAACAACTGTTGTTTGTCACCGAAGTAGTTCTTGAACCACATTATGTGCTCTTTCTTCTCTTCCACCGTCATATATGGGTTTTTAGACAGACCAGTGCAGACTAGTTCCATGAAGTGGCGGATGGGTCCCTTCCTCGGACACCAGTCCTCTATATGCCTCCCTAGGAAGACATGCTCGGAGAAGTGAACGCTCTGCTCTGCTTCCATTCCTGAAATTCATCGAAATGAGATCATTTTATTTTCAATAAATTTCAAGAGACTATTTTTATAGAGAATTTATTTCCGACAACAGAGGTCTTTCAATAAATGATCCAGTTCTATTGTGAGCCAAAATATCCAACAATGTAATTATGAATAAATGAAGTGTGAGCACCGTACTACATTCCTGAAACAGAAAATCCTTAGAAAATGCCAGTTTTAGACATTTCATCCACATCGAGGAAGCCCAACATGATCTGCTCACACGTTGGACTTGCTGAATGATACAACGTCCTATCCGGCGTCTCCCTCCGAATCAGGTGTTTATGTCTCTTTCGGCTAGATCGCGGTTTTCGGACCCTTAACATAAACCAGTTTACGTCACACGGTCCACAAAGCATTTCTTGACGAATGTCAGTTTATAATCCGAGCCGAAGGCAAGGAAAATGCTTCGTGGATCTAATGATGAAATCTACTATTTGAGCTGTCTGGGTCGCCATTAATATTTCAAAGTCACTGAAATGCATTTCAACCAAAGTTAGTTCAAGGTGGGACTTGTATTCATAACCGCTTATTATATTGATGTCAATTCATCTTCCTTTCCTCATTTCCTTATTATTTCCGTCTATTACAATAATAATGAGTGGAAAACAAAATGTGCAAACATTTCCATAAGAGCATCATTTCCAATAAAATAAACTCCGTGAGAGATGACGACTTTACTCTTATATAAAGGGACTCAACTTCCCTTGTGCTCATTCGTATTTGAATAACTATCATATTTTCCGAGAAAGAAATAAAGAAAATTTCTCTGCATCATGAAGTTCCTTTCCATTTTCGTAATCATTGCCATGGCTCTAGCGACCGTTAGTGGGCAGCGTTGCCTAGGACGGGGAGTCCCTGTCGGTTGATCATATTTTTGACAATTTTATTAATATGTTTTGTGATATACTTTCCAATCTACTGTCAAGATTGAACTGCAAACATATACATGCAGCATTCATTTACATTCAGTTTCAAAAAGTAGATGAGACGAAGGAACATTCCAAATATTTCTGCTTGCAAGTCAACGTTAAATGTTCCAATCCGACGTGCAACGATGAATTAAATTTTAAATATAATTTATCTGATTTCAGTGCCAAGCTAATCGTCACTGTTGCTCATGGTTTTGCCGCAGGTTAAGATGCGCCTGTATGTGAAAATTTTCTCCCGCTGAGAGTCGCCCGACTGGAAACTCAAATCAGGCCGGGATAAGAGACTGATCAGTAAAAACTGCTTTTGATCAGTTTTGGATCAGAAATGTAACGCTTCTTTGGATCCATGCTTGATCAAAAGTCTAGGATTCGATCGTTCTGATCAGTATCGTGTCCGATACGGATGCAGTCGGGATTTGACTGATCAGAATAGAATCTAAATTCACTCAGTTACACTGGATCCAGATACTCTATTCAAAATCTTACCAGATCCTGATTTGAAAGTCTAATCGAGTAATTCTGATCAATTTTGCATGTAAAACTGATCTAGACCTAGGCCAACTGAGCAAAATTTCCACTCGGTACTTGATCGATTGATCGATAATTCACTGAGTAATTCATTGATCACTCAGAAAAAAGCCCGTTTTGTTCGTTGATTCATTGATTGGTCATTCATTGATTTTTTAATCATTGGTATTATATTCCTTTAGAGTTGGAGACACATCCAGGCGAAAGAGACACAAACGCCTGATTCGGGAGCAGATGCCAGACAGGACGTTATGTCATTCAGCAAGTCCAATGTATAAGAAGACCATCTTCGGCTTCCTCGATTTGGATGAAATACCTAAAAATGGAATTCTCCAAGGATTTTCCCAACTGTTCTGTACTCATTGTGAGTGGATGGATACAATAAAATATCTATATTCAAGCATATTCTTGAAATAATTATCAACTTCCTGATTCGAAGAGAAGAAGTTATTATAATCATCCCAGAAGTCGAATGCGGAATTTGTAGGATTCATCCAAATTTCTTAACTCTTAAAACTTCTTGTGACCTTTTTACTTTCGAACAACGATTTTGAGCGAAAAACCGAAAAATGGAAACATCTCGGCAACTTTGTACAGACGGGTATGCATATTTTGATTGATTGAGATAGAAGACATCGAAACTAATAATTTGAAAACCACTAAGGGCCTAGGATATTCCCCGTTATGGTAGCTCAGTGCCCTTAGAACCTATGAGTCCCAGGATCTCTACTGCAAATAAGGCTCAAGGCTGGGGCAAATATTACAGGGTGTTACGTATCTCTGTTCAGTTATCTGATCTCGATGTTTACATTTTTATCAAAAAACAATCGCAGTGATTGTTTTTTTCTTCCTTTCTACATGTAATATACTATTATACTCAGCCTTCATGGCGCTTTTGTATTTTTTTTACTTTTGTATGGGGTGGGGGAAGGGAACAAAATGTAAAAACCCGAGAGGGTATATATGCGAAAATAAAATAATATTTTGAAAAATAAGTGCATATAATATAGTTATTTTTACTAATGATTAAGCAATGTGCTTCCGAATAGTTATTTTCCACATCATTTCCTTCTATCGAATATAATTCATTGTCGATTTCATTTTATTAAATTGAATAAGATTTTTTTCAACTAATTTTATCAGATGTTCAACTTAATGGAATGTTATTATCATCATTATTCTTATTATCCCTTTGGTCTGTACAACCGGTAGTCTTTTTTACGGTTCTATCTCTCCCCTCAGCCCTCCGATAAAATGTTAATACAAAAGTTTTATATATGCATAATTGAATGCATTTGAAACATCAACGTTGAAGGAACCATCAGAAAGCTCACGGTCAGGAAAATTCATGAGAAATTCGAAATTTTCAACAATCATTATAAAAATCAAATCAACCAATATAGCTACCGTAACCATCTTATAACGTCGACTTAATGGCAATAAAACAAACATTTTAAGCTACGATTGAATTCATTTCAAGAAATTCAAAGATATCCCCAGAATTCTGATTTTCAAAAAATGGACAATTTTTGCAAATTTTCAAATAAATCAAAATAACGATTATAGCTATCGCCTTCATTGACGAATTCGTTCAGAAGGACATTAAAACAATTTTTTTAAGCTATCATTCAGTCAATGCTGAACATTTTTTTTAGTTATCGTGGGACAACGGATTTCCGAAAAAGTTAAAAAATGAATAAAAAATGATAAAAATGATAAAAATAGATTATTTCAATTCCAATTAATGGCGATTGATAGGGCTCAACTATATGTACATTTGAAAAAAAAGATACAATTCAATCCATTCATTAGCAAACAAAATAAAACTTTGTTACATACGTACACTCGTACACACGTATGTATGGGCGAGGTCTAAAAATGGCATTTTCGGACTTTTTGGATCATACTAGACCGATAACACTAAAAAAATCCAAAACTTCAATTTCAACGATTACAAAGCTGCCATTCGGAAGCGATCAGAAGAAGTTCCAAGTGAAACGTGGAGAAATCATAAAAATTACACATTCCATTTCCTGGGATGATTACACTAACTTCTTCCCTTCGAGTCAGGAAGTTAATCAATGTTTCAATAATATGCTTCAATATAGATACTTTATTGCATGTATCCTCTCAAATCGAGTACAGAACAGTTGAGAAAATCCGAGGAGGCATTCATTTGTGAAATCACTGTGTCACTCAAGAATAAAATCAAGTGAAATCAATCAAAGCCTGGGATTTCATCGATTCCAGGTAATTTCAATTGAAATCACTCGCAATCGATGAAATCTCATGAAATCAGCAACTTATGAGACCCTTTCAAATACATAAAAAAGAAAGAAACTTTCGACTTATTGGCGGTGTATTCTTCTACGTGTGCCCATTTACGTGTATTATTTTTATTTAAAATTTCTCGAACTTCAACTAATGAGTGTTCATGGTTATGTGACCATTGATCAATATCGCCAAACAATTTCCTCCCTGTAGTTACCAAGAAAGGTTTAGAAATAGATGGAAAGATATATAAAGAAGTTATTAAATGTTTCTAATCCCAAAGTCCGTTCACTACTGATCAGAGTGGAGAGTTCATTTCGTTTAGTTGAATGTATGAAATGTATGTTGTTCTCTATTGTATTGAATCAATCGATATTTTATCGAATTAATGAAAAAAAAAATTGATTCTCATAGCTTCATTTGGATGGTTTCATCCTTATGGTAACTCGCATTCTTGTGCCTTCTTGTCTTAATAATGCATTAATATGCATTTCTTTCCCTCCGGGTTCTATCCCAATTTTCTCCTACTCTATTCCTCTCTCCTCCACTAAATAGATGAAATCAAAAATTTCAAATCACTTGAAATCGCCTGAAATCGCGCAATCACCAAAAAAATACGAGGCAATCACATAAAATCAATGATTGCATGAAATCATGGAAATGTCCCTGAAATCATGTGAAATCAACAATCACTGTGTCACAGAATTTCCAAATGAATGGTCCCTTGAGAAAGTCGTAGGAAAATGCCATTGGATTTAGGTATTTCATCCACATTGAGGAAGTCCAAGATGGTCTTCTCATACATTAAACTTGCTGAATGACACACCGTCCTGTCCAGCGTCTCTCCTGAATCAGAGCTTCATGTCTCTTTCGGCTAGATCACGGTTATCGGGCCCGTAACTGAAACCGTTTACATCACACGGTCCACAAAGCATTTTTCGTCGAATGTGAGTTTATAATCTGAGCCGATTGGCAGGAAAATGCTTCGTGGATCTAATGATGAAATCTACTATTTGAGCTGTCTGGGTCGCCATTAATATTTCAAAGTCACTGAAATCCATCTCAACCAAAATCAGTTCAAGGTGGGACTTGTATTCACAACCGCTTACTATATTGATGTCAATTTATCTTCCTTTCCTCATTTCTTTATTATTCCCGTCTGTTACAATAACAATGAGCGGCAAAAAATATGTGCAAACATTTTCATAAAAGGAGCTTCATTTCCAAAAAGAAAATAAACTCCGTGAGAGATGACGACTTTGCTCTTATATAAAGGGACTCGAATTCCCTCATCCTCATTCGTATTTGAACAACTCTATCATATCTTCCGAGGAATAAGTGAAGAAAATTTCTCCGCATCATGAAGTTCCTTTCCATTTTCGTAGTCATTGCTATGGCTCTAGCAGCTGTTAGTGGACAGCGTTGCCTAGGACGAGGACAATATGTGGGTTGATCATATTTTTGACAACTTTATTAATATGTTTTATGATATACTTCCTAATCTACTGTCGCGATTGAACTGCATTCAGTTTCGAAAAGTAGATGAGTCGAAGGAACATTCCAACTATTTATTCTCGGAACGCACTGTTGAATTTTCCAATACGACGTGCGATGATGAATTAATTTTTTAATATAATTTGTGTGATTTCAGTGCGGAGGATATATTCCGTGTTGCTCAAGCTTTTGCCGCAGGGGAAGATGCGCCTGTATGTGAAAATTTTCTTCCGCTGCAAGTAACCCGAGTGGAAGCTCAAATCAGGCTGGGATAAGAGACCGATCAGTAAAAACTACTTTTGATCAGTTTTGGATAAGAAATGTAACGCTTCTTTAGATCCATGCTTGATCAAAATTCAAGGATTCGATCGTTCTGATGAGTATCGGGTGCGATACGGATTCAGTCGGGATTTGACTGATCGAAATAGAATCTAAATTCACGCAGTTACACTGGATCCAGATACTCTATTCAGGATCTTACCAGATCCTGATCCAAAAGTCTAATCGAGTAGTTCTGACCAATTTTGCATATAAAACTGATCTAGACCTAGGCCAACTGAGCAAAATATCCACTCGGGAGTGATCGATTGATCGACAATTCACTGAGTAATTCATTTTTAATCATTCGTATTATTTTTCTCCAGAGTTGGAGGTACATCCAGGCGAAAGAGACACAAATGCCTGCTTCGGGAGGAGATGCCGGACAGGACGTGTGTCAGTCAGCAAGTCCAATGTATGAGGAGACCTTCTTCGGCTTCCTCGATTTGGACGATTTTTATACCTAAAAATTGCATTTTCCAAGGATTTTCCTAACTAATCTGTACTCATTTGAAGTGGATGGATACAATAAAATATCTATATTCAAGCATATTATTGAAATAATTATCAACTTAAAGGGAAGAAGTTATTGTCAGGTTTCTGAAAATGGAATAGGAAATTTTCAATGATTTCTCCTCGCTTTGTGACACTTAGACCTTCTTCTGACCTTTTTGCTTTCGAACAAAGATTTTGAGAAACCAACTGAAAAATAAAAATATCTCGGAAACTTTGCACGAACGGGTAAGCATATTTTGATTGATTGAGGTAGAAGACATCGAAACTAATACTTCGGAAGAAAAATATTGTAATCGGTTGGATTGCTTTCGAGATGTTTGCGAAAAACGATTTAGAAACAACTGGCGATTTTTCCCAAATGTCATTATTAATTGAATAAACAGGTCAATTTCTGGACGGGAGTTAGTTTCTGGACTATTCCAACTTGCATTGAATATTCCATAAATAAAATGAAAATTGCACTGATTATTTCACCTTTCAATAATATTACTCGTGCATAATCATGTGATCAATTATCTTTTCTATTGATCGACATTTAATAAATAAAAGAAATATGGTCCAGTCGTCCAGAAATTAGGGGTTTCGGCTGTATTCAACTATTTTGTTAATTTAATTATTCTGTTTTGTTGTTTTGACTTCAAATAATTTTTTTCTGCCAATTAAAACATTCTTGAAGGTATGGAAGCCATCATATCCCCATTTAGGTGATTCTTTTGTTTTAGATCCTACCACGAAACTCGAATTTCCCTTAACCGTCTAGCCATTGCTCTACCTATAATCTGACAAAATTTGAATTTTTTTTTTACTTATTTTAGTCCTTTAATTGTTCGATATTCTAAAAATTGACCACCAGGTGGGCAGGCGCACATATATAAATGGTCCTCAAATTTCGTGTATTTTACGTCTCAGACCATTTTACATAATTTCCAAGCAAACTTAGAAAACCTAAACATATAATGATTTCAATGCTTCCATTCGTAAGCAAAAAACTTTAAGGCCCGGGTGTACTATCTTTTGAGCGTTATCTGGATGTTTTTTTTCATCTTTCGTCATCTGAAATAATCCACTAAGTCCTGCATCATGTAGAAGTTTTGAAAAATTATGAATGAATAATCAAAAAAAAAGTAGAAAAAATTCTTAATTATTTCAAAGAGCATTTTTAATTTATATTCAGAATAAGTTGAATAACAAGAAATTGAAAAATGTATCTGATTTACGGTGACAAATGGCGGCCTGTCACCAAATATCATGCAGGGGGAAGACTGATTTCATAAATCGTTTCCCACATTGCACAGAGACTTTTATTACGGAAAAGGCTCTTTGAAAAAAGTTGTAATATTTTGAAGAATTTTTTAATCACAGTTTTATCACATAAAAATGGCAGATGACTACATACCACTGTTGAAAATTGAGCCAGCTGTCACTTTCCACGAGGAGTTGGTGTTTTGTTATCCAAATGACAGCTAATAGATAATTTACCACAGTGAATCAGATATTTGTCATTTCCACTTTTTTCAACTCATTCTGAATTTCAATTAAAAACGTTCTTTGAAAAAGTTCAGAATTTTTTCTATTTTTTTAAAATCATTTTATCATAATTTTTAGGAATTTCTACATGATGTACCACTCAACTGACAATTTTGGATTACGAAAGNGAAAATTGAGCCAGCTGTCACTTTCCACGAGGAGTTGGTGTTTTGTTATCCAAATGACAGCTAATAGATAATTTACCACAGTGAATCAGATATTTGTCATTTCCACTTTTTTCAACTCATTCTGAATTTCAATTAAAAACGTTCTTTGAAAAAGTTCAGAATTTTTTCTATTTTTTTAAAATCATTTTATCATAATTTTTAGGAATTTCTACATGATGTACCACTCAACTGACAATTTTGGATTACGAAAGATGAAAAAAATCCAGATAACATTCGGAAGATAGTACACCCGGGCCTTAAAGTTAATTTTTTATCACGCGATAATGAAATCGTTGATGAATTATTTTGAGTTTGAATTTTAATTAAATTTGGTTCATACCTTGTTCATTGTCAATAGGGAACTTCCAAAGAATTCCTCGTTGTGTCCACTGGATCAATTCCTCGAAATAGTTTTCAGGAGGATGAGATATCATTAGTTTCAATTCTTGCTTTTCCAATGCCTCCCAGGTATTTAATTTCGTGGTAATTGCATCGATTGAGGAAGAGGTACCACCGAGGATACCGAAGGGCTTGCCAGCATATAAATCAGCGACTACTTCCCTTCGTCTGAAATAAGTTGAAAATAGATTGAATCGATCTATTTTTATTCAGTCATTGTGTCTCTTCATTATATCTCCTGATAATTGTATTGTATCTGTTGATAATTAATAGCGTTGAATAGTCAACGCTGAAAAGATAATGTCTAAAATCTTTGAGAGTCCAGAGAAAATATTTTGAGGGAACACTCACGCTCGAGCTGCGAATCTCTCGATATCCTGACCTGCACCTCTGGGCTGGAATTTGTGGGCCAATTCTCGGATTTTTTCGGCTCTCGCGAAGGGAAGAACGTCTTCTTCCGAGAGTTGCTTCGGAGTTCTATCGATTTTCATGGCTGCGAGCAATTCACTGGACAAAGAAAATTTGGAAATGATTTCGAAAATTTTTCTTGAATTTTTCAACTCTAAAAAATTCATCATAAAATGTTTTTTGTGGAGAATTTATTTGGCTGCAAGAAATAACTGATGACGATTCACACCTGAATCCACTAGTTCCTGAGATATTCATCAAAATGAATCGCATAGCATTTTTTGAAATCATGACATTTTCTATTTTCTTGTGGATTTCTTTTAGATAATGAAAGGGTAATTACCTCAAGGAGGGCTCGGGCACCTCGTCCTTCTTCTCAGGCACTTTTTCTTGCTTCGCTGTCACCTCTTCTGTCTCCTGAGACACTTTTTCTTGCTTCGTCGTCACCTCTTCTGTCTTCTGAGGCATTTTTTCTTCCTTCGCCATCACCTCTTCTGTCTTCTGAGGCACCGCTTCCATCTCTTTTTTCTGCTTCTTCTTCTTTTTGGATTTTTTAACAGGCGGAATAGGTAAAACTGGAGGAGGTGGTGGAGCCCCAGCTGAGAATATCTTATCGAGTAGCTCCGCTTCTTTCTTTTGCGTATCGCCTCCAAGAGTCTGTGCGACGTCCTTCGCTGCTATTTTTATTTTTTCCTCTAAAATTGGTAAAACAATCTTCATTCCTTAATCATTTATTCATTTATCCATCTTAATATCAAACATTAATCATAATAATGAGTGGTTTTGTAAGGATGTGTGAAGACATTTCATGTTGAAAAATTTTAGTAGTAGTGGACAAGGTCTTCTGACGTTGACCTAAAATGACTTTTTTAAGAAATATACAGCAAAAAATATCAAAATCAATTCATCACGTGCATTAGTTAGCTACTAAATTTGTTCGATGCTACTTGAAAAATGATTAATAGATTAAGAGAATAAAAATTTTCTGGTAAGTTCTGCATTCTTCAGAATTGGATGAGAAGTATTTTCACTTTTTTTGAAGGAAGTATTTTCTGTCTTAAGGATGTTTATCGATTTTCCACAAATTGTATCTTTTGATGTTCGTGAAAAATTTTGTAATTGATCAGACCGATGGGGGAACATGTGAAACCAATATTTCGGGTAGTAAAAAAAATCATTTAGAGTATAATAATGAAATAAATTCTACAGAAGTTTCTCCAATGGTTCGTTAGTAAACTTTCTGAATCGAAATAATTTCGTTTGTACATTTTCAAATGGTAGACATTGAAATGTACAATTCAACGACAGAGTTGAGACAACATTTTCCAGTGGAGTCTAGGACTCTCCCCTGGTTGGAGAATCATCCTTAGAATTATCTGCACTATGTTTCCGTGAGCTCTTCAGCCCTCTGCACGCAAAAAAAATTCACAAGTCTTTTGACATTTCTGGTATGCACTCTGGTATGGAACTCTGAAAGCATTGGAAAACCTTCCGTAGAATGAATTTTATTGTAAAATATTGCGTCTGTTAGACATTACGGGTTATTCAGTCAAGAAAACATTGTGGTGGTATTAAGGATAATCGGGCGAGCCCGGAGGATTGGAAAAAAAACAGCCATTTTTTTCTTTTTTTTACGTATTCTTTAAATAATGGAAAAGGCGTGTGCAAAGTTTCAGACTGCTGGGGAGCATGGCAAATTTATTATGAATTTTTGAAAAAGTGGGTGTTTGTAGACTATACGGACCCTTCCTCAATATAAATTTTATATTTGGGAATTTTTATTTATTTTGGGTCCGCGCCGTGGGTCCTGGGTAACGCCAAGAGCTGGTAAGGCTCGTAATTCGATGTTTTACCATGCTCGTGAATTTAGAAAGTGACTATCTTTAAATTAATTTATTAAAATAAATTTGCCTTTTGAAGGAAGGTGGCGAAATGGGAGGTCCCGTACACCTACCCGGCCACTTATATAATTATATAGTGTTACGAAGAGTCCTAAATTCACCTCTGGCAACCCACTCCCCATGTGACAATTTCTAGCAGGGTATCTGGCAGGGGTAGGTATTGTATACCAAAACCAAAAAGTGGTCATTTAACCCGTGATCTTATGGAAATCATAAAAACAACTGCAAAACCCAAGGAAAAAAAGCAGCCAAAGTCATGAAACTTTAGACACATTTAGAACATGTGATCAATGATTTTTTGAGTGAAAAAGTTTGTTGCCTAGGAGCATTGTTTATTAATAATAGCGAAAAAAGTATTGAAAAATGAAATTTCTGCGCATGCAGCCCAAACGAACAGCAACGTCTCAAGTACCGATCGAGTGGGGGTAGCGCGGTCAATTTAAACGTCTCTTGAGAGAGAGCGATGAAGCGTTTTGATTGGAGCTCCCTCGAGCCAGTGGTACCAGCTCCTGGTGGAAAAAAAAATCTACCGACGATGTTGCCACTTTTTCGCATGGATAAATATTTTTTCATTTATTAAAAAAAAACAATCTGAAAACCATTCAATGCGTGGAATAGATAGAAATAAATTTGATTAGCTACAAAAATCATTTTTAACCGGGAGTATCCCTAATATTGCCTGAATTTTGAATCCGAATGGGAAACATTTTTTTGTTCAGCCATTGGTTTTCTGCAAGAAAACAATAGAAACCCCCCCGCCTCACCTCCAACATTCCTTCCTCACCCGATTATCCTTAAAGTATGTCCTTCCTTCTTGAGTTTTCATTTATTATGTACTCTTATAAACCTCATAAATTTCAATTTTCTTCACAAATACTATAACTCAATTTCCTTTTATTTCTTCATATGAAAATCCGAAAAAAGTCTCCGACTTTCTATGAAATTGAAGAAAACGCTATAGAATTCTCGATTTTTCTGACAGATTCAGGAAAATTATTCATTTTGAAAATTCGAAATTGGTTAGTGATTATCTTCTTATCATCCATTTTTATCGCTGATTTTTTTTTCTACGTATCATCGATTTTTAGAATGCATTCCTGAGTGTATGAAATGTAATCGATTTCACTTTTTCATTTTCACATTAAAAAATAATAATGAAGTTTTCATGATTTGAATGAACGGTCTAGTATCAATAAAAAAATTCCAAGTCAATAATTCAATGTCTGTGATTGTGGATAAATATTCTTAAAAAATTGCAGAAGCAATGGATGAAAATTCTGCTTCTACAAAACGTATTAAAAAACAATTTTAATAGAAATAATTATAATTAAAATTGTGGTATTGTTGCTATAAATGACGTTGAGTAGAGCCTCATCCCTCTTTTCTACCCTTTCCCAGATGTCAATTCCAAGACCGAGATACCCCATTTTGAAAAAAACCATTCCAAGAACTTTCTGGATGTAAAGTATATAAGTGGGGAACTGCGCAAATCAAGTCAGTCACCAATTCGTATTCGACGTGTTCACATCGAGAGAGAAATTTCGAACGAGAAAATCAAAACGATAGTGCATAGTATTCAGCAACTTGTGAACATTCTTGTGAATCAATTCATGAGTGAGTTCGGGATTTACTGATTTATGTCAATTGCGCAGATTAATTCCTAGAATGTTCTAGCACCTGTTAGAGAATATATGGATTTTCTGGGAGGAAGATTGAAGAAAACTTCAAAGACACTTCCCGAAAATTCTAATACTGTTTCGACAATTTATAAAATTGGTCGGGTGTATGGCCGAGTTAAAATACCGAGAGGAAATAGAATTGAGCATGTTCGAATCATGTACATACAACCTACAGTTTTGACAACCTCACGTGTCTCGAGAACCTAACTGACTACAGTTGATTCTCACCATCATGTGTGATTGCATTTTGATCATTCACTTGAAATGCTGTCATAACATCGTAACCTACAAGTTACAGAGGAAATAGTCGTGAGCTTTAATGACAAGAAAGAGTCGAGAGCCCATCACTAATAAACTAGTTGTTGATGTGACGTTAAACCCCCACGAACAAACAAACAATTTATGAAATTTTCAAATATTTTTTAAACTGGGAAAATTCTAGAACCTTCGACGATTTATTTCTCCAAAATTCAAAGATTTTCCTAGAAATTGGGGCTGAGAGAATACATTTGATTTCGTCAATTGTTAATTGCAATCAATAGATATTCACGTCTTAATTAAATTCTATAATTTAATCAAGATGTTATTACTAAAATAAAATTCTATACCTAAAGTTTTTTCCTTCACTTTTTTCGGGGCAGGCTTCTTGGCTGGCAGTGCCAGATCAATCGTTTTATTCACCAAATTCTCCTGAAAATAGTATAAAAAATGAATATTGATAAAAAGTCCTGTCGGTTGATGTATAATAATTACAACGCAATGGAGAATAGTTACTTGATCCATTTTTGCCAACAAGTTATTCAGCAAGTCAACAGTCTGCTGCTTCGCAGTTTCATCTCGTTCATTCTTTTGTTTAATTTTCTTCGACTTGTCAGCATCAGAGTCTGAGGAATCTGATGATGATGATGAATCCTTGGCACTCAGGAGTCTCACAGAACTGTGAAACTGTTTTGTCACTGCACTTCGTGCAGCACTCACTCTGCGAATTCATAATCAATTAATTTGTCATTTGGTATCTTCGATTTTTCATCAGTCCCGAGACGTTTCTAAGTATGAAATTATTATCAAAAAATTAGATTTGTTAAATTTTTGGAATTGTTTGGGAGATTGATATGGATTTTAAAGAGCAGAAAATTTTTTAAATTGGAATTGAAGTACACATGCAAAATAATTCACAACAAAGTCTAGTTGTGTCTTATTCTGAACAAATTCATTATGAAAAACTAATTCTAAATAAATCTTCAACAATCTTCCGACGCTTGTAAACATAGAATTGAGGTTAAGAAGTGGAAACCCCCACAAATTGACGAAATAGGAGATGATTGAGGGAGATCGCTCACCTGCAAAGTAATCTCACTGCTAATATTCGATCCATAACACTGGTTATCTTGAAAAATCTTTTTACAATTGTTGATTTTATTAAAAAAGACGAGGCATCCGGCTCCGTACTGCCTCGACCCAGCCCCCGACGTTGAGAGACAAATCAACTTCTGCACTATTAGTCATAAATTTTTCTTATTTACATAACAAAAATGTTTTTTCATAACTAAAAATTTCGAATTTTATCATTACGCGGCTGAGTGAAAGAAACACTTGTCTCTGATTGATTGGATAATGAAATTATTTTCTAAAAAGTAATGGAATTATAGGTTATTATACAAGCAGGGACGTACATATGAATGCAGTACCCGAGTATTATGTGCTGGTTTCCATTTTCCAAACGTTGAGAGTTGTTTCCAACAATGAGAATCATCTTTTACGGGTAGAAAAAAATGTCAGATTCAGAGAGAATTTCAAGAGATTGAACTTTAAATTTTAGAGATAGAACTTTAAATTTTTGACCATTCAATGTCCCTCATAGTTGACCCTCAAATTTAACTCTGTGAATTAATTCACACTTAAGCCTGATGCTCATGTTTGACCCTCGATGTTGACCCTCAAACTTGACCCCGGGGGTCAATAAGTTCAATTCCGACCTCAGAAATAATTTTCAAAAATAAGTTAAGTTCAAGTTTCAATTTTATACAGAGAAATTTTTTTCTTAAATGATTTTCGACCCTTTTATGTCCCTCATAGTTGACCTTCAAATTTAACCCTGTGAGTTTTTTAATTCTTGAACCTAACTTCGAGTTTCAATTCCAAAAAAATATATATTTTTTTCTCAAGTTTTTTCTCAATTTTTTATGGCTGATGCGCACATGTTTGTCCCCAGAATTTGACCCTCACACATGACCGCGAAGGTCAAGTTCTTCCGAAATAATTGGAAAAAATGAGTCAAACACGAGTTTCAATTTCGGAGAAAATTTTTTTCAAAAGATTCCATTGAACCTCAAGTTTTTCAAGTTTTCTGCAGCTGATCCACATGTTTGACCCTCAAACTTGACCCCGAGGGTGAACCCCATTTCCACCGCAAAAAAATAGTTCCTCCAGGGTTCCACCAAGGCTTATCACTACGTCCCTGAACATATCGTGAAATTTCGTTGTATTTCGTACGGAAACTTGAAGAAAAACTCTGTAGATTCCATTATGTACATCAGCTGTTTTTTTTTCAACTCCAAAAATTCACTCCACCACCTCCGAGTCTTCTGATGATCTCACATTGACAAAATTCGCAAGTTATCACGAATTGTTTATTTTTAGTACCGAAAATATTCTTGCAAAACTAGTTGTGAAGATGGTGCGTCTCAGTCGAACTACGTTTGTAGCCAGTGGTGAAAAATCTGCCACTCATTTTCCCTCGGAGTAACGACCCAGAGAGAACCTCTTTATTTTCATTCCTCTTTCGATTTGTTTTTGTATGTCGAGTGGACATTGAAATTTTTTGGTCGGATCATTCCAGTTATTAATGGATTGAATTTGTAATTTTTTTATTCTTCTTTTGGTGTTCTGTTTTCTTCAGTTCTGGAATAATGTCAACAATGAAGAGAACAAAGTCACATATTTTCTACGATATTTATAACCAGCCTTATGATTACGGAGTCAGGACAAAGCTTTATTCCAGCAGTAAAGGTAAATTTCATTTTTGATTAATAATTTTGTGTTAAAATGGCAAAAGGTGATGATTTCAGTTTGATTTTTTTGCTGATTGTGCGATTATCTCGGGGATAAGTGGTTTTAGAGAAAAATGTTGGAGGAACTTCTTTTTAGAAAACTAAATTTTCTATAAGAATGTCTTCGGATATTTTTCTCTAGGTCCAGCCCTTGAGAAGATACGCATTCACAAAATAAACGGGGAATCCAATGGTAATTGAAGTAGAAATTCAGAATACAGTATTTTGGGAACATCTTTGAAACAAAGTTGAATCTCTTAAGAGATTCAGGGAACAATGTCAGAAAATGTTTTTTTAAGCTGATAAAATTTTCCATAGAAGTGTCTTTTGACATTTTCTTCCTAAACGAGATGATTAACCAGATGATTTGTCAATTTCAATTCGACAGTGAACAAATACTCTTTGTACTACTTTAAAAATATTTTTAAAATATCTACGATATAAAGAGGTTTGGAGAAAAATGACAGAAAATTTTTTTTGGAGCTGATCAATTTCTCTACAAAAAGATTCTTTGAAATTTTTTAAAATCTGTTCCGTAGAGATTACTAACGAAGTGATTTTTCAGTTCGTTTTGGAATGAAAAAAAAAATTATTTTCAGTTTTTATATTATTTTCAAAATGATTAGATCTAGCCGAAATTATCCAGAAAGCATATGTGTAGTTGAAATTCTTTGCGAAAGAATGTCTTCAGACATTTTCTTGTAGATCCTATCCTTAACGAGTTGATTAACAAAATAATTTGCTAATTCATTCGTCAGTTGAACAAATTTTATCCAAACAATTTCAAGAATATCTGCGAAATAAACAGGTGTAAAGAAAAATGACAAAAGATTCCCTGTGAAGTAGATTAAATTCTCTACAAAAATGTCCTTTGAGATTTTTAAAATGAATTCTTATCCCAATGGTCATAATTAACGAAATGATCTATCTTTGGAACCTAAAAATTTCAGATGGACTTTATACAGAATTAATTTATGAGAAAATTTCGTATAGAGTATTCTACAAATATCTTAGGAACTATGAAGTTTTTAAAAAATGAGAATTTTTTTTTGCAGCTTAAAAATTTCCCCAAAGAAATAGTCTTCAACATTTTTTTCTCAATTCACTCTCTCCTAAGATAATCGCACATACAAAGATGTTTATCCAAAACCGCAAGCACTCAAACAATTTTTGATTCTATTCCAACTGATAGACCGAATTATCTCTTTCATACTTATGAAAATTTTGATCCCCCAATCCGAGTTGATTATCTAGAAATAAAATAGAAAATATGCACCGAATGTAGGCGTTAGCATGAGGTTTATGCGATTTAAAGTTTTAAATGTGTGCATTATTCTCCTGCACTAGGGGGCTATGCTCCGTGCTCGCTCCGCTCGCCAACCCCCACATGACTCACATATGACCCCCGTGATTTTTATTGTGACCTTTGTTACCCTTATTTCGACTCTCAATCTAACCCTTAATTTGACCCCTGTAATCCTTAATCCGACCCACGTGATCCTTATTCTGACCCTTGTGACCCTTGTGACCCTTCGTAAAAAAAATTATTTGAGGGCTTAGACAATTCTTTCGTCAATCTAAAAAATCGCAAAATTGTATAAAGTAGTACAAACATAACTTGAATTTTGAAGATTGAAATCTGAAATAAATTCTCAAAGAAAGTTAATATGAATAGAAACGTTCTGATTGAATTTGTGCTCAGCCGGCAGTCTAGTATCATTGATAATAACTAATCTAGAAGAGCAAAAATCATACAGTGTCTTCTGAGAAAATTAAATTGTCGTGATGAGGAAAAAGCTGAAAATCTAGGGAAAAATTCGGAAAAAAATCAAATTTTTATGCCCAGTATGAAAATTATCTTGAGTGTTAAGCTTTTCCAATAAATAATTGATGTTATGCTCGTTATGATGAAAAAAATAAATGACCAAAGTATTTGATGGATCAATTTTTCACACTCATACAAGTTATGTTTGAATTCATGGGAAGAATTATCAATGATGAATAATTTTTTGGGGTTTTTTAATTTATTGTTCCCCATTACACTCAACGACAAAACTGGAGTTTATTCATACTACTTTAACCCATTTTATCACTTCACCCCACAATTTCTCTCACAATTAATAATAATCTTCTTCATAAAATTATCTTTTACAGCGAGTCTCCAATTGATCCAACGTATGTCCCTCCTGAAGCGTCTAAAAGTCCACAATGGCTGCGTAAACTCAATCTGTTGGAATAGCACTGGTGACCTGATCCTCTCAGGGAGTGATGACCAACACCTTGTGCTCACAAACACCTACAATTACAAGGTAATTTTCCTTCCTCACGGTTTGATTGCTAACATCAAAGGGGAAACGACTCCGCCAGACAGAGTGGATCTGTCATTCTGGCATTCCGAGATTCGGGAATTAGGAATAAGGAAATTTGGGGGAATAATGAGAGACGAGACAGCCAAGGCTTAACATTGGCCCACATTGGGGGATATTTGTCTTGCCAAATGCTGTGAAAAATTGCACGTGTATTCCTTGTCTCTAATTTTAGGCCTTCAATCTAGAACTTGGGGTGTTGGGTAGGCTCTTGAGCTCTCATTGACCTGAATGACAGTGAAAAATGTCAAGGACTTTGGCTCAAGTGCAGGCGAGAATATTAAATTGTTATAAATCAGTCGTGATGAGGAACTTGAGATAGTGGCAATTATTCTTGGGCACGTGTGGGAAACATAATTTGAGGAATGGATTTCTGAAAATGTTGGAGACCATTTCTTCTCACATTTTTCGATGAATCCTTTGGTTTCTGAGAGATTCGTCATTTGGGAGATGATTAATTTTGAAGGGATACAAAAAATTCATACAAACATTTTTGGAGATATCTGGAAAACGACTGGGTTTTGAGAAAAATGGTTAAAAATATTTTCTATAGCTTATGAAATTCTCTACAATAATGGTCTTATGACATTTGTCTTTGAATCTAGCTGTTTCAGAGATATTTCCCATTAAGGATGTTTAGCCACTTGCAACAAATTTTATTTTTTCATGTTCAAGGAAAATTCTATAATTGTTTGGCTGATAGCAATACATATGAAACTAACTTCTTTGATGTTAAAAAAAATAATCGCAATAGTCTTGCCAGAAATAAATAAACAAATTTTTCTTTATAAACGGGCTCTTATGGGATTTATAATTCACCTACTAGAAGACTCCAAAAATAGAAATAAAAATAGAAGGTAATGTACACATGCATGAAAAAAATTCAATAGAATACCTAGCGACTTCGCTAAAAAATTCTATTGGAATTGTATTATTTATAGAGTTATTGGCCTCTGCGGTCATAAGCTGAGTTTAACGATGAAATTTCAATATCCTAATGACGAAAATGATAAGAAAAAACATTTGGATTAGGCCCAATATTTCGACCCCCTCTGTGAGGTCCTCTTCAGGGTCCTCTTCTTCGGTCAAAATATTGGGCCTAATCCAAATGTTTCTTCTTATCATTTTCGTCATTTAGAAATTTCATCGTTAAACTCAGCTTATGACCGCAGAGGCCAATAACTCTATGAATAATTAAAAATTTCGGTCAAAACCTTTTCCACAACATTGGAATTCTATTAAAAAAAATTATTTGTTTTTTGCGCTGATTCTATTGGATATTCGATAAGAAAAAGTGAATAAATTTCGAGTTTCTGTTTGGAATTTTCTCTATTTTTTAGGTTTTTTCCACTCGGATTCTGTAATGCAAAATAAATCAAAATCCAGCGGAAAATACTTAGAAAATTTGTGCTCAGTAATTCTAATAGATAAAATCTCAAGAGAAAAATTTGAACAGAAATTCGAAATCTTATCCAACTTTTTCTTATCCAATATCTAATAGAATCAGCACAAAAAACAAATAAAGTTTTTCAATAGAATTCCAATAGAAATCCTATTGAAACCCTATAGAATTCCTATAAATTTCGCTAGGTTTTCTATCGGATTTTTTCATACGAGAACAACTGTACTAAATCGAATGGCCAGAGAAAAATTTGGGATACCCGGGTAAAAGGACGAAATATTTGAAAGATTCTATCCCATATAAGCACATGTTAGCGCATGCGTTTAGTGGATTTCGCCCACTCCATTTCTAAATAATAAACGTGGGTTGGTGGATTGAAATTTTTATTAAGATAAAAGGAATAACTTCATCTCTCAGTTTAAAAAAATCAATTTTTTTTAATACTCCCGATTTTCGATAAACATTCTTAAGCGTCGATTAATTTTTGAGTAAGAATGTCATACAAATGTTTTCCTAAAATTGAATGCCATACAAATGTTTTCCCAAATATCTCTGAAACCAGTAAATTTAGAAAATATGGTGAATGTTGTCTTGGTAGCTTATGACATTCTCTGCAAAAATATTCTTTCGACATCCTTAAAAATCTTTCTTTTTGTCAATATTCACAATTAATACTGTAAATTTGTTCTGAATTCATTTTACCTCTTCGGTTGACTCTTACGTGTTTGCGTACAGAGCACATCCTGCCAGAAAATTGACAAATTCTTACAATATTGGGACCGGGTTGACAATTGTGAAGCCACAATTGTGAATCGTGTGTTAAAACTCTTTGGTGTATTACATGTAATGATATGGTGGACCAGGTAGACGACCGGGACCCCCGTTTCACCACCTTCCTTCTAAAGGCAACACTGTAAAACAAAAATTATTTTTGTCAAATATTCATTTACTTGAGAGAAGCATTTTTTTTAAATTGTATTTCTTCAATCGAGTTATTCTCAGGCGAGCCTGAGTAGATTTCAATTATAACAATCATGCTGCTCTAGAGATGACTATGTTACACATGACCTGGGATGAACTCCTCCAATAATTATTCATTTTTCTTAAATTTCGTATTTTCTAGAGGAAAGAATTTCGATTAATTTTTTAATGTTGATAATTATTGAGGGAGTTCCATGCACGAAAAAATTCAATAGAAAACCTAGCGAATTCACTAGAAAATTTTATTGGAATTCTATAGGAATTCTATTGAAAAATTCGAGTTGTCTTTTGCACTGATTCTATTCTATTGATTTTTCTTTTGTTTTTTTTCTGTGAGAATGCTTGGGCATAAATTTTCTCCGTTTTTTCCACTGAATTTTGTTTTGTTCTGCATTACAGAATCAGAGTGGAAAACACTTAGAAAATTGATGTCCAAGCATTTTTATAGAAAAAATCTCAAAGGAAAAATTTGAACAGAAATTCGAAATCTATTGACTTTTTCTTATTGAATATCCAATAGAATCAGTGAAAAAAATAAATAAAATTCCTATTGAATAATATTTTATATTTTATTTTATTTAAAAACAAATTATTTTATACGGAATTTTCTAGTGAATTCGCTCGGTTTTCTATTGAATTTTTTCATACTTATGTTAATCATCTTCTAGAACAATATAATTGACATAGTTGAAACCTAGTGAGGATTGCCTGGAAATGACTCGACTGGAGGAATACGGTATTGAAAAAATCAATACTTCTCTCAAGTAAGTGAATATTTGGTAAAAATAAGTCTTAATCATCTTTGTATTCATCTTCTTTCTTCAGTTGAAGTCAACAGTTGAAGTTTAGTTATAAATATAAATGAATAATATTTTACAACTACCCGACACAAATTGAAAACTCCCCACATCATAAATTTTATTTTAATGCAGGTGCAGACAGATTACAAGACAAGTCACAGAGCAAATATCTTCAGTGCTAAATTCCTACCTAACAGTGGAGATCACAGGATTGTGTCGTGCAGTGGAGATGGCATAATCCTCTATACAGGTAATTGATAACTAATTATGATTTTTAAACACTCTTTAATTATTGATAAATACTAGAAATTATTGATAAATACTAAATAGATGTTCTCTATTTTCTTCATTTTACAATTTTGAGTCAACATGTTTGAATGGAAATATCAGAATCTGAGGGAGATGACGAAAATTTTCAGACAACCTTTCTCGTTAAGCATTTCAAGACTTACAAAATAAGCCTTAAGGAAAATTTCGCTATCTCACATGCACGGAAAAATTTAATCGAAACCTAACGATTTCGCTAGACAATTCTATTGGATTTCTATTGATCTTTCTATTAGTTTTTGGCCTAAAGTCTATAGAATTCGATTTTCCTATACAACTTATTCTATTGAGATATTTTCTATAGAAAGTCTTCGACTCAAATTTTCCAAGTTTTTTCATTCTATTCTTCTTTTTTTTTCATCAAGAAAATCAAACATGAAAACCTAGAAAATTTTGAGTCGAGGAAATTCTATAGAAAATATCTCAATAGAATAAGTTGTATAGAAAAATTTAATTCTATTGACTTGTTCTGTAGAGTACTTTCTATTGAACATTTCAATAGAATCGGCCAAAAACTAATACAAAGTTCAATAGAAATCCAATAGAATTGTCTAGCGAATCCGTTAGAAAATTTTATTGGAATTCTCCAGAAATTTTATTGGGATTCTATTACAATTCTGGGGAATTCTCGTTAAAATTCTATTTGTTTTTTGTGCTGATTCTATGAGATATTTCCTAGGAAACACATTTAGATTTTTCTATATGAATATTCTCTTGGAATTTTTCTATAAGAATACTTGGGCATGAATTTTCTAAGTTCTTTTCACTCGGATCCTGCAATGCAAAACAAAACAAAATATGGCGGAAAAAAATAGGAAATCCGTGTCCAATAGTTTTAACAGAAAAAATTCAAAAGAAAAATTCAAACAGAAAAATCGAAATCTATTGACTTTTTCCTATTAAATATCTAATAGAATCTGTACAAAAAAGAAATAGAATTTTAATGAGAATTCTCTAGAATATTAACAGAATCCCCATAGAATTTCCAGAGAATTCCAATAGAATTTTCTAGCGAATTCGCTAGAAAAAAGGTTTCCTATTGAATTTTTTTCCCTGAGATTTCCCAGATTTTGATTCTTCATTTGAATTTATTTTCTAGACCTCATGAGGAAATCAGAGACATTTCACAATCAGTTTACCTGCCACAGTGGAACAACTTACGAAATAGCAACAGTACCTGGTGAGCCCCACAGTTTTCTCAGTTGTGGAGAGGATTGCACTGTCAGATACTTCGATCTGAGGGTCAAAACCTCCTGCAATACTCCAAGATGCAAAGACGTACGTGAATAACGCCACAAAAATTTCCAATGATTTTTTCAAGGTCTAGATATTGAGATTTTGACTTGATTAATGTCCCCAGGATATTTTGATCTCATGTCAACGTGCTGTAACTGCACTGTCTGTGAATCCAACGATGCCTCATCATCTGGCGATTGGATGCTCCGATAGCACTGTCAGAATTTATGATCGACGAATGCTGAATGTTCGTGATCCAGGTGACGTAAAATATATCGTCTTCATACGAGATTTAATATTCTTTTCATTCATGGTTCTCACTCATTTGCCCCAAACGGTTAGCAGGAAAAAACATTCGGAATGAAAATTAATTTGAAGTTAAGAATGCAATTCTTACGTGAAAATATTCTTTTCCTATGAAAAAATTAATTTTTTGCATTTGAAAAAAATGGTTTTCATTCCAAAAATGTTGCTTTTAATGGCAAATTGAAATAAAATCAATTTTTTTCAACAGCCTGGACAGATGGAACGAACACATCGGCTATTCCACTGTCACTCTTCACTGTCCCTGAATTCGAAGGAAATTCGTACAGAATAACGTCCCTTAGTTACAGTCCAGATGGCAATGATGTTCTTGTTAGTTACAGCAGTGATCATCTGTATTTATTTAGTGCAAAGGTAAAAAAAATATTGAATGCGATTTTTTGATAAAATTGTTGGGGCAAATCCATGATTAAATTAGTGATCTCAATGTAGAATTCGTCTTGACAATGATTTATATCATTTTTTCATTTAAATTCAAATAGGATTATGGATCGAAGCAGTTGAAGAAAGAATCTGCGAGTAGATCGAAAAACAAGAAGTATCCAGTGAGATCCCCTCAGCCAGTGAGAAGACTGAGATTGAGAGGCGATTGGTCAGATACTGGGCCAGATGCACGTCCAGAGAGAGAGGGTGGACGACGAAGTGGAACCGGTGAGTTTTAAAACTTCTAATGAACATCATTAAGAAAAATCCATATTTGCACCACAATAAAATTATCCTCATGACAAACTCAATTTTTTCATTTCAAACCGTTGTTTTTGAGTGAGAACAGAGTTTTTTCAACATGAAAAAATTATTTCATACATGGAAACAATTTTTTCTTCATTGAAAAAATGAAATTTTCTTATTGAAAAAGGATTTTATTAATGAACAAAATTATTTTGAAATAGAAAATCCAATTCTCAAAGCCTAGTAATCTTGAATAACAAACGGAGAACAATTTTGAGAGATCTTTTTACAGAGAATTTAATCTATCGTTTCTCATCTCGTATCTATTATTGACTACTAACCATGGTAGAAACAAAAAATTGTGTTGGATAGTTGACGATTTAGCATTAGTATCCCGCCAGTTATTAAGTTTTATGAATGCCGAGGTGCTAAAACAATTGTTGATTTCCAAGAGCAAAAATCTCTTGATATTTTCTCGCAACCACGCACGAAAACATTTAGTAGAAAAACCTAGCGAATTCGTTAGAAAATTCTATTGAATTTCTATTAAACTTTTTATCACTTTTTGGCTGATTCTATTGACATGTTCAATAGAAGACATTCAATAGAAAAAGTCAACAGAATTAGATTTTTCTATATAACTTATTCTTTTCATATACTTTCTATAGAATTTGCTCGACTCAAATTTTCTAAGTTTTGTAATACTATTTTTCTTTTCTTCTCATCAAGAACATCAAACGAAAAAACTTAGAAAATTTGAGCCGAGGAAATTCTATAGAAAATATCTCAATAGAATAAGTTATATAGAAAAATTGAATTCTATTGACTTTTTCTACTGAATATTTTCTATTGAATATTTTAATAGAATCGGCCAAAAACTAATAGAACAGTTCAATAGAAATTCAATACAATTTTCTAACGAATTCGACAGGTTTTTCTGTTAAATTTTTTCGTCCGTGACGCCATTAATATCCAGAATATCATAAAAATAGTCTGCATGAAATTTTCCGATCCACCCTTTTGCTACATAAATAATCTCGCCTCACAAGATGACAAATGTCCCCTTCATTTTTATTGGCAAGAGCCAGTTTCCACTGGAGTCATTTCGATTTTTCCAGAAATAGCACAGGCCAGACCTGTTCTGCATACGTCACTGATGCAGAGGATGACTGATGTGCTCAGCAGAATGCTAAATGATCCAGCGACGAGGGCTGCTCTCAGTGGAGGTGGCGAGGACAGTCTCGAGGGTGTCATTGATCAACAGGCAGAGGCTCAACAGCAGTCTGATGAATCTAATCCGGAAATTCAGGAGGATAGGAGTGATTTACAGAGTATGGATACTGAATCTAATGCTCAAGCCATAGGTGAGCATAAAAATACGTTTTTTTTTCAGAGCTGAATTTTTTTCAAAATTGAAAAAATTTAATAACTGCAAGAAACGATTTTTTTCAAGTTCAAAAATTCATTCTTTGCACCAAAATCTAATCATTCCCAGAACAAACGTAATCTTTCTTTAAAAATAATTTTCCTTTCAATCAAAAAATGATTTTTTTCTTTAAAAAAAACATTTTAAAGTCAAAAATCCAATTTTCACGTGAAAACATTCTTTGCCGTGAAAGAAGCAATTTTTTGCACAGAAAATTTATTTTGTAGTTAAAATTCATTTTTTACATCAAAACTAATTTTTGAAAAAAAAAATATATATATATATATTTCCATGTCAAATTCAACTCCGTAATTAAAATAATTTTGTCTTCAATTGAAAAATTCGATTTCCCACCCCTACAAATGACTTTCAACAAAAAAATCCAAGTTGACAATCTAATTCGTACCCCAAAAAATTTGTTTTTCAATGAAAAAATCATTTTTGCTTGCGAGAATAAATTTTTTCACTCGAAAATGTTGTTTCTATTCAGATGAAACTCACGATAATGAAAATATGGACACAACAGTCGAGAATATTTCATTACCAACTAATGAAGAATCCCTTGAGACTGAAGAAGCATCAGACACAGTTGATTCACCCGAGGAGAATCCCCTCATCTCAGTAAACGATGAAAATTCTCACATATCAATTAATGAGGAATCTAGTCAGTCAGAGACTGCCAAAACGTCAATTCAATCACTCACGACGTTGAGCATATCCCAGGAGGGGGAGATGAGTGAGTCGAGGGATGAGGTTGAGAGTGAAGCAGCTAATATGGACAATTCCAGGGACGAGAGCATGATGGAGAATTTGCAGGACAGACTGACGTCCATGAGAGACGGTTTTCTCGAAAAGTAAAATCATTTTTCATCCTCAAGTTCCTCACAATTCTCTTGGAATTGAATCATCGCCATAACGAGTGACTCTCCAAAGGAATGTCTAAAATATTCTCTACAAATTATTTTTTGATTTTTTCTCCTGGAGTCACTCGTTTTTTAGATGAATTGACAAAACTGAAGAAAAAAAAGATAAAGTTGGACGGGGAAAAGAATAATAATTTGAAAAATCTTATCAATTTTTCCATTTTGTAGACATGGTAGTGAACCTGCTGTTAGTCTCACATACTCGGACAAAAGTTCAACAGGCGCTACGATATCCATGGGAGTTGCTAATGAAGTTATTCGAGAGAGTTATCATGCAGGTAATCAACAGAAAAAATTCCATGTTTATCATTTGGGGAATATCTCAAGAATGAGTGAATCTAGGAGGATTCATTAGAGTATTTCTCAATAGAAAATTGATTTCTATTTTCTTGACGTGGATACGTCTATGTTTTCATTATGGGGGGACATTTAGGGAAAAAGTCTTTATGGTTCCTTATTGGCAGTGGCGTCATCTATCGAAATTCTAGAACATTCTACATTTTTCTAGAAAATTATGGATTTTTCTACAAAATTCTCCAGTTTTTTTTAGAAATGAATTACAATTTTGAGGGATCCTTAGCGCTATTCGACAAAATATCGACAGTTAGTTAATTTAATTATTTAATTCATAATTAATTTATTCAGAGTAAGATCGACAGTTGGTTATTATTGCATGAAATCGATAAAATTTGTGGATCCGTGTTAAAATTCCCAAGAGCGTTTGTATGTAATGATTTTAATGTAAATGAAATATCTTGAACGTTTGTTTAGGGAATTTGGTTGAATATAACAATTCAATCGTATCGTGATTATAAAAAATGTCTCATCCTGCCGAGATGGTGCGATTCCGAATTCTTCTAATATACCTATATAAATATATACAATGAAAAACTATGATTTCAGTGAAGGAAAGGGAAGACCTTAGACGTATCCACGGAAAATTACGGCTGTATCAAAGATACAGCCACCCGCAGATTTTTTTTTAAAAGTCTTCAACAAATTCACGAAGTAATAAACATGGAATTTTTGGAACGATGTGATTTTCTCGATTTATTACTGATTGGTTGGATTTACCTAAGAGAAACCTCGATACCAATCATTGTTATTCATTTCAGGACCTTCTGGGAGTCAGAGTTTAGAAGAAGGTACCACCGGGGCAGGCCCAAGCAGCAGTAGGAACCAATCTTCTTACAACAATGTCAGAGAACGTAAGTTATATCATTGAAAAAAACAACATGAAAAATTCTCCTCATTTGTATTTCACAAGTTACCTATTTCTGTTTTTATTTTCATTTTAGATACAGACGAAGATGTATATAATGATAGTGATGATGAAGAGGAAGAATCGGCTCGAAGGTAAATTGATATTCCTGAAGTGAAGAAGAAAAATCCAAACGTCTTCATACTTTGCTTTCTGAATATCTAAAACTCTCTTAGATTCGGAAAGAAATGTCAGGGAACACTTTTTATGTAAAATGGAGTCCTTGACGAAAAAAATCTCATTACCGTTTTGAAAATAGAATCTTTTTTCCAAATATCTTTGGAACTACTAGGTTTAAAGTAAAAAAATCAATGGGCATTTTTTTCAGTATGTTGTGCTCAACACAGAGCAGAAAACGGTTATTTTCTTATAAGGGATCAATCGAATTTCATGAATTTTTTAAGAACATAAATTCGATTCATTGACGCCAACTAAAATTCAATTTTTTCATACAGATTCAAAAAAATTGATATTTTCCCAAAAATCAATTTTTCAATAATCATTCAAAAAATGTCATCAAAATTATTGAGAGGGAGAAGAAAAATTCAAGTACCTTCATACTTTATTTTCTGAATATCTAAAATCCGCCTAGATTCGGAAAAAAAGTCAGGGAACACTCTTTATGTAAATTGGAGTCATTGTGCTCAACCCAGAGCAGAAAATGGCTATTCATATTTTTCCTTGAACCTAGAAGAAATATAAGAAGAGAATAATGAATTTAACATTCGAAAGCAATTTACTAATTTGTTAGCAACAAGAACTATACTCATTTGTAAAAAAAATGGAATTATCCACCTATTTTTCTACTTATAGAAGAGTAAATCCAATTGAAGAAGAAATGGACAAAGCAGTGGCTGAAGCCCACGCCTCCTTAGGTCGCTCTGAATCCTTCGACGAGAGCCGTTTCACAGAGCTACGAGTAAAGCAAAAGTACATGGGACATCGCAACGCCAGGTAGGACTAGTCTGTTTCAATTCCCCTAGAATTCTTCTAACATTTCAGTAGCGAAGTGGTGAAAAAGAGTGAAATCAAACCAATTTCAATTCCAATCAACAAATTTAATTTTTCATTCAAAAAAATTTTCCTTTTTTTTTATGAAAAACAAATTATCTTGAAGAACAGAAATTATCCTTGAGATGTTAATTGTGATGTAATTTTTTTAGTATGGAAAATTTATGCACAAAAAAAAATTATCTTCATGATAAATTCAATTCTTTGATTGAAAGTGATCGTTTCTTAATTAAAAAATAAATCTTTCCATTATAAAGTTATTTTTTTTTAGTAGAAAAAATTTATTTTCATGGAGAATTCATTTTGTTGATTCAAAACATTTTTATCTCGGATATTAAATTGACACGTATGACATAATTTAATAGGAAAATGCAGCTCTTTCTCTAAGTAATTCTATTGAATTTCTGCTGGAACTCCATAAAAATTCTTTATTTTAATTCTGTTTGTTTTGTGCGCAAAATTTCTTAGTTCCTAATTTCTTACTTCTATATTTTGTTATAGCAAAAAGTATATAGCCTTTGATTTTTCTGTTTTGTTTTCTCTTAGTTTTTATTTTAAGAAACTAATAACATAGAGTGGAAAAAACTTGACAAAATCTTACTAAAATACCAACTTAAAGAAATCTATTGAGTTTTTTAAAATTAATATTTTCCTTAAAAAATGATGCGGTAAAATTGCATAAACACAAAAAAACTAACAGAATTATTCAATCGAATTTCTCAAAGAATGCGTTAGGTCTAGTCAATTTTTTTCGTACGTAAAATTTTGCCATCAAGAAGTAATTTTTCATTTAAAAAAAGAACGATTTTGAGAGTGCAAATCCAATTCTTACAAAAATATTAACATTACACGTATGAAAAAAGTCAACAGAAAAATTTAACGAATTGACTAGAAAATTGTGTTGGGATTTTATTGAAATTTTAGGGAATTCTCCTCAAAATTTTATTTGTTTTTGTGCTGATTCTATGAGATATTTGATAGGAAAAAGTCAATAGATTTAGATTTTTTTATATGAATATTCTCTTGGAATTTTTTCTATAAGAATAAGTTCTCAAAGTTTTTTTCACTCAAATCCTGTAATGCAAAACTGAAGAAAATATAGCGGAAAAAATTTGAGAAATCCGTGTCCAATGATTTTAATAGAAAAAATCTCGAGAGGAAAATTAAAACAGAAAAATCGAAATCTATTGACTTTTTCCTATCAAATATCTAATAGAATCTGCGCAAAACACAAATAGAAATTCAAAGAGAATTTCCTAGATCATTAAGAGAATCCCCATAGAATTTCTAGAGAATTCAATATAATTTTCTAGCGAATTCGCTAACGTTTTCTATCAAATTTTGTCATACGTGCATATTTCTCTCTTTCCACCACTTTACAAGATTTATTCCGTAGCAAAACCGTAGGACCCCAGCAAAACCACCACCAAACCACTGTTCTAGACTCCTTCGTTCTAGTCAGGAACTAGCAACGAGTGCAACTAAGCCCTCAAGACGTATCTATTAAAAACAAATTGATTACCTTGAAAGCCTCAAAGCGGACTGGGCCAATTAGAATCAGGCCCATCCAATGTATTGATCGCTCTGTGCTTCCCTCGTTTCACTCTAGTTTCTTTAGGACCATGATCAAAGAAGCAAACTTTTGGGGCGACGAATTCGTCATGTCTGGGAGTGACTGCGGACATGTATTCGTTTGGGAGAGAGACACTGCTAAGTTGTGCATGCTGTTGGAGGCTGACCAGCACGTCGTTAATTGCCTCCAACCACATCCGTATTTGCCGATGTTGGCTACCTCTGGCATTGATTATGATGTTAAACTATGGGCACCTATCAATGAGGAGGCTAATTTCGATGTCAACTTTGCTGAGGATGTGAGTTTAATTGAATTGCTAAGACATTTATCCGTGTTTATCCATTTGGTAGTTTCTCGGCAAAATTATTTATTAGAGTAGACTCTCTTTATAGTCGTACTCATGGGGGAATAGGGGATGCGAATTCGGACAATGCGACTATATTTCCCTACTTCCACCACACGCTCACGTCGAGCCCCACTTCCGAGGACTAGGAATGCTATAATAAAAAAATGATTTATTTTTTCAATTCAATACTTTATTAAACTGAAGAACTTTATGTAACAATTTCGATTATTACATCAGTATTTTTCTAGATTTTCATGAACTTTTGTTCATAATCAACGGTTTTTGCTTTCGAAGGGAAGCATTGTAATCGTTCAAGTTTAAGTTTTGAATTTTTTGTATTATATCGACCGATTATGAGCCAATAATTCCGAAAATGCAATTGTTGGACTGTGTCCGTATGTAAACAAATTTTTCTTCGATTGTTCGCTAATGAATCGATGGAATTGAATCTTTTGTTTCTAAATGTAGGTATTGCTGAGCCCTATCGATCGCCATTAATTAAAATTGAATTCATCTATTAGTTTTTTTAATTTTGTATTTTTTTCGATAATCGGTTGTCCCACGATAACCAAAGAAAATGTTCTGAATTGATTGAATGATGGCTTAAAAAAATTGTTTGGATGACCCTTTGGTCGAATTCGAAGATAAAAGGGATAGCAATAATCGTTATTTTGATTTATTCGAAAATGTTCTAAAATTTTGTGTTTTTTGAAAATTAGATTTCCGGGGATATCTTTGAATATCAGTGGAAAAGGAAATTAATTTTTTTTTCAGTGTAAACTTATTAAGTCATAAACATCCTTATGAATATATAATTTGGAAAATTAACAATACGAAGTTTCTTTATGCGAATTTATCTGGGAAATGGAAGGTACTAGGATGAAATGACAGAAAACTTTTTCTCTAGAGAATTTCATGGGCTTCAGGAAAGGACATTTAACATTTTCTTCCAGACCTAATAGTTTTTGAGATATTTACGAAAAATTCTCTATGAATTGCTTCAATTCATCGTTTTTCCATCAACTCCGTTGCACAATTTATTCTTACGTTTAATCCACTCATTAAATGATATTTATTTCCTCTCGTTTCAGCTTCAGAAGCGTAACGCAGTGATGCTGGAGGAGACGAAGGATACGATAACGGTGCCCGCTGTATTCATGATAAGGATGCTGGCGTGTCTCAATCAAATACGAAGAGGTAGTGAGAGTTTATGATTGTCCACCTGGCACTACCTCTCCGGGCCTTATTTCGTAGTATGCTTTTCATCTTCGCTAACAAATACTCAAACCATTAGCATTACTATCTACCCCAATGTTTATGCCTTGTGCCTGATCCATAATAACTCCATAAAAAAGACATACTTTAACACCAATACATCATTTCCTGGGAAAAATTACTTGTCACACATGATGGAGTCATTCTTTATTCTTCATTCGTCGACATATGTAATGTTGTATCGAACAGGCGATACACCCGAGCTAACAATTAAGCTCCCTCAGGAAAATTTATGACTAGTATGAGATGATTATTTTTTGCTTTCGAATGGCGGCCTTGTATTTGATCGATTTTTCGATTTTCTAATTTTGATTGCAAATGGTTTAGAATGTTATGAAACGTGAAGAAATGGTTTTAGGGTCGTGTGTGTATGTATGAGACAACTTGGGTTTTTGGTGATTAATTTTTAGAAAATTCAACATAAATACGGTGAAATTTGTGAATAGCAATCTTTCTAGATTGTAGATAGCGATCCTTGTAGATAGAAATTTTGGCTCCTTGTAGCTATGATTGAATTCAACTTTGGCGCGCTGTTTTAGCCCGATCGATCCAGTAGTTCCTGAGATATAACAACTTGTTTAATCCCAGTTACCAAGCGCCACCATGCGGCTCTGATCACCTCCGCGGGGATCCCCCGCCGTGTTATTTAGGCTGTAGCGTTGCCGAATTCACTCTACACTGCCCGGGCGCGTTTCCGGCAACGTCGCGTGATCTCTTCTAGAGTGAGAGGATATAACCACATCGAACAGAAGAAGAACGTCGCGTGATGGGCAATTTCATTTAATATGGGAAAACATAATTCATCTGTTCGAAATAATGTGTTTTCTTTAAGCATTTCGGGAAAAATGTTCTAAAATCTACTATAATTCTTCAACTACTTCGATTGACAATGTCAAATTGTTTTTAATTTTTCCAGTTAGCCAGACAATTTTAATTAATGAAAAATGACGCGTGGCGGGTTTCCCTCATATGGTGACCAATCTAGGGTTAAATTTTGTTTTTCCTCAATATCTCAAAGACTACTGCAGTAATTTCAAATTTTCTTCTTCTTTTTTTTTATTCCATTCCCATATAAAGTAAATGTACCTATGCTCGCCCCTGTCTCTATGCTCATTCAGATGTCAGCTATCACATTTTAATCATTTTGATAATCCCAAGAGTCGATCAAGAGTGAATTGCGATTGGAGTTATTATTTTAGTTGATAAGGAGAGTTATAGGCACCAATGAAAAGTGATTTATTGAAGAATAAGAGAGAAAAATCTCATCCACGTCAACTGGTGCTATGATAGAGGGAATTCTTAAGCCGCAAGTTAAGAAACTCACAATTTTTAAATGCTGATATCTCCGTTATAATAGTAAAATGGGATTAAAAATCCCTTGACTGAGGTTTCGGATGGTTAAAAAACATTAAAAATGCACAAATTATAGTAATATCTTAATATTTCACAGAAATGTCGACAATTAAAAGAATAGGGTACAACGGAAATGGCATTGATCCTATGCTTGTTTTGCAACCAACTGTCAACTGGTAACGGACTAAACGGATGAAAAAATCATTTAAAAGGGCGGACTGTCCAATGGAAATATAATTTTGTGCCTCGAGATATTTTTTAATGTTGTTTTATCCCAAATAGGATACTCACGATGTAATTAGTTCGGATGTAACCTTTCCATATCGTTCAAATCACGAGACGAGGATAGGGACATGTTTCAAACGTGCATGGGGACAAATGAGCGAGCGTAGGGACATGGGACTTTCCACGTTTATGGACGATTATTCATTAAAAAATAGTAATTATAATGATTAATATAAGTGAATTCTAATTCTGAAGTTTTTACTTTCTGATATTTTATTTACAACATCGCATCTTTACACTCATTTCAATAAAAATATTGGACTAATGATGTGTTCTCCTTAGGTACACGAGCGTAAGATCATTTACCTTAGCCGATTGAGCTTTTTTATGATTCCATCCCAGCCCCTGCCCCTTATTGCGGTGTCATGGGCCGACTTCCTCCCCCACCATGTCGCATTATACCTCAGGAGCTGTACTCCATGTACAGACTAGGGATGTGAGTGACAAAAATGACCGGTCAAATGACGGTCAATTACCGCGGTCATGACGGGTAATTACCATGTCCATAAATCTGACGATTCAGTCAGGAATTCGAAAAATGACCAATTCAATTCTGGCGGTCAATTCTCATCTATAGATGGCACAGAAATTTTTATTCGGTTACTCGGTTTCGGCAAGGTTGCTGGCGGTCATAGGGACCCTACGTCGCCACTAGGGGTCTATGCGACACTAGATAACTAAATTCGTTCAGCAAGCAATGCAGATGAAGAGCTGAGCGAGCTAGATGAGGGAGCCGGTGGCAATTATGAGAATTAAGGAGAGAATGACTGAAGACGAGCCTCATCCAGCATCCTCCTAATTTAATATGAAGTTTTTGACCAAAAACATAATATATACAGAGATATATATTTAATTAATTTTGTTGACGTTTATTAAGTTCATGAGTTTATCATGAGTGATCTCGAGTATCGAATTTATGATTGTTTTGTAATTCGTTCCAATAAACGTTAACTTTAAATTATGAAATGCGATTGGATTCCTAACTAATGAAATAAAATAACCAAAAATCTGGCCGCAAAAATTACCAAAAAGAAAATGACCGTCAATTTGCATCTATATAGAGGAATTTTGGTCATTTTCTTCAATTTTTGACGCTGATTGTTCATGACGATCATTGTGCATGGGGAATTATCTCGGTGTCAGAAAATGGTCAGAAAACGGTCAATTTTGCCTGACCTGAGCGAATTGAAAAATGACGGTCATTTCACATCCCTAGTACAGACTCTCCTGGTGACCAAGGGAAGAATGTTGAATGGGAAGAATGTTCCCCAAACATTCACTCTCGATGATTTCCGGTGTCTAGATTCCTGTTCAGCAGTTTCCAAAAAATTAAAAATCACAATTTTCGGGTCCCGCCATCCGGCCCAGGGATTTAACCTCTTCGGCCGGTTCCCACTAGTTATCAACTGGACGACATATCAACTAGGACATTTCAACTGAGATTTGTCAACTACGACACTTAATCTAGGTTTTAAACAACTACTGAGAAACAAAAAATTAACAATAATATAGCGGTGAACATAATTCTACATTTATTAACTGAACTTCCAAAGAAACACATAAATACTTGAACTAAACAATCAATAAGCCCAAATTAATTTAATCAACCGATCCTCGGGGTTGTAAAACTTCATCGTTCACCATTAATAATATCCATCATAATAAATATAATGAACAAATAAACGGTAATAAATAATCATAAACCGCAACACAGTTGTCAAAGATATTGTAAAAACGGCAGTAAATATTTTTCAAAACTACATTTGAATTGTTGAAGCAGAAAAATTTGAGTTGACATGTCGCAGTTGACAAATTTTAGTTCAAAAGTCGCAATTGAAAAGAGGTGTCACCGTTCGTCCACCGTCGTCGGTAATTTTTCTTTTTTTAAAATACTCGTCTCGATGGCCGCTATCTAGATCAATCACAATATACATACCCTTCACTGCAAAGTTTGAAGATATTGCCGTTTCTCCGTTTTTTCATGAAAAATCTTGTACGCATGATAACTTGAGAAAAATGGAGATGGCCAGTTGAAATTTGGTATGATCGTAGTTCTTATAATACTAAAGATTAGTATTTCCATGGGTGTAATCGGCCGAGCGGTTCCTGAGAACCGCCCAACTACGTCAGTTTGAGTTATATTTTGTTAAATATCTCACAAAATGCTCATCGGATTTAAATTTTTCATTTTTCCAAATACTCGTCTCGACGGCTTCTATCTAGATCAATCAAAATATTTATACCCATCCACTCTTTTTTCTTTTTAGGAAGAGGAAGAAATCGCAGAAGAAGTGGAGACGAAGGAGACGACATTCGAGGTGGATAAATTGCATAAAAACCCGTCCTCCCTTCACTTGTTGATTCACAATTTTCGTAAGGAGAAGAATAGAGAGAAGAAAAATTGTACGAATGAACGTGTGAAGACATCAGTCCAATGTTGATCCTTTAACTGCATTTTTTGTTCCCTTTTCATGTAAACGAATTTTTAAAGGTTTCTCGGAGTGTTATCCCCTCATCTTGTATTTTTATGGTTTTTTCATGGTTGGATGAATCATTGTTCTTGAAAAATCACTTCCACACTGCCCTGGTTAATAAATTACTCTTCATATCCACGGGTTCATTAAAATCATAGGAATTGTTGTGAAACTGTGCCTTAAGTGGTGAATCGCTGATTGTAAGTTCTCGATTTGGGTGGTGAAATGTCAATTCATAAAATTCTCATACGTAATTGTTTTAAGAATTAGTGGTTTTAGAGGAGAATGTTGAGAGGTATTTTTTTAGGTGAAAAAATTGTCTACAAAAATTTCTGTTTATTCTTTCCTCTAAAATTTCTCACGATCGAGATAATTTCGTAATTAGCAGATATGAATATCCTTATTCTTTCATCATAATGAATTATTAATTAATTTCTTGTGGAGAATTTTTTGTTTCTGCAAAAAAAGTTTAACATTTTTTTGAAATTCTTGACGTGAAATTTGTTTTTCAAGTGATGTCAAAATTGGCAGAAGTAATCTTGTCTGATTAGAATTATCTCGGTACTGAGTAGTTTTAGGGGGAAATGTCACTCAAAAAGTGTCTTCTGATATTTTTACTTAAAACCTCTTGTTATCGAGATAATTTGACGTTAAAAAAAAACCACGAAATTTGTCTTTTTCAATTGATTTGTGAAATTGGAAGATGTTTTAGTATTTGCATAGAACTATCTCGATGATGAGTGAATTGAAGAGAAAATATCAGAAGACATGTCTTGCAGTTGAGAAAATTCTCTACAAAGAATGTCTTCTAATATTGTATTCTAAAAATACTCGTTTACGAGATAATTGTGTAATTACACAGATGAACAGGTTAATCATTTCATCCTGATGAACTATTGATTGATCGAACTCTTGACTCGTCTCGAAGATGGGCGATTTTACTGGAAAATGTCTGCACCAATATTGTCTTCCGATAAATTTTTTTGAAACCACTCATTATTGAGAAAATTTCATGTTAATGAAGATGTGCAATTTACCATTTTTTAATTAATCCTCTAAATTGGCAGATATTTACTTGTTTTGTTGGAATTATTTCAATAGTGAGTGTCAATAGACATTTTGCAGCTGACGAAATTGTCCAAAAGTCTAAAACATTTCCTTCTAGAATTACTCGCTTACGAGATAATTCAATTGAAATTAGTAAAGTTGTTGATAATGATGCACGTTCCATCACTCGAATCCGGAGTTTGAAGTAGACAATATAATACTTAGATAAAAAACGCGTAATTATCAAAATATAAGTTGGATCTAAATCGCTGGGTAGATGATCAGAACTTGATTCGAGTGCAATAGAGAGTATTTTACGTTTCGCAATAGAAGAGAATGCTGGTACATGTGACGATGGATTGAGTGAGATTGTATCATTCTGTTATTTGTAATAAAAAATGTATAAAGAAAATAAAAAAAAATCATAATTGAATCAATATACGTATGAGATGTCATTTCTGATTCCTCACGGGAGATTTATATTGTAAAGTATGGACCCATTTAATAATAAATGACTTTATTAAAAGAATTTGGGCGAAATAGGTTGAACAGTCTAATTACGGACCCCCTCCTCCCGTTAATAGAACTATGAACGTATGAAATCAACAGCACTGAGAGTGTTTCCAAGGGATGATGATTAATGGAATCATCGTGATTGAAATTTCATTCTGAAGCAAGCACTCGTCTCTCGTCTGGATGTGTCTTCACCTTCGAAGAGCCATATTTCTGATGAAAGTAAATTAATTTGTTAATGAGATTGATTACTCAATTATTTTTATCGTAAGAGAATTTTTACGTACAGAAGCATCTGCCGAACCAACAGCGACGAGAACAACACCTATCTGCTTGCTCACACTGAAACCACACAAATCGTATTGGAATTTTTTGATTCAGGAAGTAGGATCATGGGAAATGTGGAGAAAACAATAAACTGCACTAGATTATTGTCCATTCGCGACGTTTGCTTATAATTTAAGCTCCCTCAGACTTTTGGAAACCAAACAAGTGCAAAACAAACACATCGTGAATAAATCAATAATCTAGTGCAGTTTATTGTTTTCTCCACATTTCCCATGATCCAACTTCCTTAATATCAACTATGGAGATGAATAATAAGTTCATCGATTTTTTTTATTCATCCTGCACGAGAAAATTTCATACGCAAAAAAAATGGTAGTTAAAATTTCACTCCGTGGTTCTGAAATCTAGAGAGTAAAAAGTCTTTGTCAGAACACGTCACGTCAGAACACGTAAAATTTTCACGTGTTCTAAGGATAAGAACAAGATAAGAACAAGATAAGTAAGATGTGTCTCTAAAAATTAAAGAAAGAGGTTTTATTTCTCACCAATTTTTACTGAAATCAAGTATTAATTGTTCTCAAATGAAAGCGCATTTTCTATTATTTTGTATTTTGGTTCGGGGTCATTCGAATATTACGTCAAACGTGTTTCGACCTTCAAAATCCCCTCTCCATCAGTCGCAAGCCGTCACAAACAGGGACCGCCCTTTCATATTGCGGTTATTATTAATTTTTGACTTTTTTCATAAAATTAAATTTTAAAGATGAGAATAAGATAAAGGCCTCTTGAGACTGAGACTAGTGACGCCGCGAGAGACTTCACGAGACAATGGACAAAACTTTGGAGAGATGGTTTCGATCTCAATGAACATGGAAATCTTTGGTCTCGTCTCAATCTCGAAATATGCAGTATTGATTCCTCTCGGGATGATTCCGAGTCAATTTATCTTATCTTATCTTTCCATGTTTTTTATTGTGAAATCTTGGTTTTTGTCTCGGTTTGTCTCGTCTCCGTCTTCTACACGTAGAAAATGCGAAAAAGACCGAAAAATAATAATAGTTTCTAATGGACCCTTATAGTTGTTGACACTGTAGATAGGAGATAATGGGGTGAAGTTGAACGTTTGTCATCGACTCAAAATCCCGATATCTCTCTTTATACAAATAAAGATATAATTTATGTATTTGATGTCGATCATAAATGGTCCACTTTGTCCCACTCACCCCTAAGTTTTTCAAAGAATGTGAGTTACAAATCTCGTCAGTACGGTGTACGTTACGTTCACTTCTTATATACGTATTCTACATATTTCATAGCTAATGAACCTTGTAAAAAGGTCTCAACACGGAGAGAAATGTTCAGTAAAAGTTACGGAACTCACAATTCGCTCACTGATTACGGAATTGACTCAGAAAATTTAAGTGACGGTATTGGAATTGTTCACAGGAGATTCAGGTAAAAATTACGGAACGCTCTGGAAAAATCCCGTGACAGTTCCGTAAAATTTCCTACAACCCCATTTCGCTCCGGAATTACGGAGAAGATACGTAATTTTTATTGAATATTTCTCTCCGTGTAATGCTAGATAAAGAGAAAAAGTTTCCATTAGACATTTTGTATTGAAAAGTAAACGCACAGAAAAGTGGCTATTGAACTTTTCAATAGAATCAGCAAAAAGTTTGTAGAATTTCCAATTGAAATTCAATCAAATTTCATAACAAAAGTATTTTTTCTATGAAATTTCAACGTGTATGATTATAGATTACGTTAAAAGCAACTAACTGTTGATCCGATATTTCCGCCATTCGGTATGCATTGTCCACTGACAGCCGCTGCCACCATCGCAATCACCACAAAAATCGATAGGAACTTCATGATCGAGAGATTTTTTTGTAGGATTTTCTCGTAAAAGACACTGAGCTGATTTCGATAGTACTGACGGGTGAGATTGCTTTTATAGGTGCAATCAGTCTCATGTCCTTGACAGTTTATGCAAAAATATTTGCACATGTTGGATTAAAGAGATAAAAGGATTCCCGACGCGGATCAGATCGGAAACAATAATATTTTTTCCAGGTGACACGTGTGATTTACACAGCTTGGAGTTTGAATTTCATTGCATTCACTTCTTTTATATTTATAGTTCTGATTTCGTGTTTCATGCAATTTTATTTACGTGAGAGTTTGAAAATTTTATGTGGAATACTTTTTAATAGTGATGCGTGAGGGAGTATGGAAGTCGAGATGAGAAGCTGTGTGAAATGGCTGTTGCTAATGGTACCCACTCGTACTTTTACGATATCGAATATAGGGATGTGAAATGACCGTCATTTTTCAATTCTGTCAGGTCAGGCAAAATTGACAGTTTTCTGACCATTTTCTGACACCGAGATAATTCCCCATGCAAAACGACCTTCACAAACAATCAGCGTCAAAAATTTGAGAAAATGACCAAAATTCTTTATATAGATGCAAATTGACGGTGATTTTCTTTTTGGTAATTTTTTTGGTCAGATTTTTGGTTATTTTATTTCATTAGTTAGGAATTGAATCACATTTCATAATTTAAAGTTAATGTTTATTGGAACGAATTACAAAACAATCATAAATTCGGTACTCGAGATCACTCATGATAAACTCATGAACTTAATAAACGTCAACAAAATTAATTAAATATATATCTTTGTATATATTATGTTTTTGGTCAAAAACTTCATATTAAATTAGGAGGATGCTGGATGAGGCTCGTCTTCAATCCTTCTCTCCTTAATTCTCATAATTGCCACCGGCTCCCTCATCTAACTCGCTCAGCTCTTCACCTGAATTGTTTGCTGAACGAATTTAGTTATCTAGTGTCGCATAGATCCCTAGTGGCGACGTAGGGTCTCTATGACCGCCAGCAACCTTGCCGACACCGAGTAACCGAATAAAAATTTCTGTGTCATCTATATAGATGAGAATTGACCGTCAGAATTGAATCGGTCATTTTTCGAATTCCTGACCGAATCGTCAGATTTATGGACATGGTAATTACCCGTCATGACCGCGGTAATTGACCGTCATTTGACCGGTCATTTTTGTCACTCACATCCCTAATCGTATATGTACAGAAAAATGTAGAGAATTCTCACCGCGCAAATTATCATATATTTTCAAGTCAAATTGAAGTAAATGCACGTTTACTGTCTTTAGACTGTTTAATCTTCTACCTTATTTTGTATTGTATGCATTTATACCGTCATTTTTTAGATTCATTTTAAAATCTCCTGACTTCTCCATCACACTCATCACGTAATGATTACCGTATCATTTCTTTTCCGTACTCATTTATTGGTTAACTTTAACGTCTTATTCATGTCAAATTAAGAGAAATCGAGCAATTATTTAATGTGGCTCAACGCACTCATCGTCGCGTATTTCTCACGGAGAGAAATATTCATATGTAATACCACGAGAGTTTCAAAATTATCGGGCATTTCCTGATAGGTTGGTTGCAAACAAACAAAGGACTCAAGTTTTTCAGACTAAAAAATCACGAATGCAAAGCACAACTGATTTTTCCTGAAAAACTTGAAGACTTCGTTTGTGTGCAGGGAACCTTCTGGGAAATACCTGATTAATTTTGAAGCACGAGTGGTATTCGAGAGAGAATTTTTCTACGGAACAATCGTAGAATATACGTGGCGATTCGTACAGTTTCAGTTCCGACGCACACTTTTTATCGAATTTTACTTCGCTCGTGGATTACGTTCAGAAACGTAATTTTTAGTTTTTTTTGTGCTAATTTTTATTGAATTTTTCTCTCCGTCTAGACATATTTTTTCCATACAAGAAAATAGAAGAATTGTGTATCAACCTTTATTTTTTACCTTAAGATATTCTACCCTAAATTTTGCTTTATAATTCTTACCGTATTAATTCTCTTATGGCAAATGGTCGTTAAGCTCTTCACACCGTAAGAGCTTCCCGAGTAGAAATTCTGTTCAGGTCTCGATCAGAAACTGATCAAGTCCGATCCGAAATTTTGATCAGGCATATTACGCCTCCACCTTATGTTTTTCCTCTAGGGTTAACGGCCGTTAGCCGCGCCCTGTTCTAATTTTTTTTAAAGTTGAAAAAAAGTTAACCCTTAAGATGTCACGTACGAAATAATGAAATTGATCTAGAGACTGTTCTACTTGGATTATCATCTAGATTGATAAAATAGTTCTTGGTATTTTACAGTGATTTATTAACAATGGAGTGTGAAAAATATAACAGTAATTAAAAATCTGATGAATAACGCCCACAATTGATTCTTCACAGAAGAAATGTAAGACGATTGCAGAAAAGTTATTCAGGTAAGTGGAAACTGATAAACATTCACTAATAGTGAATTAATCTATACTTTTCTTTTCGGACATAGGTGAATCTTCGATTGTTGCTTGCCGAAGCGGATCCACGCGAGTATTTGCCAATGTTCCAAAAGCCAGTAGTTAAAAGTTAGGGAGTAATTGAATCCGCTTCTCACGAAAAATCCAATGTAGGGAGTTGCTGGAACGAATGTGGCAATTTAAAACGTGAACACATGAACACTGATAATTTTTTTCAAGTATTTAACGGAATATTTACCCATGAGATACATGGTGCACGAATTGTACACGTAGCTGAATGTGCTGACGAAGCCCAGTGGCTTCTCATCTACAGTATTTCATGGTTGTAGCGAAAAAAATGTTTACGACGTATGACACGCATGAAAGAATTTGAAATAAATACAAGTTAATTTCTGTTATAATTCTATGAGAATTCTGATGAAATTTCATTGAGAATTCTTCCCATCCAAATTTTAGCCCATAGAATTGCACTATTCGACTGTTATTTTATATAATAATCAACACGGTTGTATAATCAACACGGTATTCAACTGAGAATTTTCCAAGACTGGATTTTAGCCAATCACAGCGCAGTATTCGAGGTCACGATACTCTTTTGTTATTAAATTTTCTCGAAAATTGCACACTAGCTTCTGGAAATTGCATCTGATAATTGCATAGTAGCTCTTCATTTATTTTTAACCGATTGGATGTTTTGCTGGAAGAAGCCCTCGAATACTGCGCTCCGCTTGGCCAAAATCCAGTCCCGGAAAATTCTCCGCCGAATACCCCGCGACCTTTTAAATTAATCGCAATATTTCCCTCAAGCTTCCCTGCAAACAAACAAAAGTGTCAAGTTTTGCAGAAATATCCCTCGCGCAAGCGCTCGGAATTTTTTAATCTGCAAAACTTGACATCCTTATTTGTTTGCAACGAAAGTATCGGGAAATTTGAAGCCGATAATTTTGAAGTGGGGTGTTACTACTGACAATTTTCTCAATTCTGATTTTGACCAATGAGAGTGCAGTATTCGGGGTCACGTGACACGTTTCACACTGACAATTTCCTCAATTCTGATTTTGACCATTCAGAGTGCAGTATTCGGCGTCACGTGACGCGTTTCACACTGATAATTTCCCCGGCTGCAGGGAAATTATCAGATTCATAATTTCCCTGTAGCCTGTCAATTGTTTTCTACGAATTTGACAGATATTCCTCACATTTTGGTGAAATGTGTCCCGTAACCCCGAACACTGCACCCTAATCGGCCCAAATCAGAATTGAAGAAATTGTCGCAAGTAATACTACGAGAGCTTCAAAATTATCGAGCAATTCCTGATAAGTTCGTTGCAAACAAACGAAGCAGTCAAGTTTTTCAGGTTAAAAAATCACAAGTGCGAAGCACGAGTGATTCGGAATCTTTTGTTTTCCACAAATATAGTCAACATGAAAAATTACCAGTTGAATTATCAAAAATTATCCGCTGAATACCGTGTTGACTATATGAAATAACAGCCGAATAGTGCAATTCTATTGGCTGACATTTGGATGAGGAAAATTCACCGAATACCCCTCGACCTTCAAAATTCATCGGATATTTCCCTTAAGTTTTCCTGCTCATCAAAGATCGGGATCAGTTTTGTAGAAAAATTTTAATCATCAAAACTGTAAGATTTTAGTCTGCAAAACTGATCCCTCTCGTTGCTATGCAACAAAACATTCGGAAAATATTCGATAATTTTAAAGCTCTTGCGGCAGGGGAGGGTAGAGCAAAACGGGCCAAGTGGGCAAAACGGATCCCTAGGGCAAAACAGACCACTGACAGAAAATGGATAATTTTTGTTTTCGCTTTCGAATGGAGCAAATTCGAAGTCATTTGTGATTTGAGGTGATTAGCAAATCTGATCAAATTGCGGTTCAACGACACTCATTGTCTATAAAACCCACGTGACAGTTACGATTCAAGAAACTCACTTTTAATTAAATACATTCAGTGTTCCTGATTTGAAGGAAAGAAGAAAAACAAAAATTACCAATTTTCTGTCAGTGGTCCGTTTTGCCCTACCCTCCCCTATTACGGAAATTTTCAACAGTGTACGTTTGAGCGCTCGAATTCATTATTAACGTTAATAACCCATATAAAAATCTTTTATATAAAAAATTCATTATATAAATTAATATACATAAATTAATTAATATGAAAATGTTTGCATGGAATATTATGTATACGATCCATGGAACGAGTTGAGAGAGAAATTTGACCAATTTGGAAAAAGTGTATCTTTCCTAGTAAAAAATGAATAAAATGCTAATAGAGCTTCAATCGTAATGGGTGGCTAATAGAATTCATTAGAGAAAGCGAGAGAAATTCTTTCACCCGTGTTATAATTATATAAAGATTCTCACATGTCAATCCACTCAGGTCGTACCAAAAACTCATCATAGCATCGTGATTAAGAGTGGGATTAATATACCACATTCCATCCAACAGTGCATCTGCCATTTTTGGAAAATTTTCTGGGAAATTTTTCATGCGAGGTCTAAATACTTCGTTGACTAGTCTTTTGCAGAGATCAGTGGTTTCTACTTCATTTTTCCGGCATATGTTTAAACTGTAATGATTTGTGTAAGAAAATATTTTTATTAAAGCAAATACTTAAAAAATTTGATTTTTTTTCACCTGAGAGATGAAGATATTCCCTTCACTTTGATACAAATTTCAATCCACCAACCCATGTTCATTATTTAGAAATGAAATAGAATGCACCAAATGCATGCGCTCACATGCGCTTCTGTGGGATAGAATCATTTAAATATTTTCTCTTTTTGCCCGGGTACCCCACATTTTTCTCTGGCCATTGGATCCAGTAGGGGAAGGTAGGGCAAAACGGACCCCTAAGGTAAAACGGACCACTATCCGAAAATTGATAATTTTCGTCATTGAGGCCCGATAAGTGGCAATTACGAGTCTATTTTCGGGCCAATAGGTGGCGATTATCTGTACTGTCCCGTTAAACGAAGACTATACACTCTAAAAAAAAGTTACTACTCACCAGTACTGAATTCTACTTGGGAGAAGTTTTCTTGTGAAAAGTTGGGAAACTACTTGTCCCAAGTACTTTTCATGTCCTTGGGTGAAGTACAATATTTGCTAAGCAAGTAGGAAAAGTACTAGGAGGAAGTACTTTTATTACTTCCTGTCAGCATTTTTCTTACTTCTCACAAGTACTTTTAATGCTTGGAGCAAGTAATTTTTCTACTTCTCGCGAGTACTTTTATGACTTGATTCCAGTACTTTTGGTTGGTTATTTTGTTGGGGAATTTCATATCATTAATTATCATTCTCATTATCGTTCTCATTATCATTATCATTATCATTCTCAGATGACAATGACCAAATTTCATCGAGGGGAGGTTACGATGAGTTTAAAAATCGCGAGATATTGCAGTAAGATTTATCACACATTGATGATTGATTATTCATATATGTTGAAAGACGAAGAATAAATGGGAAAAAAAACGATTATTTATTGTTTATTTGCCCCCAAAACCTTGAAAATGAAGAAAAATAGCACAGTGTACTCAATTTTTGAGCTA